TTATTAAGGAATACAAATCCCTCTTTGCAATGTTTACCAGCCTCCTTAGGCTTTTCAATCACAATCAATAAACTGGAATAAAAACAATATTGTTAACATGAAAATATGATTTTATGCTCGTTGTTTAGAGTTATTCTAAGGCTTTACTCAAAGGGAACTCGGTATGAGATAGAGCACACTGTTGAGATGTCCAATCTGCCTGTTTCACACACTTGGACCAACAGAGGGGTTTGTGTTCAGATGAAGCCCATGAAGCCTCATGAGATGAACCCTTTTGCGAACCAATTGGCTGGAAAGCTTCATAAGGCTTCATCTCATCATTACTACTACTCTGACCAGAGACATGCTCAACTGCAGGATTATATACACCTGCAAGTCAGTCCATAGTTAATTGCAGGGGAGAGAAAAATGTCCACTCTTTAAAAGCTGTTGTTTGCATGGAGTGGCTCCTGAGAACACCCCTCTGGTTTTGGCAGGATGGTACAGTCCAATCAACCAGGCCCATCTCCTTAAGAAGGTTTTATTCAGTAGCTCAGTCGTTTCCAGGAGGAGGTAAGCTGCAGGACACTGACAGGAAAGTCGTAAGTGCTTCAAATGTAACAACTAACTTGCATGTCAGGATTGTGTGCACTAAATCTAGTAAAAAATGTAGGTTAGTTTAAAAAGTGTCTTTTTGTAACAGACTTAAAAAGTGTTTTGCCTTTCTGTTGCAAGGTGTGAGACCACTGTGGTTATTGCAAACACCTGAACAAGAAGGCAATTAACTGATTTGTGGCAAATGTGACAAATAGATGGCTCCTCCAGCATGTATACAAGGAAGGAAAAATATGGTTATTGTGAATGACAACAAGAAAAAAATGAACATTCAAGTAACAAGAGTCAAAAATAAATGGTCAGAGTATATATTTTTTCAGCAACAGTACCAGACTACATGTATCAAACCCACTACAAAAATGAACCAGGGACAATTTCTTTGACTCCTGGATAACATGTGCATTGTGTGTCAAACGTTTCTCACACTTGAATGTATGGGTTTAAAAAGGTTATGGGTATATAAAGTAATCTAAAGCTGAATACTTTACTTTAACCTACACTTAATTATGGTTCCTTCACCATCAAAGGGCTGTTTGGATTTCTATTGTGCTTTTCTTAATGTATACTAATTCTTAGATTTTATATTTCTTTCATACTATGTAGAGATCTCCCTTCAGACCGGCTGTCAGCTCCACTCACGATTGGATCGGTCCTCCGAACCCTCTCTCTAACCTCCGTCCGATCGTTTACCACATCCCTGAGAACGAGTCAGATCTGCAGAAACGTCTGAGACACCTGAGGCAGGAAACCGAGGACTGGAACCACGACTTCTGGACCAAACAGAACTTCAGCTTCACAAAGGTGGGAAATGTTTTTTATTTATTTTAAATCAAGACAGAGGTGATGCATTTAATGTTTAAGAAATAAAACTTCTGGTTATTGGGGATGTATACAACAAGATAACATGCAAGCCAGAGAAGTCACAGATCAGATTAGTTGAAAACGATTGCCTTGAAACTGCAACATTCTTTTGGCACCCTGGGATGCCTTTTTTAAAGGTGAAGTAATGTCAATATATATATATATATATATAGTTCTGCACCTAAAGAATAATCCTTTTTTTTTTTTTTTTATCAATGGATTCATTCATTTGAACTAATCTTCCATGACATAAGCTACTTGCCATGTTAGCTGTTTTACAGCTTTCGTACTGCCCTATTTTTCTAGAAGTGCAGTATTTGGGTTTCCAAGACCGATACTTTGAATTGGTATAATGTTATTTTGGCAATGTACTTGAAATGAAGCTCGGAGGACCGCAGTGCTTCCACATTAAACATTTATTTTTTGTCATTGACTACATTTGTAGTATTGGTGCACTGTCTACATGCAGAGCTCTTTTGTACAACATGAAACTATTGATTTTGACCAGCAGAGGGCGGCATCACACAACTAAACTGTGATGGTTTATTTTGTATTTAAAGGACACAAGCCAATTTAAACTTCTAAGTGAGGATTTATAGCTGTAATTGTTATGCTTTTTGCAGGAAAAAGAAGAATTTATCATTTCACAACTGAAGGCAGAAGGCTTGACTCCGCGTGATGAGGAAGGTAAGGATGCAGTTATCAACATGTAAATCTGAGTGTAAAAACATCCTGCATGCTTTTGCATAGAGATAACCCTCAGTCTGAAAGACTGTTGTTGAGGTGACGTCGGTACCTTCTCCTGTGAGCAGTGTTTCATGAGGATTTTACGATGTCGCAGAGAAATTCGGGTCTTTTTCACCCAGGAAGCTTCAGGCTTCAGCCGACAATCCAAAGCTTCCTGGTTTTGCAAGAGCCAACAAATAAAACTGATGCTGAAGTCTGCAATATTTGTTTTGGTCTCCTTTTCTCTATACAGCTCCCTTTTCATATCCATTCTTCTTCACTTGTGTCTGTCTTCTCTCCATACTACATCTCATTTACTACTCATGTCCCTCCTTGCTCCCTTTCCGTTATCCACTTCATCATTTTACTTTCCTCTCCTTCTAAATCTCCTTTCCTTACCCCTCATTTCCTTCCCTCTGTCCACCCTTTTCCTCTTGTTCCCTTTTCTATCTTTTTCCTGTCTCCTTTCCCCATCCCATTTTCTCCCTCTTTGCCTTCTCTTCATCAATCTTCTTTCCATAAATCTGTGTCTTCTTAATCTCCTTCCACCTGTCCTTACTTGCTTCCTCCCTTACTCCCTTCATTGCGTGCTCACCTTTATTACCTCCTCCTTGTCTCCTCCCTATTTCTCCCCCAACTCCCCTCTGTGTTTCTTGATAATTAAAAGCACATTGAACACTGAGTATGTATGTAACATCTGGTGCTTTCTTTTATAAATGCATTGCATCTTACAAAGAATATAACCTTCTCCTCGGTCTCCTTCCCCTCAGGTCGGCGGCGCTCCCTGGACAGTGAAGTGATGGCTGTGTTTTACAAAGGCTTCTTGGACACAAACAGAGTACGACATTGGAGTTATAACAAGTGAGTTGTTTTGCAGCTGGGTATCTCCCATGGTGCCGCTGGGTGGGCGGGTAAATCTCCCTGCAGAGGAGCTGTGGGCTTTAAAGACATTTATATACAGTTATATTCTGTACCGTGTGTGTAGCACAACAAACATCGCAGGCTTTTGAAGAGTGTGTGAATTAGCATTGCAAAGTGACTGCCTTGTTTAAAGTTTGTTGCATTCTCCATGAATATGTTTTCTGCCCACACATCACCTCTGCTGCTGCACTTATTTTTCTTCTGTGTTGGCTTATTTCTTTGATTTAAACCACCTGACACAAACATTTACATTTCTGCCCTCTGGTATTATTGCACCCTTGGCTCAGTCTATTGAAAAGCTTTATCCAAATGTAATTTTAGTAAAATAAACCTTTATTTTATTGTACAGACACTAGATAATTTAAAGTCTTACTCTATCACTGAATTTACATTGAAAGCTCCCCCCCCCTTGTTGTTTACAGTGAATGGTACCGACGTAACTTCACCATCACCATGCTCATGGCCCGCGTCGCTCTGAGGAACATCTGGAGGACTGTTACTAAAAGAAACAACAAGAATAACAGCACATCTACCACCTGATACACAAATAAAATATCTACCCACCCTCCTATCTTTGTTTTTACTGCATTTTTTTTTTTTTTTTTTTATGTACGGCGGCTTCATTTTTTGCTTCAAATTTCACGAGATATTCCTTTATTGGTTCCACAACAGGGAAATGTGCAGTGTTGCAGCACCAAATGGAAAGTGTAATGAGTACATGGTAAAGAATTGACTAAAAATGATTGCTCTTGATATCAAATAGATTTAGCTTGCATGATTAAGCTACCCCTCAATTACCATGGCTTAGTTCCATCTACTTTTCATTGTAATATTGTGAAACATCATTTTCAAATATCAAAACCTTTTTTCCAAAATGCCTTCAATTAATATTTTTATAATAACAAAGGAAAAAAGATTAAATAATACTATTGTGTAACATGTATTCTGAATGTATAACATGTTATACTAAATTGCTTTTCAGTGTGAGTCAGACATACAAATATTTCACATTCTGAAATGTTAACCATTGACACAAATATTATCAGTTTATTCAAATCCCACTAAAAAGAACAAGTTAAGAACCCCCTATTGAAAATGTAATAGTGCAGAGGAATGGTTGTGTAAAACTTTGAAGAGGAATACTAAACATTTTAACAGTTGTGGACAGACAGTCATAACATTTGATACACATTTATGATTTGTAGATTTATTCCATTAATACAAAATATAAATCGACATGAGTTGTTTAAATTAGCTCCGCCTTTACCAGTTGTAATATTAAAATGATGAACACTTTACTGCACCAATAATTATAATGCAATTACATAATACAAGTTATATTATTGGGAAATACGACTTTCTGCATTATGTGCGGAGGTCGAAGAAGTACTCAGATCTTGTACTTAAAAAAAGTAGAACTAACAGTGTAGGAATACTGTAACAAGTAAAAGTCCTGCATTCAAAATGTTACTCAAGAAAAAATACAAAATGTTAGCATCATTATACTATACTAATATCAAAAGTAAAATAACTAATGCAAATTGGCTAATATAATACATATTCTAATAATTTATTCATTGAGTAGCAATACTTGAATTACTCACGTAAAGTACAAATCACTCAAAGTTGTACTCTCAAGTTTGAGGGACTTGAACATTAGTTATTTTATGCCACTGATAATTAGTATTTTTAGAATAAATCAAAGCCTATAGTTTTGTTGGTAAGATTTTGACACTCGTATTTCTTCACTGTGGTACCGCTTCCTCTACCAGTATTTATTGGTTTACTAAAGTATATTGCATTTAATAAATCTGGCAGCTGAGTTTGCACCACAGCTTCCCCTTTAATCCTGGCAGCAGGGATGACATCATTAGTAACCGAGGAAAGTGAGGGGGGCGCCGGGTAACGCCATTTTCACGCACCGCGCAGTCAGTCAGTCATCCAGCCAGTGGACCAGCGAGCTGTCAGCTTCACCGGCGACTCGTCAACTTTTAATTCAACCCCATGAAGCCGCCATCAACTTAGTTTTACGGACTGCCATGGAACTTAAGGACAACATGGTTTTCTGTATTTATGGTTCCGACTAAAGCCAGTGTTTTGACAGTTAGCCGGTTAGCTATGTAGCTAGCTGGTCATTATTAACGGCGGTTGATGCAGTGAAACCCAGAGGAACATATCCCATTCAAAGACACTTTGGATATTGTGTTTTAAAAGTGACATACTCTATTTATCGGCTAGAGTTGTACCTTTAAAGCAACACCAGTTTCATTTAAAAAAGACGTGATTTGGACGTCAAAAAGGCGAGATAAATTGACGTTACATTGAAACTACTTTGGAAACGGATGTCCCAGAGAACGGTAAGAATGGCTCCGTGTATTTCTTGGAACGGTCATAAACTAATTAACCACTTTCACTGAAATGTTCATATCGTTTTGAGATGTCATCTTGTGAAACCACAATACTATGAATTATTATATATTTTAATAGGTTTTAGAGATGGTTTTTCCTTTCATTTGTGGTCAGTGTTTACGTTCATTGCAGGAATTAGACGCTATAAGCACATCAACTGTCACTGGGTGCTAACCCAGAGTTAGCCCTGCAGTGCTTGTGTGACAGGGAGGTATTTTTGCTAACTGGTTCTTCAGGTTAATCCATTTGCTAGTGAAATATCTGAGGACAAAAGCAGCAGGAACAACAGGGGCATTGACTGAAAACATGCCTGGGAAGGATGCACTGGTTGGGCCACTGCAGCAACCCAAATAGTCTTGATGTTTGTCATGTGATAGTTATGTTGGATGTCCCTTTCATTGATATTCAAAGCGGGGTTGATGGCACTGAAAGCTGCCTGTGTTGAGGAGAAGGCAGGGACACTGGATCTCAGTGTGGGAATCACAGCTGGGAAACACTGAAAGGTGTTTTATGAATATCTGAGATTTAAGTCACAATGTCTGAGTCTACACTGTATGACTGAAAACCGGGCTATATGAACTATTATTGGGCTACACAACCTTGGCAATTATTCATGTGTGCAATACTCTGCAATAACTATTCAATTGTGCAATATTCTACATCAATTATTAAACTGCAGTACTTTCATCACTGTTTTGCACTGTGAACAATAATCTGTTTAAGCAGTAACATTCTTTTATAATATTAATACACTACTGAATATGATTTAACATATTTTGTAGTACAGTGTGCAAATGTTTACTCTTACTTCTATGTTTGCACACATATCTTTTTGGTTTATTCAAGAGTATATGAAAATGGAGCAACTGTCACAAAATCCATTTTCACCTCAGATTTCTAAAGTATTCTGACGATAGAAATCTGAGGAGTACATATAAGGTTTTCCTTCTGAGCGTGTGTACCCTGCCCTGCAGTCATTACTATCTAATCCATCCACAAAGGAGTAACTCTTGACAACCTGCAGCAGGGCTCCTCCTGCAGGATCCCACCCCTCCACTCTCCTGGGACAGTTTGTTGTTTGGCTGAATCCCAGATTGTGTGTGTTGCTGGTTGAAAATGATAATCATGTGTGGTCGCTGCAGATTTTCTTGTAATGCTGCAGGTCGGCTTGAGAAGCAGAGAGCTCTTCTGCAGGTGCAGCATTTAAAGCAGCATCACATTTTAAGGTATTGCTAAAACATTGCAGATGCAGTACCTTTTTTATTTTACTGTTGTGTACTTTTACACATTGCACTTGCAGACTTAGTACTTGAGTTCAAGTCCAACCAGTACTGTTTTGTACATGAAAAAAACGTTATTGTAACAGATATTTTTTTATAAGGATTCCTTCACTTTGTGTCTGTAATGAGGAGACATGGTCTTAAGTACCAGGCTTCTATTGGCATTTCTGTACTCTTATTTCTTTTAACTTATTGGCCTGTACAGATATATAAATCTGCTGTAACCAAATGTCAGCCGATCTATACTAGACTAGTCTGGCTGATTTATGGCTTCAGATTCAATTAGATTTAACATAAAGGCACAGGGTTTTAAACCTACATCATGCAGACATTAAAAAGAAAATGCTTTGCCTCAAAATAGTTTTTTTCTTGTGTCTTTGCAGCAGAAATACTTATTAAGAAAATACACTTAGTTGCCAGTCTATTCGGAACAACTAGCTCAAACGTATGGTCTTTTAAACAACAGTCCGGCAGTAAATACTTTTTTAAAGGTTATAATGTTTGGTTTATTCAGTTTTTAATGAACTGTTTTGAAAATGTGTTGATCAAACTTTGCGGTCACTTTGAAGGCTGCCGTTTGCTTTTCAGTTGTTCTCAGACGCGGAGGGATACTGACTTGTTGTGAAAAGTAACTTACAATTCTCCCCGTGGTATACGCTCAGTATATCACGGCTAAGAACCAATCAGATTGCTTGATTTGACTTGTCCGTTTTATAATATGATATTTGATAAATTGTCTTAAATGTTCCAGTTTCAGATCCTCTCGTTAGATGACTGACTTATTTTAGAGTTTTAACACATCTCTATTGATCAATCAGCTCTTTCATAATGGCTCTGACGTAATCTGAATAATGAGAAATGAGGCTCTCAGCTTTGATGAATGTCTGGTGAAAGGTCACAGAAATGAATTACCTAATGAGAAAATAAGATAAGACTTTAATTGATTCTTCAAGGAGAAACTTAGGTCAGAAGAACTCACTCTTTTGGTAACACAGTCCTAAACACTGACATGTAATCTCTGCATAGGCATACCAGATATCAGAAATACATTCACTATATTATCTCTGTATATCTCAGGCTTGGTAGTGCTGCAGCGATGAGCCACTATGTCTCTGTACATCAGAGCATCTTCAACTACTTCACTGACAAATGATACATTAGTCTCTCACCCAAAACAAAGTCATCGGTGCTCTTCATCTCAAGTGAGGGGTTTACCAGACGTGAGCCTGCGACTCCTTTTTAAGAGATGACCCATAGTTCAAGTCAGCAGCAGATGATTTCATCAGGCAGAAGTTCCTGTGTTGGATACATTTGAATCAGATGTTTTCACAGTTTTAATTGTGTTGCCTGTAGGTCCTCCTGAGACACTGAACATCAGTTCATTATTGATATGAATGCTTGTACTTTGCTCTGTTTCAGCCCTGCAGTGTCTCCTCTCCACTGCCTGATTTGTTAACCCCTTACTGGGTGTCTGAAGCTAATGTGTCGTCACATGATACACTTGTAACGGCTTCATAGTTGAGTCAAACTGAGGGAGAAGTGACATTGAGAACGGCCTCATATGAAATCTGTAGTACAAAAGCAACAGCACAAGATGTATGTGAGCAACTTTGATCCATTTGAAGAGGCTTTAATCGTTTTGATATCCTCAAAGTATCACTTACTACTGCTTCTTGCATTTGCAGATTTTATTGTGTCTGTCAGTTTTTGTTTTGAAGGACACCATCATTACTGTTTGGTCTTCACTCTCACAGCTCTCATCAGGGCTGTTGTCAGCTGATGAACCCATGTAACACCACTGGTCTTAAACTAAACAGTAAACGGACACAGCTGGAAAGTAGCTAGTTAAGAAAGTGGATTAAATAGCAGTGAACTAGAAAACACACCCTTAAAGGAAAGTGAGTACTGGACTTTAATTAGTTAAGTGGATAAAAACACGTCTCTGAATGAATGCTGATGAGGCTCCAGGTCAATTGGGAACTGTTTATAAATGCAAACAATCACGATATCAAATCAAAAGATCATGAAGTGTCAGTGTGTGCAGTTTGATTGGGAACCTGAGCGGACAACACATGTCTTTAATCACGTTTAAAGTGTCAGTCATTGAGAACGTTGTCTTATAGTTTTGTAAATGTTCTATTAACACATTTGTCTTTACTTCTGTATGCTGCACTCTTTTTTGTTTTCAACTGTGGTAATCACAGCTAGGGTAGTTAACTACTCTGCCACGTTTTTAAAGCTATTTTTACCAAACTAAGACCGTAAAAAGCAAATGCAACAAATGTTGTCATTGGTACAGGTAGAACAACTGTTGCATTCTTGAATCATGGATAGAAAGCATGTAAACAAACGCCAATATATGTTATACTCCGAAAGATAGAGAACATTTGACTTTGAGAGGCTCTTTCAGACTCTTCTAGTTCTTTATCGACATCACAGTTCCTATCTGCCCACACATCGCTGACTAAGATTATTGCCACGCAGATCTGCTCTTCCTGCTGCTCCTCAGGCATAAAGCCTAGAGCAAGCACTCAATGCTCCTCTTCTTCCTTGGTCCCAAACACAACCCACCCCTCCTCATTCATACCCTACAATTCTCCCCATCGCCATGCGTTAACCTGCTTACTGTACACGAGGAGCTGCAGCGTCCCCGGGCTCTCGCCTTCAAGCCAGCTATCTACATTTCAAAAGTAGTTTCTGTGCCTTCCCCCTGTGGCGCTTTGTGCTCCGAGACTCATCTGATGCCAAAAATAAAAGACTGTTGGGTCGGAGCAGGAAAAAAGAAATAGCTTGTGCTGTCACTTTCACTTCTGTATTACACAGCCTGCAGTGCTGGTTATCTTTAATGGTTTTTGCAGTTAAGGATAGTTGACCTTCCTCTGTGTTTATAATGTATAACACAGTGATTTCCAATTCCTATAGTGCGTGTGCCTTTCAATAATCCAGTCCAATAGGTTTCAAAGTGTAAGAACAACTTTTATTTTGATAGCTACATCTGAAAGAATAGTCTTTCCCCCGTTGTGAGCCGTGCAACAATGTCTACTTACTTGTAGCTATATTAATTAGAATTGGCATGTTCTCAATGAACTAATAGAGTATTACTAGTGACCCAGCAGACCTTCTGTTCTCTGCAACATCATTGGAAACTTGTAATGAATGCTCATGACCGGCCTACATTGTAATGTTGTTGGGTGGTGAAAATTCAAATCTGACAGACATTGCTGTTGTTATTAGCAGATAATATTGCTCGTTGTATTTCACATAGATCCCCTGTTAGTTATTTCCTAAAGACTTATCAATAAAGATATCCTCCAAGCTAGTTCGTATGAGAATGTAAAAGGGGGTTTGTCACTGTTTTTGACATTTTATTAATCACATAATGACTGAATCAATAAAACAATCAACAGATTAATATATACTGAAAATAGTAGTTGCAGCATTTATTTGAAACTGATTCAGAGCGACAACAGGATAATCACTCTAATCTGTTTGCCTACGATATCAGTCAGGCCTCTGAAAATGCATCGGGGCTGATCAGCCGCAGTTTGCTATCTATCTTCCACTGAACGTCCCCTCACGCTGCTCACCTGGAGCTGCTGTTTCTCCATCTTCTCCTGCACACAGTTTCCTGCCCTCTGTCAGCTGATAGGCTGCAGGCGTGTTGCTGAGTCACGTGGAGCGATAGGAGCTAAGGCTCTTCCTAATTCTGCTCGCTCCTTACATATTGTTATTCACACTTGAACTGTAATGGTAACCTAAGGCAGTTCAGGACACGTCTATCACCGCAGCTTTTATACTCTGTGTGTGTGTGTGTGTGTGTGTGTGTGTGTGTGTGTGTGTGTGTGTGTGTGTGTGTGTGTGTGTGTGTGTGTGTGTGTGTGTGTGTGGTGTGTGTGTGTGTGTGTGTGTGTGTGTGTGTGTGTCCGCAGCTTTTATACTCAGGTTGGGCAAGCTCTTTTTAGTATTGCAAAATGAGTGTGTCTGCCACACCAAAGATTACTGTGTGTGTGTGTGTGTGTGTGTGTGTGTGTGTGTGTGTGTGTGTGTGTGTGTGTGTGTGTGTGTGTGTGTGTGTGTGTGTGTGTGTGTGTGTGTGTGTGTGTGTGTGTGTGTGTGTGTGTGTGTGTGGAGTCAATGTCTGAAAAAATATGTATTAACATGCAGTCTTTCAGTAACTGTAAAAGGATACCAGACGAAAACTGTATATTATGTGATATTTCGAACATTTAAGTAGTTTTTAGGCAATAAATGCAATGACTTCATAACAAAGATGAAGCAGTATAACATAACAAACCATAAAACACATTTAAAGACTGGTGGCATCATGTTTTTTAAGTTTTCTACTTTTTGTGAGCGTTTCCCTTTCTAAAAATCCTCACCTCATATCAGTCGTTATCTGCTCACCACACACATCCCACAGCCCTCAGATCCTGATTTGAGCTGTCAGCAGGCGGCAGGTTTATCGTCTGCGGTCATCATCACAGCTGCACCAAAGTCGCTCTTTTTCTTAAAGCATCTTCAGTGATGACGCCTCAGTTTTCAGAGCTCTTCCTACAGTATTTATCTGCGACCTCGTGTGTATCCTCTTGTTTATGCAGCTTTTTCAGTTGCTGCAACACCCTGCTGCTGTCAGTGCCTCACACACAGACACCTTGGGTGGAGTCTGAGTGAGAAACATTTCTTATTAAGGATCTCAACCTGAAGCAAGTAGTGACACACACAGTCTGACCTTTGGTCTAAGACAATGTTGTTTCTCACCCGGAGCCGAGTATTGATCGTAAGCGGAGATGCATCAGGGTGTGTTGCAGCAATGAGACAAGAAAAGGTCAGGAGGAGGCCACTTGGAATGAAACATCTGAAGGTTGTCCAATGTGTGGCTTTGTGAAGATTCCTATACCTCATGGTTCTGTTGTTTCTGAATGTCTTTCAGAAGTTAACGCTGATCAAACCTTTTAATGCGTTAAATTAAATGTTCTTTTTCTGTCAGGACTTAATCAATCAATGTTTATTTATATAGCCAATATCACAAATGTTACATTTGTCTCAGTGGTCTTCACAGTTTGTACAGAATATCAGTATGACAATACAACACCCTCTGTCCTTAGACCCTCACATCGTACAAGTATATAAATCATGAGACAAGTTGTTTCTAATGTGGAAGTCTTTAGATGACAACAAGCTGCTTTTAGTTTCCTTGTTTCTATCAGATTTAGAAAATGTGTTTCCCTCTGGCCTCAGAGCGTGATGTTTGAACTTCTAAATGAATGGGCATCCCTATCTGTTAAATAATAAACTGCACATTTATACGTGTTTCTTTTATCATTGATCTTGGTTTAATTTGTCTGATCTCCAGGAACGTTCTGGTAAAAACAACTTTATCCACTTTAAATTGGATTCATACATCATTTAGAAAATCTTTTTCCTTCCCCTGATGTTGAATCTGTAGAATGCGTGAGGACATGTCCACCATGGTGTGCGTGAAGGAGGAGGAGGACCCTGGGGAGAAGCTTTCCCAGGAAGAGATCATCTCCCGGACCAAGCAGGTGATCCAGGGGCTGGAGGCCCTGAAGCAGGAGCACCACTCCATCCTGGACGGCCTGCTGGGCACGCTGCGCTGCCTGAAGCAGGAGGAGGAGGGCGTCCTGGTGGAGGAGAAGTCCCACATGATCCACAAGTCCATGGAGATGCTGGAGCTGGGGCTGAGCGAGGCACAGGTGTGTAACCAATCATTATCATGAGTTATTATCGTTATGCTCTGTGCTCAATATCCAACAGGTCACAAGCCATGCTATTTCTGTGAATAATATGCAATTTATCTTTTCTTAAATAACTCTCACAAAAGAAGGTAAATATATTTTTCGAAAATAAATATTAATTAATAGTTAATAGACATATAGAAAAGAGAAATGAAATCATATCAACAACTTGTAACTAAGTGAAATGTACAGCTTAAAGGGACCATTAGCGCTCACAAAGGGGGACGTGCTGCTTTGAAGGCACACCACATTCATAATAATCAATAATTGATGTTGCAATCACTTGTCAACCAAATGATCTGAACATGAAATGCTGAATAGCTTTGTCGTCATCTGCCGTTAACATTTAATAGCTCCAATCTTTTTAAATTCTTAAAATATAAACAGTTATAGCATGTCGTGTTTTTCCTTGTGATACCATTTGAAAAAAATATTATGAGGGCAGGAAGAGTGCAGGACTTTTTTTTTTTCGTCATGGGTTGTGTACCAGCCGCCAGGTATCTTTTTATCTCTAGTCCCATGAAACTGCAGAATTGTCTCATGTTATAAACATACATTATTTTTGTTTCCACTAAGACTAATGAACCTGTAGACAGAATCACTTATTTAAAGTCTTTTTGAAGAAACTTTTTTAAATGCAGAAAACTTTGGTTATGCCTCTGCTCAGTTGGCCCATGAATCACTGATGAGTCACTGTTTGTGATTTAGCCTCTCTACGTCTCCCAGCACGCTTTGCCTATTAACAGTACATTACACTGCACCATGCAGAGTCTTATATCTACCTTCAGTCTTTTGGGTAGCTTGCAGTTATTGTAAAACGGAGTGTGATTCATATTTTCTGCATAATCTTTCTGCCTCTAACAACCCCAGATGCCACGATGCTTGAAACTCCTTGTCTAATTACACACCTCCCAGCCTTGCACTCACACCACATGCTATTAAGTGGATCCTTTTACCCAAAGTGGCTGACAATAACATTAGTATACACATATTTAGGTCTGGTGGGAAGTCTACTATTTTTCACTGGTTTTAGTACCCTAATATACAAAAGATGCTGCCACTGAAAGGGCTACTATTTTCTTAGAATTAAAATATGTAATGTTTTTTGTAATTAGTCCCTGGTAAGTTATAAGGTTTGGTATACGTTTGGCCTCTTTTGAAAGATTCTGGTGTAATGATATTTAAACATTTTAACATATTAAGATATTCTTGAATTTCATCGGATTTGCAGGGGTTTTTCAGATCAAAGAGGTTGTTCCACATGTGTCAAACTCAAGGCCCGGGGCCCAAATCAGGCCCTTGGTGGATTTAATTTCGGCCCGCAGGATAATTTTTAATTACTATTAGATCTAACCCGCACACCTTCACTCCATCCTGAGGATTTCCTCAGCTCAGAGCCCAAACATTGATGAACTTGCACCCAAGATGAGATGCCAAGTATCTGGCTTAGTGTGCATCACAGAGCAGCACACTGAGTTTCAATGGATGTTTCCTTCTGTACTTGTTTTCTTGAGACAACAGGGCATGTTTGGTGTTTTCTTTGAGGGAAATAGTTTTGTTGAAGCTCTTGTTGTCCTGTGGAAAAATGTAATCATAAGAAATGACGCTTTGTTAGTTCCAGGTTTAATATGTGCAAAAAGTTCATTTCAATAAGTTTTGCAATAAACATTGAACTAGTCCGGCCCTCGACTAGTACCGACTGTGTATCTGAGTTTGACACCCCTGCTCTAAGCCAACTCATACAAATGAGATCATGTTCAAGGACCGTAGCTCAGGGATACAGGGAATATATCACCCCCAAAGACTCCAAACATCCAAATGATGTGATGAGATTATTAGTGACCTTTGAAGCAGCTCTGGTGTGATAACAACCCTCCCTTTGCCTTGTTCCAGGTTATGATGGCGCTGTCGAGCCACCTGAGCTCAGTGGAGTCGGAGAAGCAGAAGCTGCGGGCTCAGGTGCGCCGGCTCTGCCAGGAGAACCAGTGGCTGAGGGACGAGCTGGCCGGGACGCAGCAGAAACTGCAGAAGAGCGAGCAGAGCGTCGCACAGCTGGAGGAGGAGAAGAAGCACCTGGAGTTCATGAACCAGCTGAAGAAGTACGACGAGGACTTGTCCCCATCTGTAAGTCTTCTTCAAAGTTAGCATGCTTAAGATGTTCTTAAGAAATATGGCAGAAAAGTTTAGTTCAATCCTGGATTTCAAGTCAATCCAAAAAGGAAACAAGGTATCAAGCTATCCTTAAGTGGTTCGGTAACACTTGATACAAGTTTCTGAAGAGGCTCCACACTTAATAGATGTTCTGCTTCTTTATTAGTAAAGTTTATATCTTCCTTTCAAAGTTTCCTATTCCCTTCTGTACCTTCTCTCCCAGTGAATACGTCCTGTTTTGGGGCTTTAAAGTCACCTTCTTGAACTCCTTTTCTGCAGCGGAGTCGATTAAATGTTATCAATATATACAATCTCAGATATCTTAACACTTTGAAATGTGCTTGCCTGGACCCAGACTACAGAACGACTGCATCAGCACATAAATAAGACGTTTGTGATGCTCTTCTATGAATTCAGAGTCAGTTTGTTAATTGACTTCCTCATCTTTCTCTCCCTCCACGACTCCCCTCTCAGGATGAGAAGGACTCTGACTCCAGTAAAGAGAATCTGGATGATCTCTTCCCAGATGACCACGACGACCAAGCTCCAGGCAGTAAGTGTTGCTCCCTCCTCTTTCTCCATCTACTCATGGCCAAGAAATGAAATTTAGTCCCTGGCCTTGGGAACGTAGATTGAATTGAAAGGGTTTCAAAGATAGTCAAGTGGAAAGATAGCTGTGATATAGAAAAGTTGAAAGACATAGTTAACTTCAGCTTGAACAAAGTGAAAAGGATAGTTCCAAGTGGGGTTTTATGAGGTTCTCTATACCAGGGGTGGCCAACCAGTCAGAGGTTAAGAGCCACATTTTTTCTATGTTACTGCAAAGAGCCACATCAAACACACAGTCACTGATACCGCTTGTTTCTGTTTTTTGTTTTCTGGAGACAAGATTTCAACCACGTCACTGATGCATTTTTGTGGCATTGGGATATATATTTTTTAAATCCTCTGGAGCAGAGAGAAGAGCTGTGGATTATTGTTATTGATTATTGCATAAGTGTTTCTTAGGGTCAAAAACACTAAACTCACAACTTCAAATGAAAGCGTTTAGTTTATTTAATAAAAGAGCACATGTTCAATGTGAAAAGTGACAGTAGTTATAGATTATTTGAAATTTGGTGCTATATATATATTTAAAAAAAAATTATATATATTTTTTAAACACCTTGAATTTCAGGGGGGGGCGCGGGGCTCCGTTGGCGGGGTGCAAGACAATGGTATGGGAAACACTGGATAGTAGTGTTTAATCAACGATAGGTTTTCCCCCCCTCAAAAGGTGATTGGTTCACTGCATCGCAGGTATTATTGTGATTGGCTCTTGGGCCACATCAAAATTAGACGCGCTGTCATCCTCTCATACTGACACCTGACACCACACATACACACGTAGGGAGAGCCCGGACGAAAGTAACACGGGACGAAAGTAACACGGAACGAAAGTAACGGAGCAATTTTATCCGAGCCCAAACAACTTTGACCGGCCAAATTACGTCAGAATGATCAGCATTCAATACTTAACAGACCTACTAAATATCAGGTTTAACTGTCAGGAGTAGCTGGTGTTGTCACGATACCAACATTTTGGTTTCGATACCAAGTCAAGAATTGCGATTCCGATTATTTTTCGATACTTTTCTTAAAAAAAGGGAAACAGTCTTAAATGTAATTATTGTGCTTTATTTCACACCAGAACCAGAACCATAACACAAACTTTTAAACAATGAGAACAATAAATAAAATAAATGACAAGAATTCGTATTAAATACAATTAATACATCTCTTACAGACAGGCCTCGTGGTGTCCGTAGGCTTGCCCTCACTGTCAGAGATATAGCTCAAATACATCAAAAATGTCGCTTCTGGCGTCTTTTTTGTCAACAAGCCGAGGCGCAGCGGCAGCTGCACTCCCACTTGCAGCCATGCTTCTAGTTTTCTCACATGCTCTGGCAGCTAGCGCGTGCACGAGAGCGGGGAGGCACTTGAGCGTGCTTGAGAGGGGCGGGACTGCAGGCACGGCTGCAGTGCAGGGAGTGGAAGCAGAGCGCTGAACACACACAGCTCTTATTTAAACGGCGCTTTCTCACCGTCATTCTTAAACGGAGGAATCGTAACTTTTTTAACGGCAGGGTATCGCGGTATACCTTTCAAGTATCGGTACACCTTGCACCACTAGTCAGGAGTCAGTGTCTCTCCCCCAAACTCACACATATAAAATTCAATATGAACTGAAGAGCCGCATGAAACTAGGCAAAGAGCCGCATGCGGCTCGAGAGCCGCAGGTTGGCCACCCCTGCTCTATACAGTCTATAGTCACTGTATTACCTACAGTAGATGGCTAGAGAATATGTACTGCTGTGGATGGGGTGACCAAGCAAAAAACACATACACGCCATCTTTGTTTTTCTGTGTTTTGCAAGGTACAATTACTGTTCTTGTCAAGGGGGTCTGGTGGCTTAAAAGAGAAAAAAGATAACATCTTTGGCTCCCCGTTAAAAAGGGCAGCAAGAAAAAGCAGTGACAAAGGTTCTTAATATGGTGATCACTATTAGGTGGCTAATTACGTTTTGCTTCCCTTTACAGTAGTACACCGCTATCAAAATCAGAAAAATTCCTTTAATACTTGGTAGTTTATCTATGTTGTGAATGTGCAGGTTTTTTTCTGAAAAGGATAATTTTTCTGAAGGTTGCAGTCATTTTGAAAATGTCACTGCTGTAAGATACATTAATTCTCTTTTGTACCGGCAACACTCATATAATACTAAAGTCCAGTCAGTGAATGCCACCAGTCAGAATATATATCACAGAATATATAGTAGCATGTTTCTCCTGCTTTTCTGAACTTTTCTGAAGCCTCATTAATCTTTGATTCTTCAACTCTGTCTACTTTATGGTTTTCTGCCCCGATCTGACTCTCTTTTCTCCCACTTCTCATGTCCACCCCTTCCCTCTGTGTTTGAAGGGCTGGTCTTTCAGAAGCTCAGTAGCCGAGACAGTAAAGCTGTGTTGACTGTAAAGGCCCATTAGTCAGGACCTGGTTTAACCTGGAGGAAGGCCAAATGGGGTGAAAAGCTCCCATACAGATTGCTGTAATATACTGTAGTTCCGGGTATATAAAGTGTCCTTTTTAGTGTGGCTGTATCTAGGGTAAATAATCTTAGGCAAAATACTCCAATAGTGAATAAAATGGCAATCATTTAAATATTTGCGACCATGTAAAGAATGTTCTTCTTTGTAAAACCCAATAAAAAAAAGCAGCATTTGACAGGTATTATAACTTCATGTTAAAGGGGAAAGGAAACACCATTACAGCTATAATATTCCGGTAGTTTATTCATTTTACAATGGATATTGATCGTAATATTTATTGTATATGATATTACTCGCCAAAAGAAAATTAATTATCCGCCGGCCGGGTGGGGAATTCCGGGACCAGGCCGCCGCCATTAGGGGAGTCCCAAATGGTGACGTCACTGTGTGGGTCCTCGTTCCGGGTATCCATACCGGAAGTCAACACAACGTGGCAGATATTGCAGCGATGGAGGAATTTTGCAATGAGATCGACGTTTTGAACGATGAATTTGACTATTCGTCGGGAGATGACATTGATGTGGAGGCTGCAAGGCTACATGTTTTGCTCATGTGTTTCATGTGTCTGTGTTGCATGCTCTCTAATCATAACATCATCATCCCTGTAGTGAGTAGCATTGGATGGAGTCCAAAGGCATTTCTACACTCTAGGAAGCAAATCATAGTGAACAAACTGAACTCAACTGACTTTATATTACACCATGCTCATGATAAATAGTTTTAGCATATAGGCCAAAAAGCAACATTACAATGAAAGAAACCAAATTCTAAAATAGGCCGGTTAGGCCTTTTGTTTATGTTTGTCATTTGAAAAACCCATAGGACATTTAGTCACAGTCATAGTTGACACTTAGTCGAATATATTGGACTTACCTTGAGGTAATCATTCTCAGATCTCAGTTCTTCTATTTCCCGTACAAACTCCTCATGCATGCCGTCCATAAACTCCTCTGTGAGGTCTGAGAAAGCCAGGGATGCGCTGGGGGGCACCCTGCTGTCAAACGAGGTGACCGAGCGCTCCTCGCCTGGGGATTCTTTCACACACAGTGATGTCACGAGCTACCCACAATGCAACGCGCGCCATATATATATATATATATATATATAAATACGCCATTTTCCTGGAGGTGCTAATATCGTGGAGGTGCTAATATAAACAGCTAGGTAACGTAGCCAGGCAGAGCGCACTCGTTTTTTTTTCTGAATTAACGACCTAAGAAATCGCTGCATGTCTTCGGATTATATCTCTGGACTTGAGGGGTGTGCTCTAGGTCGTTACCAGCGTAAACTAGAGCTGTGTGGGTTGTCCGATTGCCCTTACAGACTGCCTGCAGATGTATGGAAAAACTACTCTCGAAAGTGGCCTTCGGTCGATTTTGGCAGCATCTACGTCTATCTTCTGGAAACACCAGGTGAATAACCCACTTGTCACAATAATATTATCATGCCATTGCATATATGTGGTATTTTAGAGTTGACTAGATATTGATTAAGGCAATAGACTATGATATTCTGGTTGCACCTCGTGTGAAATGGCGGATACCGGAAGTACGGTGTCGCCCTCGGCCCAAAACCCGTATGTGTGTGTGAAAGAATATGCTCCCTTCCCCTGTCTCCACGGCCAGGGAGAGCCGGTCCTTGTAGTCCCTCTCCGAGGAGAAGCAAGTGGTCCTGGCGGTGGCATGTTGGCTAGCTCTTTCTGCCAACACGCCATCCCTGAGCGGCTTGTCTCCGTCTAGCCCCCCGCCTCGGCTGCTTCTCGACTCGGCGTCGCTACTCACAGCGTCCGCTGAGAGCTTGTTTTCCTCGGAGGCGCAGTCCGAGAGCTCGGAGCTACTGTCGGTCGGGGAGAGCTTCCCGGTGGCACAGCCGGAGTCCTTAGATAAATCGTCGGAGCCTGTGCTGGCGTCCGAAACCTTACGCCGACCTCCGGTGCTTTTCACTGCGTTGGCCGTTTTAGACGAGGCTGAGGATGATTTGCCCGCCGGTTTGCTTTTATCCGCTTTACCTTCCTTTCCAGCGAGACTTCCCACGGGGCTGCACCGGGAAATGCGGCTGCCCAGGTGAATGCCTCCCGGCTTGACCCTCAGAGTCGGGGTCCCAATCCCTCCGCGAATCTTGGTGAGCGACCAACCGGGTACATCCTTCGGTCTGGCCGGGGAGGGTACAATACGCTCCTGACGACGACCGTTTTCTTTTGTTGGAAACCACTGGTGCATTGCACGCCATGTTGTTTGCAGCTGTATTGAGCTTTGGCCCAGGAAGCCGTACCCACACAGTGACGTCACTGGGAAAGTCCCGGATCGATGGAAGCGCCCAAGGTCATTAGGCACGTATTTCAAAAAATAAATTTGCGTATCTCGATCGTTTACATTGGAAATAGACTAGATAAATACATTTCCTAATGGGAATATTGTCGCATGGAAAGCAGTTTGAAAAGTGTTTCAATTTCCCTTTAAACCAAAACCCCACCAGAAGAGCTATGGCACTCGTCTGGCTGAATTTAAAGAAGTAAATCGTTGTTTTTGAAGGTTGTTTGGGACAACTGACAGAGCCACCCACAAGCCTCTGGTCCCCACAAACAACTGCAAACACTTTGTTCCCAAACTTGGCACTCGAGTTTTAAACCCTTTGTTGCACCAAGTTGATTCCCATTTGGCTCCTGGCACCAGTTTGTCAGCCAGTTTCAATTGGTGACAAAATGGATAGCAGACTGCTTCACACTCTTTAACTTCTGCAGTTCAGTCTATGAGTCAGACTCCGGTTTGTTCACTTTACCCCTTTGTCAAACTGTTGAATACATTGCTCAAGTAGGAGGTTTGAATTAGAATGAGATTAAAGTATATCTAGCAGAACATTTTAAAAGAGAGTAATGCATGTTTTACCTTTTTTTTAAAATGTAATTCAGTCTTGATAACCATATCAAAGTTTCATATATTTTAGAAAGAAATGATGAGAAAGGGGAAGTTGGCTTTGACAATAACTCCAATATAGAATAACGCCAGCTGTGTCCTTTTGTGAGTCAGAAAGATCAAGAAACGAAAATGTCAGCCCCACATTTGCATCTGATGCTCTTCCTCAACTGAAGATATTAAGTTTCACTTCTTTTTTTACAATGAACAGCTTGTTCTCCAGCTTTTCCACCGTTGATGTGCCCGTCAGAATATGCTCAGTGGTAATTCCCTTCTCTTATGGTTATTCGTTGGTGTGATTTTAGGTTTTGACCCAGACTTCTTGATGTTATGGCTCACATTCTGACTGGAGTGCAGGTGTTAGAGCTGAGGAAGCAGGCTGATTTCAGTATATTGTGTCTAATTTGAAGACTACATGGAAAACTGGCTTCATTTTACCATTTTCAGAATTTTCTCTAGCAGTGTGAATAAATCCTTTGCTGTGTTGAGCAGCACGGACTGAATATGAGTTATGACTCAACAGGGGAGACAGAATGTAATAGTGTAGCTGTGAGTTACGTCGGGGACTATGGGGAACATAGGATTTACATTATACAGCATAAATCTCAATAGAAGGTGTGTCACTGACTGTAGAGGTCAATACTGCATATTGATTTAAAGTTTAACATATGGCGTTTCTCTCTGAGTTATTAAGATAGAGACATCAGCGTAAATGCTATAGATCAAAAAGCCATAGAAAAGGACGGGCAGGAGATTTGTTTAGAAATATTTGTTTTAATTTATTTGTTCCATGCTTTAATGATCAAAAATGTATTTTTCTCATACTGCCTGTGCTGCAGCACCTCTTTACCCTCTGTCTGAAACAGTCAAGTCTGCTCTGATTGGTTAGCTGGCCAGCTCTGCTGTGATTGGTCAACTGCTTAGAGATGTCCCGTCCGTCCCTTAGCCACGTACAATGTGTTTGAGTGTTACAAAGTGATGTCATTATGTTACGGAAGCAAACAAAGGAGTCCAATGGAGGCGTTTCGGGCAGGGGGGGGGTGGTGTGTGGGAGAGAAATCCCTCTGGAGAGAACACAGGGATTTGCAGACCAAGCCCCCAAAAGCATAAAAGGGCCTCTTTAAAATAGTTGTTGTGGAAATGTTATATATGTATATACTTTCCTGAATGTATCTGATCCCCGGTTTTTCCAGTAATGAAAGATGAATTTCAAACTAAGGAATTGTTTTCAGGCACTCAATAAACGGTTGGTAATTACAAGTGAGGTTTTAAAAAGTAGGACTGTTGTCATGCAATAATTATGCGCCCACACCCATTTACACATAAACATGTTTCATTGTTGCACACACCCGCATATTCCTGCTCACACCTACATCAGCGCTGACAGTAAATACTATGTAGACGCTACATTGTGGATGGAATATACAAGCAAAGGACTATAAATAACAAGCAGGTGGGAGGTAGCCTGGAGGGTAGGGAAGCAGTAGTGTATTGGTTTCAAACTTCAATTTTCCTCCTTTTTATGAGATTAAATCAAAGTAAAAAATCGAATTAGCATTTTAGCAGACTCGAGGAAATGTGTGTGTTCTTTTATTCAAATGAGGAAATTGAAGGGGGGGGGCTGGTAGGTGCATGTTGAAGAAATGCAGTATCGGATGGCATTAATCTTCTGTGTGAAAGAGAGCTGCCTGAGACTCAATGTGGGTGTGTGCGTATTGTGGATCAGGTTGGATGTCTTTCATCCGCAAGCTTATTCCTACGCTTTTGAGGTTTTGTTGAATTGCTGTCAGCAGGAAATAAGATGATTATGATGACAGCTCTGCCTCTATTTAAATTGTCCTCAGGCTTATGCACTGTTTTTGTGTCCAAATATTTACATTTCAGTCATTTAGCTTTCAGTCATTTAGCTTACTGTCAAACATACATAGTTACTGAATGAGCTTGTGGAGATTTGGTGTCTTGCTCCCATAGCAGCGTTTGTTAAACGGGCGATCCAAGGATTGAGTGTTGCACCTCCATCAAAATGTTTAAAAGAATTGTAGAAAGCAGAGCATGAGATCCAGCTTCTTAATTGAGATGATTTTGCTTTCTAACTTCTTAGCATAAAGACTTTCGCATTTAAAAACAATTTCACTAACCCCAGAATTGGAATCAGAATCAGGTTCATTACCAAGTAAGTTTTCACATACGCTACAATGAATTAGCCTGTGCATTTTGGTGCATAAAAATAACCACCGTAAAAGAAAACGCATCAAAGGTCAAGAATCGTAAATATAAAAAAATATATATAAACACATTTTTACTATAAAAATATGCAATACTTTATGTCTCAAACATTTAAAACTGTATAATTCAAATTTCTTAGAAAATAATTGGCAAATGAATCAATGCAAAGTGATTATCTGCACTTCACACACTTTGTATTTGCAGATTATAATAAGAACTGATGTAGACACTGAGTATCACATGATGTTGATTGTTGTTATTTCTGCCGTTGGCGTTCCCACTCCAATCGCCAGCAGCTCTCCTTGAGAGTAGATTTAGCGCTGCCTGCTATTTTTTCATTAGAAACCCAATGAGGGGGTTTCCTGACCTCTTGCACACACACTTGCTTACACACTCACTCACACACTCCTACAGAGACAGAAATACTGCATGTCATGAGAGAGATTCTTCATCACGTCCTCCTGACACTGCAGAATGTTCTGTGCATCGTAGCAGAATGAGGACATTGTTTATGTGTGAGTAATCTTATTTGTTGGACATATGTTTACAGCCAGCCTTATGTTTGTTTGTTGAGGTTTTAACTTTGACCCACAAAATAGAATCAAAATTATCTGTATTTTATACATAACTAGTCCTTTTATGGATTTTTATAAATGAGTCTAATATAATCCTTTGCTTTCTGGATTATTCCTCAAGTGCATGCAAATCCCTGAGGTGCGTGTCCTGACGTAATCTTTTTCTTCCTCCCTCCGTGTGTCCACAGTCCAGCCGTCTCATGGCAGTGCTGCAGCAGCGGCTGCTCAGCAGGGGGGCTACGAGATCCCGGCCCGCCTGAGGACCCTGCACAACCTGGTGATCCAGTACGCCTCGCAGGGCCGCTACGAGGTGGCCGTGCCGCTCTGCAAACAGGCCCTGGAAGACCTGGAGAAGACCTCTGGACACGACCACCCAGACGTGGCCACCATGCTCAACATCCTCGCCCTTGTTTACAGGTCGGTCTACCAAATCATTTATCTCGGGGCCCGGATTGCAGTTGTGGTTTTGGAAATGGGGTCCTGGACATACAGCAATGCAGGAGTTTATCTGCAAAATATAACTGAGAATGCATATAAAGCCAGAATGCTTCACCTTGGTTTTTGTTTCATTTTTGATTGTTTAATCAGTTTATTTTTAACACATGGCAAGTTTAAGATAATATATTTGTTCTCTGTCAAGTCCCTTTGATGATAAATCAAACGACTGCAGTCAGTGCTAGGACTAGTTTTTAATTGCTCCTCTGTTTCTTACATCACCTTGTTTGCACCATGAAAACAAGTCTTTACTAGCTTGTAAATCTTTAAAGTACCGGGCTACTCTGACTATTTTACAAGCAGCTCCAGGACTTCTTATTTGAGTAGAAGCCTGTTAGTGAAAATGGCGATAATGTTTTGGTAGTTTTCAATGAAAGGAGTGTTTTCAACCCTGCTGCTCTCCTAGCAACATTTGAAAACCCTTAAAATCCTCTAAAATGTGGCTTTTTACCACAGAGTAAGATGTGATAATGGTAACAGCATGTTGTCTGTTTGTCACCATCACAACACAGTGGCATGTCCCTTGAAACCTATTGCTAACAACCCCCAAAGCATTGTGGGACAGGCTTCTAATATAGGACCTCCCCAACGGTCGTTGGATGCCTTTCTACGTCAGAAGTGGAACAAAGCAAACATAGCAGACACAGCCAAAAGATTTACAGTACTGTAATAGAATCGGGGAAGTGTTGATTTCCCAGCTCAAGAAGAAAGGAAGAAAAGACTCAAGTGTTTTACAGGAGTTGGATCCCTTGGTTTCTTACTATCACAAATCTTATCCATTGAATAGTGAGTGCAGTGACTAGTCAGGAGAGAGAGAGGGTCGCCTTGTTGTCAGCTGTTTGTTGCATTGACTGTGGGAACTGCTGCAAAGCTATTTGGACCTTGTTGCCTGAAAATAATGGGCTGTTAGTGGAAGTTGTTAGCATAGTTTAAGTTTCTTTTCTTTGTGTGCTTGTCTGTCCATCTCTGTCTGTTTTTCCTGTCTCACTCTGTCTGCTTCTGTCTGTTTCAGGGATCAGAACAAATACAAGGAGGCAGCCAACCTGCTGAATGATGCTCTGGCCATCAGAGAGAAGACCCTCGGCCGGGACCATCCAGCTGTAAGTGCATCTGTCTCTACATAACACCCAGAGATGTATCTGAATTATAGTCATCTAGATTTGTTATCCTGTATTTTAAATTAACATTTTCCTTACATTAAGGTACAGAATAGTACATAAAATAGCAAATACTATTAAATAAATACTCATAGAAACTAACAAAAAAAGTAATACTTTAGCAACGTGACCCATGTGTACGACAATAAAGAAATAATTATTTCTGAACAGCATTTACATTTTTTTTTAGCTAGAGCCAGGCTAGCTATGTCCAGTTGTTTTTATGCTAAGCTAACTGGTCGCTGTGTTGCTGTTGCTTTATTATAACTGTACTAACAATAAATTGGTATTGATCTTCTCGTCTCACTCTCATAAAGAAAGCAAATAAGCCTATTCCCAAAATGTCAAACTATTCCTTGAAAATAAAGAGCTCTAAAAAGGTATTTCTTAACCCTTTAAACTGAGTTAGTACGTTAATGTAAAAGAAAACAAGACATCTTTATCTTGTTAGACACTGACACTGTTATTACCCCTACCCATTTTTATTCACCTATTTTTGTCTGCTGCAGTGTCTTGGTTCCCCCCCCCCCCGGAAATTAATACCATTAATTTAAAAACATTTCCCCTGTTCCCCCTCAGGTAACGCATATAACAACTCTGACAGCCAAAATAACAGTGCAGCCAAAATAGTGTTTGAATTAGTGTTTTGAGGCATTTATCATTATTAGAGAGCCCATGAAGCTAGAGTAAGTTTCAGAGTTGCTCGGTGGTGCTCAAGGATCCAATGTACTTGTTGGAAAATAAGTTTTTATAAAAGTGTATTTCTGAACATGGTAAGCATCTTATCTAAACAACAGCTTTAACTTGTTTACAGTCAGAATTTCCATTAATCGACCATTTGCATTTTACATAATTTTAATACCTTACCTAATACCTAAGATTTCTCCATTTTAGACTATCAATAACAACAATGTTGTTCTCCAGAAGTACACCTCGTACAGTTTTAATGTTTAATGCTCCTCAGACAATCTAAATGATGTATTTGTAATCACACTTTTCTCTTCCAAACACCATTTCATATATTTTTCCAGGGTTGTGACTGCAGTCCAGGACTGGACACGGCAGATCCCATACATATTTAACACACTGTTTTCCTCAGAGCCCATTACCTTTTGTTTGTCAGTGCAAAGTGTAAACATGCAGCAGGTCGACTAACTGTGTTAACCCCAGCAGGCCTGTGTCTCTGTCTGGACCTCCATCCCTCTCTACTTTGTGAAACTGAGGTTAGCCCTCCCCACCCCCGCTCTCCCACCTCCACCCTGCCATCCAGGCCTTGATCTTTTCTCTTCGAATTTGTTGTATTTTTTTAGTGATTTCATCATCAAGAAATCTTAGTTTTGGCAACAATATAGCCAGTTATTTGAAACAAATTCCTCACACCTTTCACATTTCTAATCTTCTTTATATCTCGTTTTTTCCCTTTGCGCTATTTTAAAAGTTAGATATTTAGAAGATCCCATCCAGGTGATCATTAACAAACCTAATGTTGCATTCCGCCTATTAATGCCTGAATCAGGTTCAAACCTCACAATCTTTCCACCAACACACATACCTTATGTTTACATAGGAACTAGTTGGGTGGTCTGTAGCTTTGCCAGTTGGGCGGCAGGTCGAGGTTCACTCTTGGCATGGTGAACACTGAATCCTAAGAATGTGCATTGTCACCTTCCTGGTGAGGGAGGTTTGAAAGGTGGAGGTTAGTGAACCGATATCCTCGGACAGACTGTAGTCTTTCCAGGGGAACGTATGGAAATAGTTAAGAGCCCCCAGCTGAGTGCTGCTGTGCCCCAAAGAGCAAGAAGGTCAGAGACAAGAAGCTTCTTATTGTTTCCTACGTGTTGAACAGCCCTTTCAAGCATCCGGCTCTTAAGTTTTCTGCATGGAAAAAAAAACGTTTCAGCCGCATTCAAGTCAAGAAAACTAGGGTTTTTTGTTGCTTTTTATTGTCTTCCAGGAAAAGGATAGATTGACTGATCTGCTACAGTATGTCATGGAACACTAGATCTTTATCTTCTCTTATATTGTTGTATTTGAGGAACAGTTTTCACCTTTTTTAGAGAGCATTCTTATAGATTGTGAAGAAAAATGAGAATCATCATAAATGATACTGAACAAAAATCTAATTTTAGGAATACATTTTCTTTAGGGAACCTTTTTATTCTCTTACGCTGCTCGTCTTGTTACTCTCCTTTCCCTCTATCACTGCTTCACTCCGTAATAAACTCCATCTCCCCCCTCCACCCTCACCCCTTCCTTCCTCCCACTCTGCCCACATGGCCCCCAGAGCCCGTCTGAATCAGAGATCAGAGGTGTCCTCCCGGCACCGCTGCAGTCTCCCTCCCGCTGACTGCTCCAAATTCGTCATACATCTGATTTGGATCAAATTACAGCCCACCATAATCACTTCCTGTTTCCGCACGTCTTCTTCCTCCTTGTTAATTACTCTCTCACCAGATCAATGGCCCTCTGCCGCTGTGGTGGAGTCTCGCGGTTGCACATGGGGGGATGATGATTAAGACCAGGATTGAAAAACAACATATAATAAATAATGTTTGTGTTCCTGTCAGGTCGCTGCCACACTTAATAACCTGGCTGTCCTGTATGGGAAGAGGGGGAAGTACAAGGAAGCAGAGCCCCTGTGCAAGAGGGCGCTGGAGATCAGAGAAAAGGTAGGTCAAAGGTCATCTAACACCATGAAAAAACTGATTCAGAAGCTGTTAAACACATGATAGGAAGCCATGACGAAGCAGATGTTTTATACTTGTTCTCCACAGCCAACACATGGTCAGTTTGTTCTTCACCAGGCGTTAAGCTTTCACTTTGAAACTAAAGTTTACTTTCGCTTCGCTTTCAGACAAACTGTGTGTCCTATTTAGGCAAACAGTAGTGAAACACTAAGCACTGGATATATCACTCAAGATGGTACCCTTGAGCTGTAAGGCTACAGAATGGAGGAATAACGCTTAATGTTTCTACTGATTTCACACAAAAGTATACAAAAGCATCTTCTCGTCTCTACCCAATGATGCATATTTTGCCTGAAATGACGTCGTTTGATTTGATCAGTTGTAGATGGCAAGCAAAATCAATTATATTTATATGGCCCAAAATTACATATCACAAATTACCTGCATGGACTTGGGGTTAGTTAGTTAAAAAAAACATCCGTCTTTTTTTACCCCAGTTCCATATAAGGAAACTTTTAATAGGGAGGAAAATGGAAGAAACCTTAGAAAGGGTAACTGCAATAGATGCGCTGTGTTCATACTCTGCAACCCAGCAAATCTAAGCTGGATGAAAACAGGCTCCATTCTCTCTGCTGTGTGATGAAAGTCACTAGTCCCATTAAGACCAAACATCTCTTACATGACATAATATAAGCACCCAATTAAATCCCTTGCTTTGACTTTGTTATTGGTAGAGACACCATAATCCAACTTCCAAATGTCACTTTTAAATACCCATGCAAACCACTTCCCTTCCCCTCTATACTCTCCTAATTGGTCTTGTGTCTTGACTAAATGCATAAGAAATGTAACTGCTTTGCTTCTTCACCCATGTTCTTAGTATTTCATTGTAATGTCCGCTTATTAGACTGTTGTTCTTTCTTGACTCAAGAAAGTGGATCATAGGCCAGCCTGTAAATAGATCAGTGGAGATACTCATCTTTATTGTGTCTGACCTCTAGTTTGGTGCTTACAGAGATGCTGCTCAGCAATCCTGAAAGTGCAGACAACATTTCTCACTCACTACTCTCTCCATCCTCGGCTCCTGCCTCTGACTGTTTCTCCTTCGCTCTCTTTTTCACTCCTCTGAGTATGAGACGTCAGCTTTGGTTAAGCTGAGCGGTTTCATTTTTTTTCTTTTGCTACTTAAACTCAAATGATAATGCTTTCGCTTAAGCTTAAGGATTTGCTGCTGAGTTTGCCCTGCACAGGCGAGGTGGCTGCTGCAGAGCTGCTGAATCAGAAAGCTTCTACTGACAGTTTGCCTTTTTTAAAGAAGCTCAGGTAAACTCGGCTTACCAGCGAGTTTGCTTGGCATCAGGGAGATGGGGATGAGCTATAAACTGAAAACATTTTGACTACTATAGTCAGACACTCAAACATTTTGTTGCTGAATCCAGGAGGATTCTGCGCTTTGTTTCACGTTAGGAATCCAGATCTGATACTGATCCAAGTGGTTGTGTGAAGTATTCATAATGAATATCCATATTTTCTATAGAAGTATGATTTTGTTCCAAATGCAATCTAATAAGTGTTTGGATAAGTTGTCACCTAATGACTGACTGAAGAATATACAAAACGTTCCAAACTATATTGCCACTAAACATTCTATTAAAGGAATAATATAGAATTTGTATTCGACTCAATCCCACTTAAAACACCAATTACCCACTAGGGTACCATATAGTGAAAATGGTCTCTAGGAAATGCAACAGTTTGTTTGATTTATTGTTACAGTGACCTGCTCTAATTGAGCCTTTATAAAAAATGAAAATATCGACTAGTTTTGAAAGATTTATGTTTTCAGAAGGAGTTAAACACAGGCAGGCTGTGGAACTTATATGAAGCCTGGTAGGAACAGTGTAACATATTGCCAGCCTTTTCCTTCTTGAATGGAAAAGAATAATTAAATTCTGTCCCAAAATGAGGACGGAATACGCATAAACTTCTCTCACAAAATTGTTTGAAGTTTAAAGCTAAAACTTTGGATCTCAAAGCCTGTAACAACGATTTAATCTGACTGTATTTTGACTAGAACAGCAGTATTCTTGTCTGCTCAAATGTCCTTGAGCTGGAAACTGAAGCCCTACCTGCTGCTAGCTGTCTCTTTATACTGACTTCTTTGTTGAAATATGTTAGTCTGTCACAGAGGGATAGAAACTAAATCCTGAATTTCTCAGAAATCCCCATATCCAGTAAATATTTGGATAAAACACAGATTCAGTCGATGCCCTGTAAGTAGAGGCTCTTCGGCTTGATTTAAGATGAAAGTAGTGTTTCCAAAAGCTTCTCAGAAACCACTTCACACTGCAGCACTTTTGGTATTTCAAGACATGACGGCCATCAATAAACACAATCAATTCCTCGGTGACCCAGACCTCACCGTCCAGCATGGCTTATGGCAATCCTTTTCTAGCTAACGATGTTTACAGGAGAGCTGTCAGATGTGTGATGCAAAGGAGGAGACTGAGTAAATACTGTAGGTAGATATCTGCACCATCCTGTGGATCAGAGATCTTCCAAACTGAGGGGGAGGATCCTGTAAGGGTTTGATTTCAGACCCTCCAGACATATTCTTTAATAATCTAAAGCCAAATCTCCCCAAAGGTCTTGACTTATGTCTCTGATACTCTTTCATTTTTCACATCAAGTGCTTTCTTTCTCAGATTTTCCTCGGCACTCCCTCCCATCGTGTTTTTTCTGAAGTGGTTTCTCAATGCTGCAGAGAGAACTCTTTCTCTGACCTAATGTCATTTTCTCTTTTGCATTCTCTACTCGTTCATCCTCTTTCAAAAGGGAGGAAATGAGATTTGAGGTCTAAGCCTGTCTCCTCTTCTTTCCCTCTCTATTCTGCATGTCATTGATAAAGCGCTATAATAAATGTAAGGAATTATTATTAATTATTAATTATTATTATTATGTTCATTTCCCTCTTACTCTCCCTGGTCTCCTTTTCTTTGATGGTCAGTCAGTCTCAGTGAAAACCCTGTCTACAGTTTTCTAGGTCTGGCCACCTATTCCCTGGAGATAATTCTGCATCTCTTTCAAGTTTACTGCACTTGCCACTAATGGCTACTCAGTCAGCACATATTGACAAAATCACATCCACTTAAAAAAAAAAAATCCTGGTGCTTCTTTTGGCTGTGTGTGAGATGGGGGGGAATATCGTTATTCAAAAAAAGAATGCTGTTTGTTCTTCCATTGATGCGTTTGTCCACTGGACTCCGCTTTTATTTATTCAAGCGCGTCAATAGTCCACAGGTCGAAATCCATCAGAAGACACCTCTGTATGTTAGATAGAATTGTGAACAACAGTTACAAGATTAAATTCCCAATTTTGCAACCAGGTTTTATGGGGCTAAAATAGCAAGTATTAAGGAGGTTATGTGTTCACTGTTTGTTATTGGGAGATTTTCTCATGTCTTATATTAGATTCAACCTGAACTGCAGGAACATCACAAACAAACCGTAAAAAGCCGAGCAAAAGTCAATGCAACCTGGCAAGAGATGTAACAAATATTCCCAATAGTCAACATATCGGCAAGCCACTTTGTATTCCAAGAACATTTGGACCTAAACGTGGACCCAGAGGGATTTTCAGAAATGAAAGAACTGAATGATTTCCAAAGTTTTCTAGCCAATTTTACACACCACAGGTCTAGGCATCAGGTGGTTTCAGGCTGTTGGTATTCCCACCCCCTGTTGACCAAATGGCCCAATGTCAGACACAAGTTGTCGTCTAAAGCTTGTTATGTTTTAAGTACTGAGTGTTGTTTTAACCGCCTCTCGTCTTGCTTCCGTCCCAGGTGCTGGGGAAGGACCACCCGGATGTGGCCAAGCAGCTGAACAACCTGGCCCTGCTGTGTCAGAACCAGGGCAAGTACGAGGAGGTAGAGTACTACTACATGAGAGCGCTGGAGATCTACCAGACCAAGCTGGGCCATGACGACCCCAACGTGGCCAAGACCAAGAACAACCTGGTGAGGGGTGGAGTCTAGGATGAGGAAAAACGGTTTAATAGTAGATATTTTATATATTAATAACAATAAGTAAAGGGGTTTAAATGGATTTTAAGGATTCTGTTAGATGCTAAATGAATGCTAAAGTGTTTCCCAGTTAAACTTGTGTTTCATTCTAAGTTTTGTGTATAGATTTCAAATGAGAATTTATTAACTACCTAAAATCAACATTGCAGTACTGAAGCCCAGTAACACCTGACAAAAGGCATGTCAAATGTGTTTATGTGCCTCTAGAAGATTGGTAATATTAGCCATCCTCGTGCTTTGTAGGTGGCAAGAAGAGCTACACATGGGCCAAAATCTGAATCGGCAAGAGCCTCTATAATTTTCTGTCCAAGAGCAACCTGAGCCTAAACCTCAACACCTGTCTTGGGCCATAGCTAGAATAAAAACCAAGATTTCTACTGCTAAAAAAATAGAAATGAGTTTATGAGAGCTACATTTTTACTTTAGGTATTTTAATTGTGATAACAAACATTTTGAGACACATTTTACAACATGCTACTTCTCTTACTGAACATTCAAAACATCCCAAACACTTTTATTGAGCTGAAATGCTACTCTTTATAATTTAACCCCATGATTTAATCACAATTATTATGTCCAAGTAAAAATTATACAACACGTTTAACAACTTAGATGCCACAATTGTCACTTAATAGTACTTGCAAAAAAGAAACGTAAAATACTTGATAAATATTTTAAATATTGATCTCCTCAGGGCAACTGCCTTTGTCTCATGTACAGTGTCCTGCTGACTCTTAATGTCTAGTTTCTTTGTTCCTCAGGCGTCATGTTACCTGAAGCAGGGCAAGTTCAAGCAAGCTGAGACTCTGTACAAAGAAATCCTGACCCGCGCTCACGAGAGGGAGTTCGGCTCTGTTGATGGTACGACATGTGACTGGATTATACACACAAGTACACACACATTTCAGCCAGTATCATCTCACCCAGACTGACTTCAAATACCACAAACAAACCGATCTGATATATCTGACAACCCCTGCTGTTTTATTCTTCTAATATAAAGATTAATAAATTCAGGCTGCTGTTCTTTTTTTGTAGCTGTAAACAAAAATGACCTTTCAGCTGAAAAAAGGTTTACTAGTTCAGAATCAGTGACTGCTGTTTATCTGAGTGGATGTTTGTCAGTACTGATGAACTTCTTCCCATGTGTTTCTCTGCAGATGAGAACAAACCAATATGGATGCATGCTGAGGAGAGAGAGGAACAAAGCAAGGTGAGCAATATCTGTTCATACCTCGCAGATTGTCAAACAGACTTCAATGGAATTGGAAATGTAATGTGAACCGATATATTCTCAATTTGATGTTTTAATGTGGGCCCACAAGATTGTATAATACTTTCAAAAGACATATTCTGACACATTTACCACTGTAGTTAAACACATTTTAATTTCAATGAACGGCAATCCAGAAGGAACATACGACCAGATAAGAAAATGCTAAGTAACACTGAGAGCAGCATTTAAACTGCTCCGCCAGATTCATGATCGTATTAAAGATGAAATAGGAAGGATTGACTTTACAAAGAGTTGGATTAGCAGATTAAGTCTTGGTAATAACCATCCATGCGTGAGGATTTGACATTTCCCAACCAGGAGTTCATTTTAGTCGAGGTTTTAGGGGAGGAATCCTGACTCCAGTATAATCCCATCATTTAACATCACTTCATGATACCTTTGATGGTATTAATACAAAAAAGCGTCTATTTCTGAAATGGGTTAATTTTCATCCTTTAAATGTTCAATCCCCTTCATGTTTTAGTTCACAAGGCTGTGGTTCTTTTCCTGATGTTAAATGTTCGGGTTAGTAGATGTCGATTCCCTTAAAACAGTTTTGTAGAAAGCTTATGAACATGGTTTTTCTGTCTTAGGGCAAGCAGAAGGACGGCTCACCTTTTGGGGAGTACGGAGGCTGGTACAAAGCCTGCAAAGTGGACAGGTCAGTGTTTCTGATTAATTCAGTGTCTGAGTGAAGATGGGTGGGAAACAAAACAAAATGTTTTCTAATGTTGCCTTAGAAAAAGATAGAAATAAAGGATTAAAGCTTTAATTCTCATACTGTAATGGCCACAAAATGAATTTACATGTCATGAGAAATGCTTGTTCAGCCGGTTTATATAAAATGAAACCGGTTTCAGCTCATTCACCAGACAGGACCAGCAAAACCAGAAAATCCTCCCAACTGTAATAAAATCATCCAGGAATTAGATATAGAAATAGCAAAGTAAACACAATATTTTTTCGAGATGGGTATTTTTCAGCCCTTTTTGTTCTGATCGATTCTGCTGATCTGGGATCCAACTCTGATATAAAATCATATTAAGCTGATTTTTATTACAAAACAGACTTATTTTAGTTAATTTAGAGAAAGACCTTACCCTGTGTGTCATTGTATTGCCCTTCTATCCAAATAAATTACAGCTTAATTAGCTATTAATTGGGTTTTTTTTGTCGAGTTAAAGTGGACCTATTATGCTATATTGGAAACATATATTGTAGGGCCATACCTATACAAAACATGTCTGTGAAGTCTTTTGCTTAAAATACCAAACAGATCACCCATTGTAGCCATGCCTCATACTGCTCAAACCTCCCCTGTTAGAAAAACGCGGATTTTGGGTCCTTAGGCGGAGCTAATGCCTGATCAGAATTCTACCGGAGATAAAGAGTTACATTCTGCTGTGATAAAACGCCATCCTGTAATAAACCACATCAAGGATTATTTCTCAAATAGTATGGAGCTCAAATGCTTTTTGTCTTGCGGGTTTACCACAAGGTGAGTTCCTCTTTTGATTTCCTGCTTTTTAAACACATGTGCTCTACACAGTACAGGTTAGCTCTGAGTGTTAGCGAGGCTTGCTAATCTAAACAAAGACGACATTTGTTATGGAAATCTTTTACCTAGTCAATACTGTGGAGATATACAATTAGAATGATCAATCAATAAACTGGTGAAACAAACAGAGTTGTCTTTCTGGTTCTTTATTCGAGGCGCCTCGAAGGCACAGGTCTCACAGAGTATAGGATAGTCTGTAGGAGTGTGCGCAATAGTCACAGAATAGCAACGTTTATATACAAGATAGGGCGGGCAGACAGAGTTTTTGTGTAGCTGGGCGGAACGCCTCAGAAATCTGCTTTCACACGGATGTCTCATATTGTTATTGGACACCTGTGTTCTTGAGCTGTAGAAAGTATAACGGTTATCAGCATATGTAAGTTCAAACTTTGTGTGAAGAGGAGTAGTTTCAACATAGTCTGCCAAATCAGCTCTGTGGCCTTGAAGCGCTAGAGAATAATAACCCTCATTAGAGTATGCACAGAAAAAAGCACATATGAAGAAATTGTACAGTAGTGTTAGACAATGCTTTTAGAAGCATTTGGTTTTACCATATAAGGTAACATAAGAAATTGCCACTACACATTACGTCCAAAACACGTCAGGCATTGTTTCTGTGGGTCCACCATCCGAAATTACGTAATATCGGCAGCAAATCTGTATCCGCTCGTTGTACCCCCGAGGAAAAGAGAGAGGGTTTTATTTTCTGACGCGGCGTGAGTTCCCTGACGCACCGGGGACACATATTTATGTATAAAAGACATCAAAAGGTGCATTTTGCATGATAGGTCCCCTTTAATATGAAAAAAAGCCTGCTTTACCTTTTATATTCTCTCTGCTATGATGTTCCTCCTCCTTGTTTTGCAGCCCCACAGTGACGACCACCCTGAAGAACCTGGGCGCCCTCTACAGGCGGCAGGGCAAGTTCGAGGCGGCCGAGACCCTGGAGGAAGCTGCCATGCGCTCCAGAAAGCAGGTGTGGTCTCCATGACTAATAACGCAGGACTCCTGGCTGCAGTTACAACACGTCACTGTCAGTATTAAAGCTGCAGGGATTAAATAAAAAGGGTCGGCTCAGAATTAATAGCAGATAAAAAAGGTAGATAATCTTTAATAAAGTGAAAAATAGGGATGAGATAATAAACTGAGACGCTGAGAAGCCGGCAGTTTTTCACCTCCTCTCATGGTGGGCTACTTATGAGCCTTTATTGGGTTTCATGTGGAGATAAAAAGTGTTTTTATCCTGAATTAAGATTTTATCTGAGAATGTAATTATCCTCATCTCTCAGTTGGGCAGTAGTACATGATAGTTACATTAAACTGGATTCATTTAGTGCCTCTCTAGCTGGAGAGAGTTATGCTTTGCTAATACGATTATTTATACCTGTTTACAATCCGATTACATTAATTTAAATCAATATTTTGATTTGACAATATCTCTAAAATGTCATTTAGTTAACAGGAAAGATGTTAACCATGTAATAGAGAACGGCGATCATGGTGTTGAATCAGCTTTTCAAATATTCATGCACTTTGTGAGAGGAAGACGCCTGAAGTAATGTTTACATTTTAAATATTGTCCAACAAATGTATTGCATTTTAAATATTCAGTACAGATTCAAAGTTTGCATTAGGTAAATGTAAATAAGGTAAAGTAACAAGCAATTACATTCAGACACCGTCACTGCTCTGGTGTTTTTCCACCATGAATCTTGATGTCTTTGCATTCATCCGCACTCTGGGGAAACACGTTCATTGTTTAGCTTTAACTATTTAAAAAAAAGCTAATTCCCTTACAGAAATGGTTTCTTGGGAGAAATCATACTGAATTAGCTATTAAATGCACATTCTTCAAATGAAAACTTTACGCCCCCCTCTACTTGTTTTTATTGTTTCCCTTCATCTGATTGTTAAAGCTTGACTCTGCAGAGTTTAACACTAGGAAGCAGTTTTCTCATGAATCTGCTGAAGAGGGAAAGTGTACTCTGTAAACAGGACATAGTGAAATTACAACACGTCTTCGACAAATATTAAGAAGCATAATGACTTCTATCGAGTACTCCTGTTTGCTCTTAATGGTGTAATCAAATTCCTCGTACGTGTAAACCTACCTGGTAATAAACCTGTTTCTGATTTAGAATACAGATCAGTGGTGGCAGCTCTGATTCTCAGGAAGAGGAGACAACAGCTTTCTGTTTGCTGCTTAACAGTTTCCTTTTGAGAAACCAGTTGTGCTTTTGTAACTGACTGCTGAATTAGTTCGTACAGCTGGTGTTTTAATATACTGTGGTGGTGTGTTGTGTGTGTGTGTGTGTGTGTGTGTTGTGTGGTGTGGTGTGTGTGATGTGTGTGTGTGATGTGTGTGTGTGTGGTGTGTGTGTGTGTTGTGTGTGTGTGTGTGTGTGTGTGTGTGTGTGTGTGTGTGTGTGTGTGTGTGTGTGTGTGTGTGTGTGTGTGTGTGTGTGTGTGTGTGTGTGTGTGTGTGTGTGTGTGTGTGTGTGTGTGTGTGCTGTGTGTGTGTGTGTGTGTGTGGTGTGTGTGGTGTGTGTGTGTGTGTGTGTGTGTGTGTGTGTGTGTGTGTGTGTGGTGTGTGTGTGTGTGTGTGTGTGTGTGTGTGTGTGTGTGTTGTGTGTGTGTGTGGGTGGCATTACTATACTTGTGGGGACCTAAATCTGTCTACACAGTCACGTGTGGGGACTCGCCTCCCTTATGGTGACAAAATGGAGGTCCCCATGAGGGGAATCATTCATTTTAGGGTGAAGACTTGGTTAGGTTTAGGCATGTGTTGGTTATGGTTAAGGTTAGGATAAGTCTCCAGGAAATGCATGTAAGTCAATGTAATGTAAAATGCAGGTGCAGAGGTGTTGAGCTTCTGCTTAGCTGCAATAATTACATAGACATTAATTGCTGTTTTTTGTGTGTGTGTGTGTGTGTGGTGTGTGTGTGTGTGTGTGTGTGTGTGTGTGTGTGTGTGTGTGTGTGTGTGTGTGTGTGTGTGTGTGTGTGTGTGTGTGTGTGTGTGTGTGTGTGTGTGTGTGTGTGTGTGTGTGTGTGTGTGTGTGTGTGTGTGTGTGTGTGTGTGTGTGTGTGTGTGTGTGTGTGTGTGTGTGTGTGTGTGTGTGTGTGTGTGTCAGGGTCTGGACACCATGCATAAGCAGCGCGTGGCGGAGGTCCTGAGCGAGCCTGAGGCCCGCGAGAAGCAGCGGAGCCGCGAGAGCTTGACCTCCGACACGGTGAAGTACGAGAGCGGGCCGGACGGTGGCGAGGAAGTGAGTATGAGCGTGGAGTGGAACGGGGTAAGTACAGTACACAGCCCTACACACACATCTGAGAGTCTGCACACATACACCGTTCCTTTCTGGACAGAAGCCACATGCTAACTGATCACGCTGGATAAACATCCTGTTGAAATAGATGTATGAGACACACAGTGTATATACTGTTGCTACAGAGAGATGTCCATTATTTTTAAATCTGGAGCATCAACGGCTGTACTTATATACTACTATGTACCAGTGCTGGGGTGTGTACAGTAGACGTGTTGTCGTCATTATAAGATAAAAAATCTAAATGATAATCAGGTTTCCAGTGGTTTCTGTCAAGAAAGATACTATGAGGTTACTTAACTCAACTGATGATCACAGTTATTTAAATGAGAAACATGTCAAAGGGAGAGTAGAGATATTACTCTGCTTCACGTAGTTTGCTGATTGACTGTCAGAATCCTCTCCTGCAGTAGCTGTTGCTTGAGCTTCACTGTTACACTTTGATTAATAAAAGAAAAGCTTTTCTTGGCTGGATGTTGAGTCTCTCACAGTAGGTGCTTCAGTTGTAGTGTGTTACATTTACATAGTGCTTTGATCATAGTAAACCACTAAACTCTCTCTTTCTAAAGCTAACTAACTCTCTGTAAAAGCTGCTCTCCCAGCCGCTGTGGTTTCCCATGGTAACTCCTCTGCTGCTGCAGAGCCACTCCTAACGTTTCTCTGCAGTATTTTCTCAGCTTCTAGTGACTGCAATAAGAACATGTAGATGTAGAATCTCTGCAGGCTGCTCTCCATCTTTCTTCTGCGGCTGCTCACTTAGCAACAGTAGTCATAGCGCCCTGAACAACCAATCAGCTAGTTATTATCCTCCAGCCTCCTGCAGACAATCTCACATCAGCAGCTGATCTCTGGACCTATTTATATCAGGAAGCTGCCTGTCGGACCTGGAAGAGCTGCAGCTGGAAGTTTAATAATAAGTTAGTAAATAATGTACAAAAAAATACAATACTAACCTTTTTGAAAACTCTTAATGTATAACTTCTCATACATTTGGTCAATATTACATGACCAAAAAATAATGGGCAAAATGATTGACAATTCTACAACTTCTCCACAACTCACACTACATTTAATTTAAGGGCTGCATTTGATGGTTTAGGAAAAAGCCTAATCACATATTGTTCCTCTGCAGTTGTAATGATTCGGACTGTTATAAGTGACATAAGACTGGCAAGAACAGTTATTATGATCTACCTGAGATGGATATAAACATAGTGTTATGTTATTTTAACCCTCCATTGCTTCACTGTAGCTGTCAAACCACATGTTTTTCTTCCATGCTGTCGAATATATTTTCACTTCCGCTCCAGCTCTCTCCACAGGCGTTTCCTTTCACTTTATTATAAATAATTCCTCTGAGAAGCAGCGTGACTCTTCAGTGTGTTCACCTAACTCAACACGGGCTCTGTACTGTACTCTTTCTGTGATATCTGTGTCCACTGTGATGTTTGTACCTGTGTGTTTATGTGTTGATGAACCTCTCCTTTGCATCTGTGTGACGACCCGCTGCCTGAGAATGAGAAGTGTGATTTATTTTGTTAGCTTTGTGTCTTTCCTTTGCTTGCTTTGTCAGCATGTTGGCAGCCAGAGAGGAATACATGTGTATTTAATCAAATGCACAATGCTGCAACAATTGAATAAACTTAAATCTAGAGCTAAAAATAGTTAATTCATTCATTTGTAGATACAAAATAAATCAAATGTATAAATATTATTCAATTTTTAGCTTTACAAGTGTGTATACTTAGCATTTTCCTTTACATGTCTATGTACAATTGTGTTGGATATATTAGGATTTTAGGAAACTCTGAAATAGTACTTGATATTTTAAGTGTAAATGGTCAGTATAGTACTTAGTTCCGATGTAGCCCCATAAAAAAGCAAGAAACAGATCATATATCAAAGAATATCATATAGAGAGTATTCGTCTGGCTGCTCTCATCCTTCTCCTCCCGGCATCCCCTCTGTGTTTTGTTTTGTGGTGCTCTTACAGAGTGTAATCTGTTCTTGTTGATGTAAGTGTGCTCAACAATGTTTCAGATACAGACACAGTATCCCTCCACCATAGTACACTGTGCTAGAGCTCCACCTGGTGGAAACTCTGTGAATCACAACACAGTAACTCTAGCCAGGGGTGTCAAACTCAATTTCATTGGACCACATTAGCATTATGGTTGCACTCAAAGGGCCGGTTGTAACTTTAAGACGATATAAATATATATACATATATAAAATAATGTATTATATACGGTGGCCCTGAAGTGCAAGACACTACAGCATTTCAGAAAACACCACAGCATTTCACGAAACACAACAGCATTTCACAAAACACTACAGCATTTCACAAAACGCCACAGCATTTCAGAAAACGCCACAGCATTTCAGAAAACACAACAGCATTTCAGAAAACACCACAGCATTTCACAAAACACCACAGCATTTCACAAAACACCACAGCATTTCACAAAACACTACAGCATTTCACAAAACGCCACAGCATTTCAGAAAACACAACAGCATTTCAGAAAACACCACAGCATTTCACAAACACAACAGCATTTCAGAAAAACACCACAGCATTTCACATTGGACGGAAAGGGTATTCCTTTAGTGATGTTTGTGATTGGACAGAGCCAGCCAGAGAAGCACTGCTGTGATTGGTTGTTTTTGCTGCCAGTCAAGAAATGACGCTTCGTGATTGGTCAACACCCGACAGCGAAATATGTCCCAACACATCAGCCGTTAGCACACACTCAGAGCTCACAGCTCCTCATATCTGTTCTGAAACTGGACAAAATTTAAACATGTACAAACCACAGACTGTCTGTGTCATGGCGAATACAGTCGCTGCTTTATTTATGTCTGTATGACGTTGTTGTGAGTGTGGACGGAGCAGCTACAGGTTAGTTTAGCCTGAATGATCAGATTCCATTCAGAAAACACGCATTTTAAAAGCTTTTCACTTGCCGTCTTGTCTGCAGACTTGTCAAAGCGTTAATTCATGGTTTTTACTAACCGGTATCAGTATGTTGTTACTTCGGCATCACTTTGAAACGTGTATTACAATTAAATCACGGTCAAATATGTTCATTTTGTTGTAGTTGGTATCTCCCATATAATTTACATGGAGATACGCCCCGCCCCCTCTCAGCGCCTCTTGTTTGAATGACAGGAGCAAACACAGCTGACAGCCGCGGTGAAACTCGAGCGATTAGAGCGATGCGAATATTGGGTGGTCTACCATAGTATTTAAATGGAGATAAGCCCCTTAAAAACCATGAATTAATAAAGCATTAATTATGTGTTTACTCCTGTCATTCAAACAAGACGCTGGAGAGGGGGCGGGGCGTATCTCCATGTAAATCCTATCGGAATCGGATCGATCAGGCTAAACTAACCTGTAGCTGCTCCGTCCACACTCACAACAACGTCATACAGACATAAATAAAGCAGCGACTGTATTCACCATGACATAGACAGTCTGTGTTTTGTATATGTTGAACTTTTGTCCAGTTTCTGAACAGATATGAGGAGCTGTGAGCCAGCTAACGGCTGATGTGTTGGGCCAATCACGAAGCGTTATTTCTTGACTGGCAGCAAAACAACCAATCACAGCAGTGCTTCTATGGCTGGCTCTGTCCAATCACAAACAAGAAGTGTTCTCCCTAAGGAATACCCTTTCCGTCCAATGTGAAATGCTGTGGTGTTTTCTGAAATGCTGTTGTGCTTTGTGAAATGCTGTGGTGTTTTCTGAAATGCTGTGGTGTTTTCTGAAATGCTGTGGTGTTTTCTGAAATGCTGTGGTGTTTTCTGAAATGCTGTTGTGTTTTGTGAAATGCTGTGGTGTTTTCTGAAATGCTGTTGTGTTTTGTGAATTGCTGTGGCGTTTTGTGAAATGCTGTGGTGTCTTGCACTTCAGGGCCACCGTAATTATATGACATTATTGCCTCTGCATTGGATTATTATCGGATAGGGTAATAACTTCAGAATGAACTACATCTGAATGCAGAAGTCTAGGGCAAATAATTTCAAGTCTCTTCAGGGCGCATGTCACACAATGAGATGCATTGTGGGACATGTAGTTTATGGGCAACGTGCTTCTGTAAAGCGGCATGTAATCGTATAATAAATGTATTATATTCTTTGCAAGCTCTTGCGGGCCACAAAAAATAAGGTTGCGTGCCGGAAATGGTCCTGGCCTTGCGTTTGACACCCCTGCTCTAAGCAGAATGAACAACAGAAAAACGTTTTATAGTATTATATTGTATTACATTATTATAATTGTGTTGTATAAACCAGCCTAATGACAAGAACCAGAGTAGATGGGCATGGTCGATAACTGAAAACCCATCTGCTTCGATTGTACCTTGGCAAGTCAATTATTGGGGAAAAATAAAAATGGTTTGTTTTGTTTTTCTGAGTTAACGAGTTAGTGGGTGAGGCAGTTTGGACCGGACTGTGGAAAATGGCCTCAGAGAAACTAAATACTGAAATCTGCTCGTTCGCACACGCTGGTGGAGAAACACTGTGTCTGATCTGTGACCTCGATAACTTTATCAGTCTCTCTAATCTGTTTCTCTTCCTCTTCTCTTCCTCCTTCTCACTCACTAAATTCCTCCTTTACAAATGTTCTCTCATCTCTTTTATTTCTCTCTGTGTTTCTCTCTTCCTGCTCCGTGTGACCGGCAGGCATAACTCCAGATGCCTTGTAATGGTTCTAAATAAACTTGTCTTCTGCATGACGGACGCCTCGCCTCCACGCTTCAGCTTTGCCGTTTTCTTCAGCTCTGACTCCCCCCCCCTCTCTATGTTATTCTCCTCCCCCACCTCTGGGTGTCTTGATGGGGATCCTTCACTAACCGAAGCTATAATGTTAATAACAACCCCTCTCTGTGCTGGGTTTTGTGGGAAATGTGGAGGCAGCTTGTGTGTCTAAATCCAACGTTGTGCTTCGGTATCTGTCTTGAAGCGTTGTATTGGACTGTGTGCTTCTGCTGTGGGGGGGAGAGACCGGGGGGATGTTTCTTTATATCAACACTAAACTCTTCTCATGTTGTTCCTGCTGTCCTTTATCTCTGCTTCCTCTCTTTCTGTCCCTCTCTGCTGTCTTTAACCGTTCACATTGGCACTGTAGACTCATAGATAGGCTGTTTGGGGTGGATGTGTAGAGGAGATCAACAGCACGCCCTTAAACCAAATCTCTGCCTGCTACCTTGTTCTTTTAAAGCCTAACCCTCTCCATTTTTCACCTGAACACCCAAACAACACACACACTGTGCTATGTTATTTGATTACTTGGAGCTTTAAACAACATCTGATATCAAATGTACCACAAGTGTGTATATATTTCAACATATAATATAGTAACCTTTTATTTGTATTTACTGTGTCTTAGCCATTGCTTCATCATATCATTAGTGACCTCCTGAGCATCTGCTAGAGTAATGTGAAAAATGAAAGTAATATAAAACTTCATTAGTCAATGGACACAGAAGTGAAGAATCATATCAGTCAGTTGTCAACAAAATGTGTTTAATCTCTGAAATGTGAGGATTTGCCTCTGAAATCTATCACTTGTTTCTGTCTTTATTAAGATACAAACAATACATTGATTAATACAACAACAACAAAAGGGGAAAACATTTCACTAAAATAAGGAATGGATAAACTTCACACCATGTTAACGGCAACATCCTCTTTATGTCAAATACAACCTTTATTCCAGGTTTGAAATAGAGTTATGCTTTGAACACTAACCTCTCTCTCTCTCTCTTTCTATCTGTGAAGTCTCTCAGTTTAACTCGGCATCCAACCTAACCTTCATTAGTGGTGACTCACGGCTCATTGTGACGTGCTGTAAATAACATCAGCGTTTCTCGTCAGCATGATCGAGAAGAAGCACCGTGGATTGTGGCTCTGTTAGAGTTTAGTCTTTAGTCTCTGCTGCGTGTCATCTGTTCACAATGAAATCAGAATAAACTAACGTTGAAAACTTAACAAGAGGACACGTTAAAGGTGATAGGATTCATGCACGATCTGATTAACTTCAATAGAATAGAGTTTATCTGATAAATGTGACATTTCCCACTTAATGTCAGTTTGTAGGGAAATGAAGCTTTTGTCCTGAACATAGTGCATCCTGTTACCTTCTGTATATCTCTGTAAATACATATCAGCGTGGGCGCACTAACATTGCATTTGTTTGAAATCTGGGAAATAAAATAGTCTTCTTGTCTCTGTTTCTTTGCTCTGGCTAATAACCTTTCTGCGTGTCCTTCCTGTCCTGTGTGCATCTTACAGTGTGTCTTTCTTAACTTCTAATAAAAGCTAAACTCTTTGCTCACCTGAAACCTGTGCCTGTCGCCTCTTTGTGTGTCCCCTCTCTTTTCTGTGTGTGTGCCTTCATATCTAATAATAATAATAACCTCAGCTGCAGATCTGGAAACTTGACTCAAAGCATTTTGTAAACACTTCACAATAACACACCTAACTTTGGCTATTAAACACTGTGTGATCTCTACATCACCACTTCCTTTTTAATCTTCAAAACCTGTTCTGAAATGTGGTCATAGACACATATTTGTCCTAAAGGAGTGTCATGGTTGATTCCAGATGTCATTACCTTCATTCAGTGCCGCTAAATGATCCTATTGGTTACTAAGAGGAATTAGGTTGATGACATGACATAAAACAGGATATGATTATTAAGTAACATAAACTAGCTCTGTTTAACTTCGCTCTTTGATCAAAAGAGCCAAAGTTTCTGATTTACAGTTAATTATTTACCAATATTGATACTATCAGCCAATATTAGCTTTTTTTTACAGTATTTAGTCAGTACCCAGCATGCTCAGCTTCATTATCGGCCTCACCTTCTTTCACTCAAACTAACATTACTCTGCCAGAAACACTGGTGCTTTGATACATCCATGGAGGCTGGAATTGACTTTAATGGATCATGTCCCAGGTCATTTTACATGAACTAAAGAATCCTGTTAAACCCAGTTCTGAGGGTTAAAGATGCAGTTGCCATGCAGCCTAAATAAGTCATCAATCCTGGTTTTGTTGAATTCATAAGGGGCAACACTTTTTCAAAAGACTGATCCAGGTACTTAAAAGTATGTAAAGGTGGTAGTGAGCTTAACTTCACCCGTCAAGAAGGACTCCATGTACCGTTAGCTGAAGGTGAAACACTAACAAATAGCAGCGCAATAAATAGTTTATCTGTGTGCAGTAGGGCTGCTCAATTAATCGTATTTTAATCGCGATTACGATTATGGCTTGCAACGATTACGAAAACAACGTAATTGAAATAAAACGATTTTTTTTTTCTTACTTTTTTTCTATCATTTTTTGGTTTTTCAGTTGAGTTATACTTAAAGTTCAAGGTAATCAACTGTTAAAAACATACTGTTCACATTTTTTTTCTCCAATAAATGGATGTTTTCAAAGTCAATGAATAATCGCATTTAATAATCGCAATTACAATTATTGACCCAAATAATCGAGATTATGATTTTTGCCATAATCGAGCAGTGTGCAGCATTAGTGTGCAGTTTGGAAGGACAATGCACATGGCAACTTCACAGGTTTAATGAATGTGCATCAATCTGCGTCACTGCATCGTGAAGGCACAGGTGTTTTGCATTGGAAAGATCGTGCCCCTTTAATGATCAATATTAGCGTTTGACCCATAAACCCTTTTGTTTAAATCTGCAAGTAAAACCTCAAACTTGAAAGAGACATTCAAATGTAAATGTTATGGCCCAAGGAAACCTTATATTAACACTCAATGTGCTTTGCTGTTTTAGCCTACATTTAGCATTTTAAATTATATAGACTAAAAGATACCCTTTTTTAAATCTTTTTTTTTTGTGGGTCACATGGGTCTGACACTAATGTCCACACAGGACGAACACTCTATGACTGTGTGTGTGTGCAAAAGCACTCTTTTTAAAAATAAAGAATGTGTGACTGTGACTGAGTGTAACGCTGCGCCCTCTCCCCTCAGGACGGCTCCGGCTCTCTGAAGAGGAGCGGCTCCTTCAGTAAACTGCGAGCGTCGATCCGCCGCAGCAGCGAGAAACTCGTCCGCAAGCTGAAAGGCGGCGGCTCGTCCCGAGACAGCGAGCCCAAAAACCCCGGGTAACTATCCCCATCATGCACCTGGTGACTCTCACTTTATGCACTGGAGGAAGGAGCCGGCACTAACCAAAAAAAGAAAGAAAGAAGGGATTCGCTGTGCTTTGCTGGCGGTGAAGTCACTTTTAAGCTGTTTGCACATGAAAGGATGGAGGGAGCTTTCACTGACACTCACTCTGGGCCTTTCCCCTCACATCGGTTCACTCTGTTCTCCACTGCCTCTGGACAGTGATTTTATTCTGCATGGTTTGGTCTAGCTGTTATTAAATATAAGGACCACTGTTAAAAAAACGTTCAGAAAAACTGTAAAAAGTAGTGTTGCTTTCGGAATAAACAGACAAAATATAACAATGTCATTTACTGTAAAGAAAAGACTCATAAGTGCAATATTTAGAGAAGTTCCTATAATATTACATGAAAACACTTTGAGACAAAATACATAACATTTTTTTAAAGTATTTTTTTTAGTATTTAATCAAAGTTGAGCGTACACAGATTAGAGTTGCAAAACTTTAAGGTCAAAGTTTGTAAGAATTCAAGAAGAAGAAGTCATTATATTTTTAGATATGAGTTGCTATAAATTCTATATAAATAGTTGTTATATTTTTAACAAAAAAATTATATTTAGAAAAAAGTTGTTAAATAGTTGTAATTTTTTAAGAAAAAGTGGTAAAATGTTTATATTTCAAGAAAACGGTGTCTTTGCTACAATTAAAAATATTACAGCTTTTTTTCTGATAAAAAGAAATCGACCTATTCTTGTAAATTGTTGACTTTTTTTCCAAAAACAATATTTTCATTTATTATCATAGTTTTTCTTTAAATTATTACTTAATCCTTTAAGTCATTTTGAAACTGTTCCTTACAGTGGTCCTAATATTCCTCCGAGTGATCAAACCTGAGCATGATTAAAGTGACCAAAGGAAACTGTAACTGAGCGGTGTGCAGAAGTACCGATGAAATGGGAAAATTATGCAACTGTTTCAAACTCTCTTTCTGTGACGGGCGACGTGTAGAAACTGCAACGGAAACAAACTAAAGTCTGCTTGTGAAACGCCTTAATGCTCGTTATGCCTGTGGAACTCTTTTATTTTGTTTTAACCACTAATAGTTACACCTATTTATTGCATTGTTTGGCTTTGGGACTATTTATTTCAATTTGTTTTTGAAATATAGTTCCGTTTTACTCTTTGGATTTTATTATTTTCTCTGTGAATTCCTGGAAAACCAACCTGTCTGCATGGCTGTTTATTTTTGTTATTGAATTTTTATTTATGAATAAATGTGTTCATTTGACTGTTTGGACTTGCATGCCTCGTCTGTATGCTCCCTGGTCTCTGTTTCCTCTCTGCTCTTCTCTGTGGCTCTAAAGATGGTGGACATGGTGATGTGGCTGCAATTATCATCATCATCATCATCGACCGATTTGTGATGTTCAATCACTGCAGAAACTTTCATTTTAACAAGTCGACAAGAAACCACCTCCTAAACTACCTAAAACACTTTCTTGAGCGCTTTTTATTTGTATTTGACAGTTAGGGAGAAAAATCCAAAGGGATGATGAACAACCTACAAAGTGCTTCAGTTACCTGGTTGTGACTTACAGCACAAGGCTTTAGGTATTCCTAAGAGCTTTCCATAAAATTGGGAAGAGTTGCGGCTTCCTGCCAAGAAAATGGGGCCAGTTTTAGATGCAAAAAATGTAAAATACATCCAATCAGGCGTGTCTTGCACAAAACCATAAGCTATCCTCCAAGGGAGGGTTATAACTTGCAAAACATCAGAAACATGTATTTAATCTTGAATTTGAGTCAAAAAAATAATACACATATTATTATTATTATTATTAATAATTTCTTGTCAGGATGGTTGCGTTTCTGCAGTGATTTTATTCACATCATTTTTTGGGGCATGTTGGTGTGCATGATCTTCACTGACATAAATATGAGTTAACTGCTTATCAATAAAAACACCTCTCGCAGATAACTTAAATAAAAGCCACCTTCTGATAAGAAACCTTACATAATGGTTTACTTTTGACTTACAATGCATTAAATTCAAGCCATTACGTCAATAGGGTCACTTTCTTCTCACTTCTTAATATACCACTAATCTTTAGTTTATCCACAGAGGAAACAACAACACAGTTTTTCATGTGAAGAAAGAGAGCTGTTCAGCCTCTCAAATCTGAACATGTACTATTTGCATCTGTTTAATAAATCATAAAAATAAAGTAGTCTAATTCAGAGTGTCTCTGTAACTCAAACCAAGATCAGTTAGCTGTCATGTGTTGTGGAGGCACACAGTGAGAAGCATTTCTCTGTGATACTAACATTTATGTGGAAATATCATGTATGTTATTAACCAACACAAACATCCTCACCTCCACATCCCCCTCTCACCCCTCAACCTTCACTCTCCACCTCCTCACCTCCACATCACCCCTCAACCTTCACTCTCCACCTCCTCACCCTTTCACCTCCTCACCTCCACATCACCCCTCAACCATCACTCTCTTCCACCCCTGGTGCATGTCCCTGCTGGTGCAGCATGAAGCGGGCGAGCTCTCTGGGCGTTCTTAACGTGGCGGACAGAGCTGCCATCGACCACTACCAAGTAAGGAGACGAGGGTCCCAAGTATCTGAGTTTGTTTATAACCTGCTGTTGACCGATAAGGAAAGGTCAAAGTTCAGTTTCTATAAAGGTCCCACTGTTCTTATATTTAAGGGGAAACAACTCCTTGAAGATAAGATGGACCTTTTTTGACTCCCGTAGGGAGATTCAGGTTTTACAGCAACAACAGAATAAGAGAGAAACACAGATAGTACACATGGGATGATAAGAATTAAAATAAATGAGAAAATGAGAATGAACATGTAGTAATAGTATAATAATTTTGTAAGTGTCTTCAATTAAAACTAATATAATTAGATTAGATACTTAATTATTATTATTTTTGAACGTTCTGCTCACCTGGTTTACCAAGAAGTTTAAATCTAACTTTTTACAGATGCTTTCTGACCTGATCTTTTCCTTCATCTCATTCTGTTATTATATATAAACACACAGGCCTGTAAAGTCACCAGAATCTGTTTGGTGGGGAAATCACGTAATAAATAACCACCTGAGTGAGACTCACACACTAACTTCACACCATTTTGATGTTCACTAATCAACACAAATTAATAACAGGGTTTTTATTTTTGTTATCTTGAAGAAAGCGACAGTGTGATTTTATGGGATACTGAGGCACATCAAAATCATGATCTATAATTCACCCTCATACTGTTGTTTAAAGAAGAAAATGACAACCTTTTTTTTTTACATTAAGTAAACATTTCCTTTATCCAAGACATCTTTGAGTCATATTTCTGTCTAAAGCTTTGAATAGTTTGTCTATAATTAGTAAACAAATAAAGCCATGTTCGTTGAGTGTTTTCGTCTAAATAAATATGAGTTAGAATTCAACATCAAGATCTTTTATATCACACTATATGTGGTCTTTTGGTACATGGGAATACTGCTTTGATCTCGATTGTAATGGAATATCTAGAACTGTAGTCCCATAGTGTGATAAGAAAACCTTTTTTAGCTAAATACTTTGACAGATTTTGGGATTTAAATAATTTAAAAAAAGAGTAGGAAATGTTTTTTGAATTTTCTGAATAAGAGCACACATGGTTTAATCAAACTTTTCCTTTTTTCTCCAGGAACGAAATAATCGTCTGAGTAAAAGTCGTGACCTGAGTGCCAGCCACACGGACCTGGCGCATTGAAGGTCTGTGTCGACCCACGAGGAGCCTGTGAGGTCACTTCCTGTCCGGCCCCTCCTCACTGTAAACCCCCCTCCCCCCTTCATTATCCTTCAGCATCACAAGTTCACAACATGTGCTCACTGTACAGGCTGCTTTGCACTTTCTGAAGGTGTGTGGGGTTTTACACATCGAGGAAGAAGATGAAGATACAGTTGTGTGTGTGTGTGTGTGTGTGTGTGTGTGTGTGTGTGTGTGTGTGTGTGTGTGTGTGTGTGTGTGTGTGTGTGTGTGTGTGTGTGTGTGTGTGTGTGTGTCTTATGTGTGTTAGTGTGTTAGTGTGAGTGATTGTCCTTTTTCAATATGTAATGCTTTTGCTTACATGAAAGCAGATGCAGAGTGGAGCTTTAGTGTTAAACATTTCTCTGACAGCCCATTGCTAAATGGCACGAGTTAAATCAAAGTGGGTGAACTAGCTTTGCGACCTCTGAAGCCTAAATCCTAAACAAACCATGCTATAAAGGGTCAAATTCACTTGATATTTTGTTGAATTTTCATTATGTTGTTATCTCAAGATGGTTACACGTGTGTCTTCCACATGCTGTTGTTTTTGTGCTTTTTTAATTTCCCCCTAGTGGATATGCTGAAAACTCAGAAAGAATTTGAAATATTGAAAAAAGAACTCTAACATCCTGTAGTTCACTGTAGCTCATTCATTGACGAGGTTTCAGTCTGTAAACCTTCATCAAGTTGAATGAATTTTGTTAAGCACAGCTTTAGAGTTTATCACAGTTTTCAGAAAGTGATATCACTAATGAGCTCATGAGGGAATCAGGAAGTACATAACTTAAGGAAACTTTGTTATTAACTTTGACATATTAAATACTTTATATAACTTCACCCATTGAGATTTAACTCAAGCAATGAGATACAGAACAATGTTTTTAATTGGTAAAGCTGCAGCCACTGCAGAGAAAGTCCAGCAATGACGTCTCTCTAGGCTGAACCGGACGTTAGCTTAGCTCTGCGTTAGCTTAGCGCTAAACTACAATCTGCAGATTTCTAAATGAAGTTCTGAACTGGGTTAATTAAAGAGGCCCTATTGAGCCTTTTGAGGTTTTCCTTTTCCTGTAGTGTGTTATATACTGTAGGTTCTTGTGCATGTCAATGGTCTGCAAAGGCTAAAATCTCATGTGTTCTCTTAAATATGTTTCTCTCCCTCAACACAAATGTTGGAGTCCTGTGGAGGAAAAACTCAACTCTTTAGAAAAGTGACTCTCCTAAAATGTTCCGTCCTGCGCTGATAGAAGATTTTGCTTTTGCTGTATGAAGGTCTACGTTTACATTTGGGTTTATTTTTGTAAATGATGTTTTATGTTATTCTGTCCTCGCGCTGCTCTGAAGAGTTTATCTTTCTATCTTCCTGTATAAAAAACGCTCTCAGGATCTCTCACTGTGGAAGCATCTCCACTTTTACACTTTAACGGAGAAAAAGTTACAACATTTATGTTTACTTCCTGGTATATTCGTATTAAATCAAGACAACACTTTAAAAAGAGTGGGAAAAAAACAACCAAAAAGTAGAAATTGTGTAATTTAGTTAAATAGAGATTTAAGATGCAAATTAAAAACATGTATATTTGCTTTTACCAAAATAAGAGGGAGTATTTCTCCTGTAAATAGTTATAAATATAGATATGGTTTAATGATAAATATCATTGTATGTTAGGGATTCACTTTTGAAATAATTTAATAATCTAATAATATACATGACAACAAATAACAAAGTTTATTCTGCATCACATAAATGAAGTTGTAAACTGCAGAACTGCAGAAGTTATTTGATATATTTTCCTATAAGACAATGAAACGCTGAAAACCCTAACACCAGAAAAGCTGTTGGAATAATTAAAGAAAATATATAATCTGCCAGCTTTTGATACTTATTTTTGATATCTGCAAGACACACTTTTCTGTCTTTAACCAAACAATGTGGACCCTGAACAGATTTAGACTTTGTACATCTTTTAAAAAGGACTCATGTTTCCAAAAAAACACCATCAGGCTGAATTGACTAAATTCTTCTTCAAGTTCAGATTTTTGTAAACAAAACAAACTGCAATCACTGTTAAGGGATTTTAACTGGGGACATTGGGACACACAATTGAAATAAATCAAACATAATAATTGTACCGACTAAATCAAATCAAATGTTGAACCTGTGCATAGTATGGGGATTTGTTTTATAATATTGAAGATAACATTAACTTTAATTGTTGTATGAAGCTTTGGTTTTATTGTTGGAAAAACTGTCATTTGTCATTTATTTAATTAAATATATTACATTCTTTAATACAAATGTAAAGAATTTAAATGAAGGCTTTCAGTAAAAATATTATATATAAATCTATTTTTTCCTTATTAAAAGAACAAAAATGAAGCCCTGAAATGTAAATAAAAAACTAAGAAATGGATTTGATCAAATGAATAATATTTGTGGTAATTTTTCCTTCTGTGCCTGCAATAATTAAATCTAAGTCGCGGTGATTTTTATAAAATGCTAAAAATTAAATGTTCTGAATGAAGTGTATTTTTATTTTCTTTGTAGCGGTGATTTTATCTGTTTGACGTCGCAGAGTCAGGTGTGTTGAAGCTTCTAGTCGACTGTTGATCAGTCTTCTTATTGTCAGAGGATCCACAAAGTAACGAGGCACATAACCTAAACATGTTGGATGGTTTTGAGGAACTGGGCCACATTTTGGGCAAATCCAGACAGGCAACACTTATAGCAACTTGAGTTTCTCCTGAAAACTACAAGAAGAAAACTTTATATTACATTATAGTTTTATTTTATCATTACTAATTGTGTCTTTCTAGTGTCTAATAATGATATGATGAATGACAAACTGAAACTGGACACATGTTAAAATCTGATTGGAAGTGATTTTGAAGTTGTGTTTTACAATTACACATAACAATTACGAAATAAAAAAGAAATGTTCCTTTTAATATTTGTTTGTATGTATTTGTATATATATTGTATATATACTGTAATATATATATATATATATAATACATGCTAATAATATTGCTCTGTTTGAGTAAAGCTGAGGCTGTTGCTTAGTGTTTTGTCAGAGAGGTTGCTCAAACTGTTGCCCCGTGAAAGAAACTATGAATCAAAACACAAGACTATTTCTGATGACGTGAATGTAAATGTATGGATTTATGGAAGTGCAGCCAACAAAGAAAAGTTTTGTGTTTCTTGTGTCCTTTTTTTATTTCTTCTTCTTATAGTTTTATTTGTGTTATTTCATCTCCCTGTCTGTGGACCGTGTTGTTGTGTGGAGCGGTGACGTGAACGGTTAAGATAACAGTAAGGTCTCAGGTTTTATATACGTTTTATTAACAAAAAAACAATTGAATGAATAAGGTTCATATCATAAGATATTTTGTTATGTGTCTGCAGAAAAATAAACAAACCCTTTTTTCTGCATCTTCCTCATGCATCGCTTCACACAGTGACATCAGGGCTCCTAAATCTGCATTTAACTGGGCACAATGATTAAATCAATACAAGATTTAATGTTAAGTTGTCCTGCAGAAAGTTTTTTTTGTGTGTAAAAGGAAATTATTTTGCAGCCCTTCATGTTAAATATGAAACAAAAGTGTCCCCTCTGTATATGTTGCATGTACAGAAAAGGTTCCTGGATGAAATTGACAGACGTGTAAGCTTTTATTGTTTTAGACAGAACTGTATTCCTTTTATGGTGTCTAGAGATTAATAACAACAACATATTCAACTGTGAGTTGTTTTTACTTTCAAATGTCTCTGTAATTGTGGAAAGGTTTGTCTGCAAACTGATTCTACACTCTGCATTTGAATAAACAGTCAAATTCCTCAAATGGTGGAGGATTTTTTCGGGATATATTATATAAAAACGTCTATAATTATAACAATGTAGTTACATACGGTCATTGAACAAAAAAACAAACATATAAGGACTTTAATAAAATAACATTAGCCAAGAAAACTGTTTCAGGTCTACAAAATGATTATAAATAATAATAAATGTATTATATTCAGTTTGCTAATTTAATTGTATTATTTGAAAGTATGTTTTGGGTGTTTTTTTTAATTGAATTTATAATTGTTATCATTTATTTTTAAATTCCTTTGATTATTTTTATTATTTATTCCTGGTTGACTTTTGGGTGGCGTTGTAAAAACCATAACACTCCACTGAACCCAACGCACCACGTGATATCAGCTCTGTGCTGTCATTGGTCAACCCCCCTATCAGTCATTCACAGAGGGTGTGTACCAGACAGGAGTTTGTGGCAGAAGGAGAAACAGCTGCTAGCAGGAAAAATGTCTGCGCTGCCTGATGGAAAGAAACTGGTCCGGAGCCCCAGCGGTCTGCGCATGGTGCCCGAAAACGGAGCCTTTCACAGCCCCTTCTCCCTAAACGAGCCGCAGTGGGTCCCCGATAAAGAGGTGAGGCAAGGCGGGGAGGATTTGTTTGACAGCGATAAGCTATCGGAACTGCGAGAAGCTAGCTTGATGTTAAACACTGCTCTTCCTGTTGAGATTTTCAAAATAAACGCTCTGTTTGCAAACCTAACCACCGAGAACACGATGAAGCAAGATTAAAATGAGAGGGATTACTTATATAAAAACATATAAATGGTTCATTATTATGTTATGCGTTGTAGCATAGCTTTCTAAACCTCAGAATTGTAGTTCAATAATGTTTGTTAATGTTTTTATCCAACTTATTTGTGTATGCCTTGGTAAATCGTCCAATTATCTGGTGTCCTGTATGCTAACTGCGGCTAACTTAGCACGGCTGCTGGACATCGCAGTTGGCCCCGAGACTGGGCTTTAACACGGCCATCCTGGCAGCACCCAGTTAGATCACCATATGGTTACATGTCATAAAAGCTTTCACCCCCAGTTATGAAGTTATATCATCACTGGAAATGGTTAAAGTTAGAAATCACATGTGTTTCGATTGTTAGCTAACGGGTGTGTTCCCACCATGGACTGTATAGGTTCCCACTAGTCAAAGTGTAACTCCTGCTAAGCTAGTAGCTTTCTATCAGTGAAAGCTCCTGCAAAAGGTTAAGAGAGACAAACAACTGTCTGTTACCCCTGGTACTTTGACCGGATTTACACTGAACCACAGCCAATAAAGTTAATGATCTCTCTGCTGTTGATTGTTGTGCCAAACATGAATCTATTAACTGTTTAAAATTCAGGGATGGGCAAATGGCGGCCCCCACCTCCTCTTTTTGCAGCCCTCAGATTAATTTATAAACAACGTAATGAATACATTTTTTTTTTTACTGATACCGTCCACTAGACTCCTAGTTACGTCGCGAGCTGCGTAGATGATTTCAAATACCGCGAAATAATCTGTGACGCATTTGTGTGTATTGTGTTTGTTTCCCGGGGAAACCCTCACAAGAAACACCGGCTGTTGTTATGCCTGCTGTGACGTTAAGTTGCCTCTTGTAATTATGCCTTTACAAGCTTCAAAGTTGTTTTTATCATCTGAATTTGGCGAAACAAGTTTAATATTCTTAAAACCAAGACTTTGTTTATTTGAAATCAGATGAAAACAAACTGTCACGGACCCTGCCGTGTTATCTATGATTACTACGCTTTTCATTCATAATGTCAGCGGGAGGGAGGGGGAGTGGTGCTGAGGAACAGCAGAGTGGGCTGACAGGTGTCTGTGTTGACCCTTATTGTGGAATAAGGGGAATGCAGAGACTGGCTACAAGTGTTTTAGGTTCAAGTTAGACAACTAATGTCTGGTTAGTGTTCATGACTTCATGTGTATGTCATCTAATGGTTAATCTCAATGCACACACATTTCCCGTGCTTTCCAATAGTTTAAAATAGTTTTATTCCACTGTTTAATAACCTGTTCAATACAAACATGCCACTTGTAAAAATGAAATAAAATGTCTGTGAACTGATATTTGGTTAGTGAGCTTATTAGAGGATGTTCCCTTTGATTGTAAAATGTCAATGAAGATGTCAGACTTAGTATATTTGTTAATAATTACATACAACACATGGCATTTTTGTGTGTGTGTGTTCCAAGTGAATGATGTGGCCCCCACCACCATCAAAGTTGCCCATCCCTGATAGATAGATACATCATTGTGTTAGAGCAGCAATGTGTTCAGGTATTCAAATCTTTAAAAAAACAAAACAATAAACAAAAGAGGCAATGCATGGTTATAATTGATTTAGAATAAGAATTGTAATTCTTTATTGACCTTAAAGTATTAATGCAAAATAATAACAAAACTATGCGAGTGACAGTCCTGCATTTTGATTATTTTTTAAGTCTTAAAGGTGTTTTTAAATCTGTAAATTGAGTTATAATCGCTCAAGGCTTATTCGGCGAACTTGTCGACTGGAGAAAGAAGCATGGGTTTATTGAAGTCAATAAGTAAATGAAAAATACAGACTTGAAACATTATTTGATTCATAAGTAAATCGACAGAAAGTTAATCGGCAACTATCTATTGGTTTAGGTAAAGATATTAAATATCTCACAGCAACATTACCAACATGTCTGTAGAATACTTTTTTGTTTTGCTGAAGACTAAATGGTAAGACATCTTTTAAAAAAAAAAAACAGTTGATTCTGCATGGCTCAGCATGTTGTGCAACATCCTGTTTTTTTCCTCTTTCCTGTCTTCCAGTGTGCGAGATGTATGCAGTGTGACACCAAGTTCGACTTCATCAGAAGAAAGGTCTGTTTTGTTTTCGTAAACACAGCCATGTTAACAAATCACAGCTTAATCTGATACACATGAAGTAGAAAATAAGAACATGAGGCTTGTGACGTGCTGTGAAGCCTGAGGTTTTTATTCCCCCACTTGGCTTCTGTTCATTTATTTTGGCACACTGAGGGCTCTGTGGTGACTGTTTTTCCTGTAACTACTGACATAATAACACTCTATCTGTGCCTCTGCTTTTTCCACATCTCCATTACCATATTTTCCATAAAAAACGTTCTGTTTACAGCAAAATCAGTTCAGTAAGTCTTTTGCTGATACTTTTTAAACCTTTGTAGCAACCTTTATTACTGTCTGCATTTGAACTAAACCATAAAAAAAGAAGTCTAAATTACATTTATAGTTCTCTTGGTGTCTTTCAACAGCTGAAGAGGTTTAACTTCCTGTGTCCTTTGGTAAAAAGTGCTGCACTAAACATTTTCTAGTTTGCGTTCACTATCATCAGATGACCTCAGTTTCTTATAAATGTCAGTGATTCACATTTTCTCAGCAAAGCGTCAGTTATTTAGATATTTCTTCACTTTCTGCTCACAGAAGTCCTGTGTCTGCGTCAGTCCCACAGAAAGGAACATATTTGTTTTTTTGTACTTCATTTGTTCTTATAACTCTTTCATTATATAGGTCAATATACTTTAGGACAATTAAAAGGTGATTTAATTTGAATCTTTAATTTTTCCTTTTCCATTCCTGTATAAGACAACTTTATAAAGTCCAAAATCTGATCTGATTGAACCTTCAGTTCCCCCCTGAAATAGGTGTTGTGATGCAGATACAAGCATTAATTAATGCATTTATTAGTGAACTGATTAACCAAATTAAAATAAGGATACTTAAGGAACTTATTTCAAGTCTCTCTGGATAATAGCTTCATCCAAATGTAATGTGAAGTCAGCACAGGGAGTTATTGTATACACTTGATCCTAGTCAAAAGGCAGACACGATGTAGTTATTTTGTTAAACCTGCTACTTATCAGAACTATAATATGTTGTTTTAACACACTTTGTTATGTTTTTGTGTCAAGTTTAATGTGACTTGCACAGTATGTTAGACATTCTCTTAACATTTAAACCCAATGTCTGAGTAAATGCTCCTCGTGTCCCTGCAGCACCACTGCCGGCGGTGCGGCCGGTGTTTCTGTGATAAGTGCTGCAGTAAGAAGGTGGCGCTGCCCCGGATGTGCTTCGTGGATCCGGTGCGGCAGTGCGCTCAGTGCAGCCTCGCCTCGCAGAAAGAGATGGAGTTCTACGACAAGCAGCTCAAAGTGCTTCTGGGAGGTGAGAAGACCAGCCTTAGATTATGAATTGTTATCTGTGTCCTTCAGTCAGGGTTTGAAAGGTAGAAACTTTACCATTTTAATATGGTATGCAGACTCAGAAGAAAACTTATTTTTTAGGTGTTGATACAAATCAAGAAAACACGTGCTATTTACCAGAATTAAATCAATTAATTAATATCTGTATTAATCCAAAATAATTGCAGGAAAATAGTATATTATACTTTCAATACAACGTTTCATATTTTAAATGCTTCTTTGCTGTAAAAAAAACAACAACCTCAAAGCATCCAGTTATAACTGTCATACAAGTCAAAGTAAAACACTAAAACAGCTTCTTTGAATTTAAACCAACATTTTATTTTTAGGTTGCAATCAATTGTCAAAATATTCCCCATGTCATTGATCAATCCACTAAAATGTTCAGCTGTTATTTATGCTGAAAAAATGAGACTGAAAAGTCTGACCTGAACGTCTGTCAGCAGCTTATTATTGTTAAAATGTGGATATAAGTTTCAGTTACTGTTTCAAATGTGCGTATAAATAAAAAAAAATCTAAATTTGAAGTTTATGTTTTTTTGTGAACTCGAATAAAAGTAACTTAAAAACAGCATTAGAGAAGAGCTCAGTGATTTAGTCTTTTGTTTTTTTCCACCGCTTGCTTTCTCACTTTATGACCCATTGACCTGAAACATGTCACATGACACACACTGTTACCGTTTAACCATACAGGAAGCAGAAATACTACAAAAACCCTCTCTGAAATATGTTGCTGAGTGCCCTCCACTCTCCTGCCGTGCTAATGCACTGTGTTGTTGTGGGTCATTGAGAGGCTATAAATACACAGCAGCAGCTCGTGATAAAAAATCCATCAGCCGCCCGGAGCTGCAGCATGTCAGCCTCATGCCTTATTGATCATGGAGTTATCAATAGATCAGCACAGAGGGACACTTTAGTTATTTATGTGGTGGATTTTGTGCAAAACTGCCGAACAATTCAATGAAAATACAACATAATGAACAGTAAAGAGGTCAGATAAAAGATCTAAATATGGAGGCGTGGGTTGTCCGTAGCTGTTGGGATCAGGGGGTCACGGGTTCAAACCCCACTGCAGTCAGCATGTCGTTGTGTCCCTGAAGACACTTCACCCCAAATTGCTCCTGTGGGGATTGTCCACAGTATTGGGTATGTAAGTCGCTTTGGATCAAAGCGTCTAACAAGTAATGTAAAATATGTTAGTGGTTTAAAGATAAATATATCAAATTTAAACAGATTTCTTCATTTTACTGCAGTGTTGCAGAAGCTACATGTTCCCGTCTTTAAAGTTTACCACATGTGAACTTGTTCCTCTGACTTCAGGCGGCTCCTTTGTCGCCACTTTGGGAACGTCGGAGAAATCTGAAACCATGATGTGTCGCCTCTCCAACAACCACAGGTCAGCTTTTTTAAATCCTTATTTTATGTGCGATATTCAAAGAGCCAAAGATAACCACATCTTGCGTAAACAGATATTTCTCTTGAAGTATACAAAACAAGAATCACATGTGGATTTCAAGTTTAAATATATTTATTAACAAACTCCAGGTATTTGTTCATGGACGGCGAGAGTCACTTTGAGGTGGAGCTGTCTCGGATCTCCAGCATGCAGATTCTGACAGACGGGTCGAGTCCAGGAGGTGAGACAAATACAAATCGGATACATATAAATGTTCCATGTTTGTTAATATGTTGTACTGCTGTTGGACTTGCCATGAGAAAAAGTTAAAAGGTTTCTGCTTTTTCTATATAAATTACTGAAAACCATTGTGTCTCCGTCATGTTTTTTTATTTTTCTTGATTGTTTTTCTTGAACTTAACTGAAAAATCTAATTAACACTTTTTTTCTCCCAAACTAACCCGAACGAACTGGTTTTTCTTCTTCTTCTTCTTCCTCTTCTTCTTCCTCTTCCTCTTCCTCTTCTTCTTCTTCTTCTTCTTCCTCTTCTTCCTCCTGGCTCAGAGAGCGACATTCACACGTACACCAGCCTGCCGGACACTCAGTATCTCTCTGAAGGTTAGCGTTAGCTTCACTCCGGTGTCATCGTCGTCACTCCATGCTTCCTTTTTGTTTTTTCAGATCTAATTTCTCTTGGCTTTTCATTTATATCTGCATGAAGCTGCATGACATTGAAATAAAAGATACTAGGACTGTACTTTCCTTCTTTTTATTTGTATTTAAAGCTGTTCTTGAGGTCTGTCTTTCCTGTATCATCACCTCTGAAAAAAGAAACTAAAATTACTTGAACAAAATCCTCAATTTGAATAAAAGGATTTATTGGTTTCAAAGAGTAATTTTTTCAATTAAATCGACTTTCTTTTATAAATATGATTAGTTTTTTTTATTGGAGTTGTATTTTGCTTATCAAAGTTTTCATTGCAGCCTTTAAAAAAACGATACTACTATTTTTACGCCTCAAAAATGTACTTGGTGGAAAATAACACGCCAGTTATTCCCAAGGAGTGTGCATTGTTTGCCCAATAGCACGTGTGTCTCAGAGACGCATCATTCTTTGTTTTCGGCTTCATTTGATCTTTGATTTTTAATCCTTCATTTCATTTGTACTTGGTTTTGAATCCCCTGACCTCTCTTTGTTTTTGCATCTGTTTGTTTGGCATGCAGTAATCACATTTAAAGGTGGGGTAGGTAAGTTTGAGAAACCGGCTCGAGATACACTTTGTGTTATATTCCATGGAATGCTCTTAACATCCCGATAGCAATGAATATCTGAAGTGCTTTGACAAAAAATCCATAAAAAATGTCATCTCTGGAAGCCGTGGCTCTGTAAAAAGCACGACCAATCATCTGAGCCGGCCCGGCTAAAGTAACTGGATGGCCTACCTGCCTGTCAGCCTTCCATCGGGGCACAAACTTATCTCGTGCCCTCATTGGTCATGTGCGAGTTCGTGTGTGTTGGAGGAGGGGCTCTGTACGGAAGTGGCAGATTTTTTTCCAGCTGTGTATTTTCAAATTCTAGCGCACTCGAGCTGGTTTCTCCAAAATGACCTACCCTACCTTCAAAGGTTATATGTTATTGAAGTGTTTAAGCTCATATCTTGACATTTTTTATAATTTGATTGTGTTTTTTTAAACTAAACTTGTGTGTTTTTGAAATGACACTAAAAGCTAGACAAAAGCTAGACACAGCTTTTTTGTACAGTTGTTAGAAAATGTCAAACCTCTTTCCCAAAGTATGATTGAAGCAAGAAAAAAACCAGACTTGAAAATGGCAAGATAACTTTCTTTAAAATGTCATCCTGTCTGAAGAAATGTCATTGGTGTCTGATAGTTTTGAAAGACAAAAGAATCTCAAGATTTTTCTTTTTTTGACAAATAGATGTATTTAGTTTATCCCATCAACCGTGTGTGTGTGTGTGTGTGTGTGTGTGTGTGTGTGTGTGTGTGTGTGTGTGTGTGTGTGTGTGTGTGTGTGTGTGTGTGTGTGTGTGTGTGTGTGTGTGTGTGTGTGTGTGTGTGTGTGGTGTGTGTGTGTGTGTGTGTGTGTGTGTGTGTGTGTGTGTGTGTGTGTGTGTGTGTGTGTGTGTGTGTGTGTGTGTGGTGTGTGTGTGTGTGTGTGTGTGTGTGTGTGTGTGTGTGTGTGTGTGTGTGTGTGTGTGTGTGTGTGTTTGCAGGATGGACGTCGCGGGCCAGTGGCATGCTGCTCCACTACAAGCCGATGGGCGCCCAGGATGCACAGCAGCTGAAGGTGGAGGCTGCGGACGACAGGAAGGCGGCCGCGTTGTGGCTCGCTGCCATGCACAAGGTAACACACACACGGGACACACACTCACACTGTCGATGCAAAAACTATTTATTTGTTTAATACAGTCCTATATTCCTGCTGCCTTTGTGATTAGACTCATCACGTTATCAAATACGTAATTACTACTAGGGCTGGACAATATTGCTTCCTTTCTTTATATGTTTGATTTTAAATAATATAATATTGTTATACGGCATAAATGGTTTATTTTCGGGGTTTGGAAGACTGCATTACAATAAAGTGACATTTCTTTACTTTACAAATTCATACTCAAAGGCATTACTGTCATATGCACAATAGCTACAGCGTAATAATACAAATCCACATACAAAAACATACTTAAAGGTGGGGTATGTAATTCACTTCCGAAACACTTTGTTATATTCCATGGAATGCTCTTAACATCCCGATAGCAATGAATACTTTAAATGCTTTGACAATAAATCCATAAATAAATGTCATCTGTGTAAGCCGTGGCGCTGTAAAAAGCACGACCAATCACCTGAGCCGGCCCGGCTAAAATAACTGGATGGCCTACCTGCCTGTCAGCCTTCCATCTGTGCACAGACTTATCTCGTGCCCTCATTGGTCATGTGCGCGTTCGTGTGTGTTGGAGGAGGGGCTCTGTAAGGAAGTCTGAAGGAAGTGGGAGATTTTTTTCGGCTGCGTACTTTCAAATTCTAGCGCACTCGAGCTGGTTTCTCCATTCTTACCTACCCTACCTTTAAGACATAAAATAGTGCTGAAAAAAGCTTTATTTTATATTGGCTAGTGTTTGTGGTAGCATGGCTCAGCTGTTCCTAATGCAAACACATTGAGACTAAAACAAAGGGTAACAACTTTCCTCTGGTGCCCTCTTCAGGTCAAACTGTAAAGAAAGTGAGACTGAGATTGTTTGCCTGTGTTGAGTCAAACTGCAGCTGTGGAGGTTTTCTCTATTATCATCCTGCAATAACATGTTCTTTATTATGTATCCCTCTCAGGCGGCCAAACTGCTGTATGAAGCTCGGGATCAGTGACCTTCAGACTGACCTTCAGACTGACCCTTCACACCCAACTGTTTGCCCCCGGCTCCCTGGGCTTTGGTATCGTTTGGATTTTTGCTAACGCCATTTCTGATTCTGCCCTTTCCGTCTGATTCCTCATCGGTTCCTGATGCCAGTTCTTATCGTGGTGAATCTGCAAGAAATGTTTGTATGAAAAAAGAAAAACACTTTATTACCTCTATAACCAGAACTTTGTATATCATGTTTACCACAAACACGAGGATTGTTACTCTTATTTCTTCGATGCATTCTCAGAGTTGGATTTAATACATACATCAGGGCATACTGTTTGTACTTAAAAAAAGGAACAAACTGATGCAGGAAATACGTTCCCCAGTTTAAGTTGGCAACTGTTTCTTTTGGGTTTCTTTTCTTCCTGTGTTTTGACTTTCTCAGATTTAAGTTATTTTGTTTAGCCACCTGATCCTTAAATACTGACAGTTAAGCTTTCACATTATAACACACATGAATACCTTTCATAAAGTCAGAGATGCAGTAAAACTTCCGAGGCACAGTGTTTGTTTCAATAATAACTTTTTATGCTGCAGTTCATTTTACTTTTGGGTTTTAATTCCTGGAAGAAATGAAGATACATTTTATAGATTCTTGAAGGGATCATTTTCTTTATTATTTGATTTTGCTGACCCTTCTTCCACAGAGGTCAGATAAACGGCAACAAGTAGGGACCGAGTGTCTCAAAGGACCTTTAGCAGCTTGAAGACTTAAACAGATCTTCCAGACAAAGCATTGTCCGCGGCAGGTAAAGGACAAATCCACCTTTTTCAAACTCTTTAACGAAGATAGAAAAGCACCCATGTGTGATGTGGGTTGCATTTCAGAGCCCAAAGTTTCCCATTTCCCCCAAAAAAGACCAGATAGAATGAGTTATGAGAGTGAGTTATGGGAAATGCAGGATTGTCTTACTGACGCAGAAACATGAAGAAGCGTATTGAGGACACTTTAAGGATAAAACTTCCTGAAAAGCAAAGAACATCAGAGATTTATCCACACTTTAAAGAGGGCTCTTTGGGGTTTCCCTGTAATGTGATACTGTAGGTTTTGGCATGTAAATGGTTCTGCGAAGGCTAAAACCTCAACGTTTTACACATTGTACGTGATTGGCTAAGGGGCGAGACAACCGAGCGGTGAAAAGAGGTGCTGCAGCACAGTGATATGAGAAGAAGAAAGAGCTCTTTAACATTAAAGCATGGAGACATGTCGCAGTCGAGACACTAAATATGAACCTGAAAATGAGCGTAACATGAACCCGTTAATGAAAATGTTGGATTTTTCCTTTACGAGACCTGCTTCCATTTAAATTGATGTATAAGTTCATGTTTCTTTTTGTAATGTATATTATTACGTTTCTCTATGCTACATATATTTACAGATTAAAATCTTTAGGCATCGCTGTCTAGGAGAGACTATTCACGGATTCTAGTGAAGCATAAACACATTATAGTTTCATGTATTGGAGTTTTGTATGAGCTATTTTGTTAACTATTCCTACTTTAACACGAGGTGTGTACGTACTCGCATCATTTCAGAAATAGTAATCCCCTTTGACCTTGCTCTAAACCAAGTCTGATTTTATTTTTATTTTTTTTATCGCTGTCAAAGCCACAACCTCGGGATGTGTGATCAACCAAAAGCTTCTTAGTCCTGGTTGAGTTTGTTTGTTTGCTTCCAAGGACCTATTTTAAAAAACAATGTAGTTGAAAGTGGTGAGAGGATTTCGGCCAGTGCAAAACAAAATGCCCTAATCAACTTTTACTATGTTAATCTTTCTAGAACTTGGCCTATTTTGGGCCTCTTGTGTGTTATCACCACATTTGACTACACCCCTATTTCTGAACTATGAATACAGAGACATTTTTGAAGATATTATTCTTAGATTTTTCACGAAATGAAACCCTGTATTTGTTCCTGTTTTCTTATCTGCGGCCACTCAGTTTATTCAAATGATGTAATTAACTCTGTAAAGTTGCCATCAGTTGGTTTGTGTTGAAGCCCCAGAATGCAGCAGGTTTATCTCAGTGTTCAAAATGTTAAGAGGACTTTTCATAATGCTGCTGCTTCAACATAAAAGCGTACAATGAGGGAAACGTGGCCCTGTTGGGAGAATAAAACGGTAACACATGAGAGACACAAACTACGGCTTCCTAAGTTAGATTTCACCTCCTAACAAAACAAAGAAATTCTGAATGGACATTTTAAATTGACATTTCCTAACCCTAATTGTCCCTGATGCCAATATGTGATATGTTAGGTTTCAAAAACGATAAACATTGTTGGAGTTATGACAAAATCAAGAAGTGTAACTTTAACGTATGTGAAAGATTACCTTAGCTCGTGTTTGTGCATTTAAGAGTGTGTTCTTTATTGTAACTGAGTGTTATGACACAAAGCTAAAAACTGGACCTTGAAATAAGTATTTTTTTGTCAAAACACTTCAATTCACAAACACTTTAAATCTGTCTAAACACCCGAATAAACCCTTGTATTATAAATATACGACTGCACATCAGTTTCTAACACTGTGCTTTATTAATCTGAGATTAAATCATATATAAATATTTAAAATGTGCTGGTGTCTTCCCGGTTTTTATCTAATCATAAATCAACAAGTTAAAAGTTGTTTAACGGAGCACATCATTGGCTTTGTTGGCCTTTTCCCTTCATGTCATTGATACCAAATGACAACAACATGCTCCACCACCACGACTTTGTAACATAACATTTATTTTTATACGCTGCTCACCTAAGAAATTACATCACTAGTTGTTGCTTAGTTTGAGGCTTTTTTTAGAGCAGAGATTGAGGAACGTTTTGTGTGTTTGTTGTTGTTTGTGTCTTCCATGGTAGAGCTGTTTGTTGTGAAGTACATGAGGGCTGCACAGCCACCAACTAAAATGATCATATATTATTTCCCATCATTGTTTAGCCTCTTTGATTGAAGACTTAAATCATTTCCTTATTTAATTTCCTCTGCACCCAGCACTAATAAGATGCATGATCCCTTTGTTAATTATAAACATCTAAATCACAATGGAAACCATGTTGTGCTCATTGGAAACTGATTATCTGGTAATTCTGCATGTTTTTTTACAACAGTTATAAGATGTAAAATCCCTTTCCTTCCAAGTTTGATCAGAAATACACAAACTTGCAATGACTTCCTGGATTTCTGCAGATACATTTAAAATAAAGTATTGTTTTGCCCTTTATTTAAAGCACAGTTGCCCGAAGAAGATTGAGATATCTCATGATTGCTGAAATGCAGACATTTTATAGTTTATAAGTAAAATCAAATAGAGTTATCTGATGAAAGTCATATGATCATCTTGTGCTTCTCTCTGTGCAGCCCTCATTGGTTAAACATGAATGAAGTATATTTGTTTGAATGCACTTTGTGTAACGTCACTACTTCATACTCCTCCGCCAGTGTTTGTTCCTGCACTTTAAAGCCCTCCCTGATTATTGCAGCCCTTTTTTATCCCAGCGCTTCATTTTATTACGCTGAAAACGCTTCTACACCTTTTGTTGGATTATTCTGTTGAGAATAAAATCAAGTGTTTATACATTTCTGGTGTCTGTTGTGTCATTTGGAAAACGGGATTCCTCTATAAACAAACGGACAGACTGAAGGGCGACACGTGGAAAAACGTATTGAATTCAGAACAATTATTCATGTGCATTTTTCATATTAGTAATCCTCATACTTTTACTGTAGGACATTTTGCACCAATGTAAAACTGTATTTTTTGACGACTGTCTTGAAAATAATGTCTTATAAACCACCCAACCTTGATAGCCTATTTTAAAATATACACAATATATTTTGTATGATTAAAATATCAAATGGTCTAAATTCAAAAAGAGATTTAAATGACACCAGAGGCCTCTCCAGCTCTTTGTCCTTTTGACAGATTCATGTGAATGTATTCTAGGCAAAGCGGGTTTTAACGTTCATAAACAAAATAATTATGGAAATGTACGAGCTTTGTATCAGAAGGACACTTTAAACAAACTACGTAACTTGCACAGTGTAGTGTTGATTCTAGAATGTACATATTTCATATTAACTTTTAATTGAATACATATACAGAAAAACAAAATCTCTATTATTACTATTTTGATGTAATACATAGTTTGTATGTTTTACACAACAGTGACAAGATGATACAAGACACTACACACACAGGGTTGAGCAACGTAGAAAAACCACAAAATAAAAACTGACACACAAAATACAACTTTTAATAATCATTTTGAATAACTATTTTTAGCTGCTGACAAATATGACTTTCTTGAATCAACGTTTGAGATGCAACAACAGTTTTATTTCTCTCTTCATATCACATACACAAATATAACCACGTTTACATTTAACTCGTGCTTTTATTTTGAAGGAAAGAGTATAGATTGCTCCTCCTAAGGACTTCGTTCACAAGACTTTCACTTTCATTTGTCGATCTTTAATATGTCCTAGTGACGCAGTTTTCTTTTCACCGTCTAAAAGGTAATGTAATGTATTATAATTTACTATATTAATCTTACTGTCAGTGTAATAGATGTGTTTTCATTATCTTTAAGTCCAACCATAAGAAACTTCAAAACGGGTCAGAATTGCGTTTTTGAAAGTCGTCAAAACACGGAACAGGTGAACAGGTGAACAGGAGCTTCAGGCCTACTTCCTTGATCTTGAAATAGGTATGCTAATTAACAAGCAAAACAAATGCCGTTTTCATCATGAAACATGTCATGCTTTTCGTTGTTTTATGTATTATAAAAAGTGAATATCTGAGGTTCGTACTGACAATACAAGCAATTGAATGAAATCGCCGGACTGAGAAACTGGGATTGAATTTTCTGACATTTGATTAACTTTTACTTGATAATGAAATCTTTAGTTGGTTGCAGCCAGATAAATGTGCTTTGCAAGTTTTAAAAAGGTGTCTAGCTTTGATTTCAGAATACAGACAGGAATAAAAACCAATAACAACTTTTATTTATTATTTTTTACTTCAGAATAAAATGTTTAAATGTTAAAAATGCACACTGCACTGTAAATTACGAAAGACATACAGGCGTGTTTTTATCTCTACAATATTACTTGGTTGAAACAAAAGTTAAAGAAACTTGTTCCTTCCTCTGGATGTTGAGGACTTTAGTTGGACATTGATCACGACAGAGACAAAAGTACCGAAGACCCAAGAAAATGACCCAAAATGATTAAACAGAGTTAAATAAAATAACCCATCATTTTTTTTAGGGTGAAGTAACTTTAATGTGACATGCACAAACTGTGAGTATTGTTGTTACTGCGTCCCTATTTACACTAACTTCTCTTTGTCATGCAGGTACAGGTAGAGGCTTGCAATGAGTCAGCTTGGGCAGATAGAGAGGTGGCTTCTTCCTCCTGAAACCTCTCTGGTTTGGATCCTGACAGCCAATGGACGCCCACAGGAGAAAGGCCTGAAGAAAGCATCTCCCGACCCCTTCTTTACAGGGTCAGAAAAACACTATCTTTGATTCAACCTCTGTTTTGGTTTTGTGAGCTCAAAGCTTCAGAAGAGCCAGAGTACCTGTAGACATTTTTTGTAGACATTTTTGAAGCTTAAATGCAATCCCCATAAGTAAACAGCTAACCATAGCTATATACAAACTACTTAAACCATGGGCGTAGAAAGCATCCTGAATGTGGGGGGGACCTTCCTGTATTCTGGTGCATTTTAACAGGTGGTTTGATACTTTTATGTGGCTATACTAGCATGAGGAAAATGATGGGTACATTTTGTAATTTCATCCAGTAGTAAAGAAAGGAAACATATTTGATTATTAATTCAGAGCCGTCTTTGAATGAATAAAAAGCAGTTTAAATGCCCATTTTTTGTACATTTATATACAACAATAAATATTTGTGAGTGCATTGAGAGATATTGTTGTGGAGAGTCGTTTATATATACATCGCAAAATACATTTGTGAATCCTTCTGTGAGCATTTATTAATATTGAGACTGATCTGACTCCATACCGATGTTAAGTTCACCTAGGAATGGTATCATTGACTTGTTTAAATAAATGTTGCTCTTCTGTCTATATTGGTCATATAATGCCCCTTGACTGAAATGCTTCCTGTGCAATATCCCCACTGATTTCCTTAACACTCTGGGATGAGAGTCCACATCACAATTGACTCTAAACTGTCATTTCCCTTTCATCACTCACCTCAGCAACGGACCTCTTTCCACTGTCCCTGTGTTCTGCCTCTGACTCACTCTCAAGCGCCTAGATGTCAAGAGAGGTGGTGAAGTGATCATTATTGATTGAGCAGTAGGCCTATACTCTTTCACATTGAACCATAACAAGTCATACTGAATGTAAATACAACTGACTCTAAAGTAAGTCTCAGTCTGTGACATTGGACATTTTGAAGACTCAAAGTCCCAAGCCGTAGGTAGAATATTAGCTAGTCTATGTAATGTGCACAGAAAATAAATAGTTAACTGAATACTGGGATGAAAATTGCCTATAAGCACTCAGTAAAACATAAACACACACAACAAGCTTCTGAATGATAAGAAGTATAATTAAAACATAATGCACATTATCATTTTGAGAGAGAGTACCTAAGTTAAAGAACTCAGAAAATAATCTCTTATCGAACTGAGGCTCCAGTAAAACACACTGACTGCGTCTCTACATGACATGTAGAGAGATCGGGTTATTCATGTTCCCTGTTTACATGATAAATACTAGTAACCTGGCATTTCGATGCCTTTTCTCATCTAAACTATTCAGTATTTGTATCTCTCTATCATGACATAAAGACGAAACTCCTCTCCAGAAGTGAGACGCCGCCGCTGCCATCACTGTTAACTGATTAACTGCTACCAGCTGATGACTTACTTTCCTCTTCTTTGAAAATGTTTTTCTCATGTCCATGTTGTCTGGGGGAGAAAACATATCAAACCAAGAGATCGTCAGCTTTGATTTTCGCTGTATTAACAATGTCCTGAACACTTGGTGTGTGTGCCTTACCTCCGCTACCGGCATCGCTTCATACAACAGGTCTGAGCTGTCCAACTATGACAACACACCTTGAATATGCGCGCGCTATGTGAGAATCTGCCTTGGTACAAAGTAGCAGTGAAAACATGGTACGGAGTTTCATTGATTTGGGCATTCTCTCAATAAGCAAGTGGAATGGATTTGATAGTGAAGCACTGACACAGCGCTCTACAAAGTGCGGCGAGTGGATAGACCGATTCACGGACTTTCCACGTGGTAAAAGTGGGGGGGTCTAAACTAATCATTTAAAAAATTGGGGGGGACTTGTCCCACCCTGATATAATGGCTGCGACGCCCATGACTTAAACAGTATACTAGGAACAGAACTCTGACTGAACTTCAACGTCAATTAGAGTCTCTGTTTAACCAGCACTTGCTGCAGCCCGATGGTTTATAATCTAATGTTTTCTCTCTCTCTTGTCTACCTGAATCATTAGGCAAGTTCCCTTTCGGCAGAAGATACATTCCAACCCTATCCGCTATGATTTCTGAGAAGCACCCTCTGACATGTAAGATTTTTAATGAAACTAGAATGTATTTTCAATAAGTGCAAGGCCACAAATATATGTTTTGCCGCACTTCATGCCAATTATTCTGAAATAATGTGATACAATAAAAAAATGTTGTCTTTATCTCCCACCACTAAAAAAAAAAAGTGTTTAATTTAGATTGATTAATCACAGATTATTATTGGGATTAATGCAATTCAATTTATTCAATAAATTGACAGCACTATTATTTATTTATTAAAGATTATAATAGCGATAAGAATATCATAATATTTGATATACCATATCACTTCAGGGGACATTACATTGACTTACATGCATTTCCTGGAGACTTATCCTAACCTTAACCATAACCAACACATGCCTAACCCTAACCCTAACCCTTACCTTAATCCTAAACCTAACCAAGTCTTCACCCTAAAATTAATGATTCCCCTCATGGGGACCTCCAATTTGTCCCCATAAGGGAGGCGAGTCCCCACACGTGACTATGTAAACAGATTTAGGTCCCCACAAGTATAGTAATGCTAGACCACACACACACACACACACACACACACACACACACACACACACACACACACACACACACACACACACACACACACACACACACACACACACACACACACACACACACACACACACACACACAATGATCACTGTATTGCCCTGTTTCTACTCATTGTACAATAATGTCCTGATCATATGCACACAATCTAAACTAGAGCATAGTTTTTGGCAATGGAAATCTTAAATCCCAGTGATTTACAACAGTGCATACATACTACTATACTAAAGACATACACATAAATAAAATAGTGCAATTAAAGAGACATAATGGTATAGTAAAATGCAGGAACACGAAATTAATATATACCAAAAGTAGAATAAGATGAACCCGAATTGAACATTAAATATTGTAGAGTAGAATAACTACATTTATTATCTTGGTATACAATTATATAATAGGAATGTTTGTCCATATTGCCCTATACCACTTACAGCTTCAATTTAAGCACCTAATGTATACACTTTAAATACTGTACTGTGTTTTTTATCAGGAGAAAAATGGAGGTGCTCCTGCTGCTTCGCTGCATAATGTATTTTGCTGTTTCAAATCGGAGGGTCAGCGATTCGATCCCCACGTATATGCGTCAAAGTTTCTGTGGGCCAAATAATGAACCCTTAATAGCTCCCAATGTGTGATTGTTTACCTCAGGGGTGTCCAAACTTTTTTCACTGAAAGATATTCGAAGGGCTGGGCCCCTCAGTAGAGGTGGGATATATTGCCTCATAAGTTAAGTTATAAACCTCAGATTGCTTATTATTATAAAGGGAAATAGGAAGGGTATATTTCAAGCTTGTTATGCAAATAAGTATTGGGCTTTTTTTTTATCAACTAAGGTATTTTAGAGAATGTTTTCAACTTTAATTGACGCAATTTATCTGAAAAGTGGGTATACTAACACATGAATACTACTACTTGTTTTATTTGTTTACACATATATTTAAGAAGTACAATATAAGAAGAGAGCAAGTTTCAGGTGTGGGCCATATTCCAATATACTTTTTGTATTTGCTCAGGGCTAATTCAAAATGGACCGCAGTTGGCCCCTGGGCCGTAGTTTGGACACCCCTGGTTTACCTCCTTCTTTACAACCAGTACAAGAATGATTGTGAGTAATTGCTGACTTGTGTGTTTTTTTAAGAGTGCCTTATGGGTTGCAAAGCTATATTAATGGGATGAATTTGTTTAACCCACATTGTATTCCAGCCTCGACTCGACTAAAGAAATATGCCATAACACTAACATATCTTTTTTTGTAATCTGAAAAAATTAAAGGAAATGTAACTTTAAACTTTGTTCATGTTGGAGCAATTTTTTGTGTCTATTTCTACGTTTCTGTCTAATAAGTGGTATGTGTTGGATTGCAATTTGTGAGCAAGATTAGGTCCATAAACTATTTTGTGCTCTAGTAAACATTTGAATAAAAAACAGCTTAATATAAAGAGGGGAGCCATACTTGTCCAGTGTAGTTATACAATGTTGCACTGGATTTGAGTCATTGGGTCTCATCCATAGACTGTCTCATCACATGGAAGTTATTGAAACAATCCAATAATTTGCTACATTTTTCAATGGAAATTTTAATTTATAAAATGCATTACATTTTTCAGAAATTGTGTCACATAAGTCAAATTAATCAGATTTGTTTTAACTATTATTTTAACTAACATGAGACAGTTATCCTGCTGTATCCTGTGCAAACGCGACAATTTAAATACTTTCACATTTAATAATTTAAAATAGATTGTATTTTAGTGTAACTTTATGATTTGATTAGAATTAAAATGCCGGGACGTAAGAAGTGCCATTACCTAATAAATACCATTACCCAAGTAAGGGTCGCTGTTACCGGTATTTATACTTTAAATCAAGACACTTTTCTTGATTATATATTTTCCCAACACCTGACATAACACTTTATTCTCAATTCTCCCTCACGTCTTAAAAAAATTACCCACTTTATTTTGATATGAATTAATCAACATATTGACAACCTGCCACCCCTCTGGCCCGAGTTGGTATCGCCCGTGTCTCCACAGGATCAGGCGCACATGTTGGGTGTGTTGTGTTGAGGATTGCAGCGATATTACAGCATTTAGCAAACCTCTGAGCACTGTCACGTTGCTGTTTGCTCTCTAACCACCACAGATACAATGCGATAAGCTTCACAGTCAATGAGAAGTCATTAAAAAATCGGTTTCATTGTAGAAAAACACTTGCGGCGAGGAGGCTGACACGTTTCCAAAAGCGTGGCAGGAAACATCTACTGTTCCCCGGACTGAAGGTATGCACACCTACACCCTCATTATGTGTCTCTTTAACCCCCTGTGAAGCTGCTCCTTTTATTAAACGCGCTTTAAATCATGTACATGTTTGTTAAAGTTTGTATTGAAGTCTGTGTTGCCGGCTAGCAGAGCCTCGTTAGCTTCCTCAGCTGTCAACATGCGAGAGGTTCATAGCCTATAGTAACTATCCACTCAATGACAAACTATACCAATTAAACGTGATGTAGCAAAGCGAAGTGACTCTATTCACGACTGGTTGTCAACTTTACCCCGTGAAATGACTCGTATTTCGGCTGGATGAGAAGAAAACGCTGAGCTAGCCTCCCAGTTGCCACGTAGCTAGCCGGCTAATGGGAGCAGAGCAGCGGCTGGAGCTCTGCAGAATCACTGCCTCTGGTTCATGCCATAAACAGAGTACTATGGTACTGTACTCAAGTTTAAATACAAGTACAACACTGTAAAGATACTCTGCTACAAGTGAAAGTCATGCATTTTAAATTCTACAGAGGTATGAAAGTGTCAGCATCAACTTAAAAGTGTTAAAGGTACACGTACTCATTATTCAGAATGCACGTTTATAGAATGATCAGTGAAGGAATAAGTAGTATGAATTGAGTAAAAGTACTAATACAACATTCTAAAAGTACTTTATTACAAGTTCAAATCATGCATTTAAAACATTACTGAAGTTGTAAATTGCCAGTTAAACTAATGCATTATCTCTTTTAGACTACAAGTGAGTTCAAAATGATAAAAAATAAAAGTACAGAAGTATTATCAGCAGCATGTACTCAAGTATCACAAGTAAAGTACACATTATGCAGAATGGCCCATTTTAGAATAATCAGTGGTGTGATAAGTACTTTTGCCTAAATAAAAGTAGTAATAAGTTTAAAAGTACTTACCTAAAGTAAAATACTTATTTTCTTTTTACATAAGGGCTTATCTAAGTAATCAGATAATTAACTAAATTACATTTTTATTGTATTTGACTTTTTCTTATATAATGGTATTTTATTGCATGTATCAGGTGGATTTAATTTAAAATAAATGTTATCAGATAAGTAATCCGAACTTTTACTCAAGTACTATAATAAAGTACAGTACTTTATTTGTTGTTAATTAATGCAACTCCACTATAATTTTGCGATCTGAAAAGAAAGCAGAAACTACAAACGCCCAATAAATGTAGTCGACATGCACTATTTTCCTGTAAATGTACTGTAGGAGTACTGTATGCAGGTCTTTAAAATAAAATACTTAAGTAAACAAGAAGTATGTCATCATAAGAACATGTACTTGTGTTAATTGCATTCTCTGTCAAACTGAAATGGTTTTATTGATGAAAAAGTGTCAAACATGCAGAAAAACTTGAATTTCAAGAGGACCTACGAACCTGAACACATTTCTGATTCTTGTCTTTCCTCTCTGCATTTTGAAGCTGAAGTTGAAACTTGCTTCAATAAAGAGTTATAACAGAGAAAAACATTTGTCCAATGGAAATGATTGTACAACTCCATTAGAGACAAATATTAAAAAAGATATGATTTATTAATTTTGTTGCGGATTCTTTGTTTTAAAATGTCTCTCTTTCGTCTTTTCCCATCAGGCTTTGCGGCTCACTGCGCCACCATGAGTTCGAAGGTGTGCAGGAACTGCGGCAGCACGGACATCGACGTGGACCAGGCCCGCGGAGATGCCGTCTGCATGACCTGCGGCTCCGTGCTGGAGGACAACATCATCGTCTCCGAGGTGGAGTTCGTGGAGACGGGGGGCGGAGGCTCGTCGGCCGTCGGACAGTTTGTCTCCTCTGAGGGTGAGAGTCACTGACTAGAGCTGCACAATTAATCAAAGTTTTATTGCAATATAAACTAGTGCAGTATGAAATGAAGTATTGTGGAGCAGCAGACATATCGCAGCCTGCAAAACTTGTTGAACAGTTTTAACAATACAAATGTGTTTGGTACAGATCCACTAAAGAAACACAGACCATAATAATTGGATATATTTTTCAATAATAACGTGAATAATGTTTAAAAAATGATTATTCCCTCCAATATCGTGCAATTGCAATATCAGTCAAAAATAATCGCAATTAGTTATTTTTCCAAATCGTGTCGAAGGGGATATCCAACATATTTAATGCAAGATTTTTATAGTTAAACTGGTATATTTACAGTGTTGCATTAGTGTTTTTAGGATAGGAAAATTATAAGGAATCTGTTTTTTCTATGTTGTTTTGTAAATGTAGCACTTTGCTAACTTATTTAATGCAGAGGACAGAAGAAATAGCTATCGGCTTATCATTTCATGTGATTTCATTTATAAGAAGAGAGAATGATGGCCAGCAAAGAAAACATGTAAGAAACGTGTGACCTTCCAGTGTTACCTTTTTAAAAAAAATGGATTTATTGATTATTTCCTAAATATATCTTTACTGGAATTCTTCTCTCTGGGTTGTTGTTTGTTTTTATTTGTAAATTATATAATTGTTTATGTAGATAGTGAAAAATTCCTTGAGTTTTCCTTTTTCCTAACAGTTTTAATGTAAATTCAGATTTCTAATAGGAAGTTAAGGAATATAAACATGAATCATTCTTAAACTATCAGCACATATTTGTCCTCCTACTTGTCAGATGTGTGTGTATCTAACACACTCGCTCCGTGAGGTAATGTTAATGTGTGTGTTGTTCCACAGCTGCTTATCAGTGTGTGACATTTACCTCCAGATTATGTTTGACCTTCAGCCTGCAGGATGTCTCCCTCCTGCTGAGCCTGCTCCAGACGCACGTTACATGTTCTGTAGTTCCTCTGAGTGACCACTAGAGCGCGCTGTCAGATTACAATGCAGTACTTCATGCTGATTTCTGCAGGTTGTGTTTCGTTTTTGCATCATGCATCATGCATCACTTGGGTTCAAAGCTGAAACAGTTAGTTAGGGTTATCACAAAAATGTAATAATATCAAAGTATTTTTTATTCTCTTTGAATGTAAATTAAACATGTTTTGGTTATGGCAGATTAAACAAGACAATTTTGACCTAAGGGAACTTTTCTTTTAACACTTTCAAAACATTTTATCAACTAAACCAGGATTTCCCGTTCTTTTTATTTACAGGACCCCTTCTCTATCATTGTGCTTAGTGGCATATTTGATGGATATTTCATGTTATATTTACTGCATAACAAGAATAGAGCAGAACAACTAACAAATTGTACAGTAATCCAAATAGTGAACACAATTACTGTAGGAGGTAATGCAAAACATGCAATTTGGATAAGCTGATTATTCCCTGTGAATATGCAAATTAGCTTTCCTGTTATTTCTAGGACATTTTTATACATTTCTCCCCGTATTATGATTTTTTGTTTACATTCATACATACTAAATAGTCTTCCTTTTTGTCAAATGGATCACAGGGGTCGTAACTTGGTCTTGACTAGTAACCCTGCATGCAGCAAATCTGTGTCGTGTTACAGTTACATGTTGCAATGTTTAATGTGTTTTCCCTGACAAATAAACGGGCTGCTCGGGACAGTTATGGCGCATTTCCACTACACGGCCTCGCTCGGTATGGCTAGGCCTCGTTAGGACTGGCTCATTTTATAGCACATTTCCATTACAGTTTAGGAACTGGGGTAGTATCTATAGTAACGCAGTGTAGGCGGAGCCGTGACGTCATCTTCAATGAGAACCCCAGAAAAACAACATCAGCCGTTCGCTCTTATCACTCAGAGCTCACAGCTCCTCATATCTGTTCAGATATAGACAAAAGTTAAACAAGTACAAACCACAGACTGTCTGTGTCATGGCCAGTGGCGGCGCCAGGGTATGGCTGTAGATGGCTGGTGTAGATTCTGGGGGGTTTTGAAGTCCTAAAAATATTGGACGGCCGTTCACCGGAGTCTTATCAGCACCGGAGTTCGGTATCGGAGACGGCCTAGGTATTAACATTTGTTGTATCAAAGTTATATTCCTTTTCAATATGAATGAACAACAAAAATAAAATAAGTTACATTTATTTGTTATTGGCTGTGGTATGTTATTGGCTATGTTCACATACTTATTTGGTAATTAAAATGTAAACCGATCTTTTTCATATGGGTGTTTAGAGTTGTACCCCCTAGATCTAGTCTCTAGTAATGTGTGCTTAAAGTGCACCAGATTGAAGCATTTTACCTTAAATGTTCAAACATTTCTTCCCGGGGGGGCATACCCCCGGACCCCCCCAGAGGATGTGACGTACACACCACAATTCAAACATGTTCATACAATACTGAATACATTTGAAGCCTTTTTGATGTATATTACCTATGTCAATACGTTTTTGTAGTGTATTGGTCTTTTGTAGAGATTTTTCATTTATTTTTTATATATTCTATTGTGTATTCCTTGGATACTTTTATCTTTTAACGATTTTCTGGCAAGAGGGGGGGCACCAGCTAAAATCTTGCAGAGGGCAGCAAATTGGTTAGAACCGGCCCTGATGGTGTAGGAAACGGGCTCCGTGTTACAAGACGGGTCGGGGGTTTGGCGGTACCGCTGCAGACACACACACACACACACACACACACACACACACACACACACACACACACACCGCTGCAGACTCTGCACGAAGGAGCAGAGACACCCGTTTACTAAGCGGAAAAACTATATCCTGTCACAGAGATCTGCTATTTTAAAGTAAAATCAACACATATCGACCCGAAATAAAGTCTATATTAAGAACGAGAGATGTTTTAAAATATGGCTTAAACAAATGACAAATGAGCGAGGGTGATGACGTCAGAGCATCGTCCTATGTGCCGGCGCTAAGCCCCGGACAGCCCCGGCCCAATTTAACCCCTGGTTGTAGCCAGGGGCGGACTGGGACTAAAATTCAGCCCTGGAAACTGACCCAGTCCGGCCACATGAAATGTCAAATGTTAGAAATCCGCTGTTTATTATTTAAAGTTTTACGTCCGATTCGCTCCTTTTTTCCTCTCTGTACACAGCTCCAGTTTGGGCATTGGCCTGTCATCAGATTTCATTTTTAGTTGCTGCTGTAGCAGAAGTTTAGTACAATTATTTTTTGATGAAATACTCCAAATCTCCACCCTCCATAATTGCTAAATAAAGCTAATTGTTACGGTACGAACTGAAGTTGATGCGATTTGATTGGATTGTGAGGCATGAGTGAGCCTCATCTGATTGGTCAATCCCTCAATTTCTTTTCAACAAGGGAAGCCAATTTTGGCTAGCCTCCTCTCGCAACAGAGAGTGCAATACTGTTTCATCATAACATCTAGAGGGGCGCTGTTTCACTCTTTGTAAAATACTCAATGAGAATGGGGGAGAGATGGGCCGGCAGAATAATTACCGAAACTAAACAAAGTGTTTTTATTTATTTATTATAACTACAAAACAAAAAAACAGGGGAAGCCTGGCTTCCCTTGGCCTCCAGGAGAAAACGCCACTGAGTTCAAGGGATCAATCTCACCCACCTCTTGCTCTTGCCCTGCACGTGTGCCAGTTGAGCTGGTTCTTCCACCAGCTCAACTCTCTGTCCCTCATCATGAACGCAGGAGGCTGGCTGTATATCTGAACTCGCGCCCTCATCATTCTCTTCATCATCTTGCACTTGTTCTAAGCTGCTGATGATAGTGCTTGTAGCAGCGCTGCTGCCAAAAAGGTCTGTCAATTTGCGACATTGATATGCTTCACCTGCGAGTGACTTCACCTTTTTCTCTCTTGCCTTCTCGGCCCCACCTTTTTCTTTTTGTTTTCTTTGATTTGTATCCATGTTTTTTCATTCGCCCTGTCTGCCGCGGCGTCTAATCCCTTCGCTTCGTGTGGCCGGTCTTTTTTCTTCTTCGTGTGTGATTATTTGACAGATAAGAACCACACAACTACATTAGCGCCCTCTGTCGCCCTCTGTCGGCCGTCAGTGCAATTTAAATGATGACGTTAAACAATTTTTTTTTTTAAAGGGCCGGCCGGCCGTCAACGGACCTTGACGACCGGCCGTTCTGTGGTTCTCCAGATTCTACAGATGGCCAGTCCGCCCCTGGTTGTAGCTCCCTTGCCAGCGATTCTCTCTTTAGTTTAGCATACTCAGCCCGACTCAGCCTGGTTGTTGGCCCGGAAAGAACCTCGATTTTATGGGGCTAGAAAATCTGGAAATAGTACACGCTAGCCGGTACTACGCTAAGTGGAAACGCAACCAAAAACGGGCCCTGCACGGCTCGGCACGCTTAAAGCGAGCTCCGCGCTGTAGTGGAAATGCGCCATTAAATGCCCATTAGGAAGAAAAAATGAACTTTTTATAGTCGTAAAAGTGATTAAATGACAAGAAGAATCTGCTTTTGTTTTCCATTAAAAATATCCAAGAAAAATAGTTGTTGTTGTTCTGATCCTTATCTGTCTGTATTTTTTTTTGTCTTCAGGAGGAAATATCAACCCGAGTTTTGGAGAGAATAACCACTACCAGGGCATGGGCAGGGAGTCCAGAGCTCAGACGGTGCAGAGAGGTGAGTGACCTGCAGGGGGCGACACGTCACTTTATCATCACTGTCTGCACGAGGTTCAGCTGTGCATAAAACTGCTGTTTCATCAGTCAAGTCTAAAACCTTCATAATGTAGCTCATGTTAGTCAATGATACTTTGGTATCTTCCTGTTTTCACGAGTACAAGTTAGGGAGTTATATCTTTATATCCACATATGTCAAGATTATCGAAATATACAGTATTTGATTTTGCTTTCTGTTTTATCTCATTATGTCTTCTTTACTTTACGTCTAGTTTACTTATTTCTGTGTTGCACCTCGCTTTAAGTATATTGTTTGTTGAAGTGTTGGAGGTGCATAGAGGACATATTATGCACATTTTAAGGTTCAAAAGTCATTATTCATACACATTGAATGCACTTGTATTTGTTTGTATACACTTCAAACATCTACTTCAACATTTATTACAAAGGAGGATGACTTCAGAGGTTAAACATTTCACAGAAGAGGCTGAGACTAAGTAGTTTCAGGAAAACATCCCTAACAGGTTTCTCATTATCAGTTCTTTTCAGCTTTAGTTCATGTGCTTTAATATATATTTTATGATCTTCACTTGTAGTGTTGTGTGCAAATGTTCTTCAGAAAGCAGCAGTGTTGCAACATGCTGGATTTTATAACCTCGTCTGACACAACTGCGAGTAATTAAAGGCTTTTTCGGAGGCGATTTACCTTAAATCTTTTTATCCTGCTTGTTCAAAGAGCTCCTACAGTGAGCGCACCTTTAAGTCACAGCACCAGTGTTTTTCCTCTTTGCTGCATAAGAGAACTGTTATATCATTCAAGTGTTTCTGGGTTACATTTCAGCTTTTTAAAAGGTGATGATAAAGCATTATTTGGTTTAGATTAGCCCTCATGATTCTGCTCTGATGCGCGGTTGTCAGACAGACACTTATATAATATATCGCCGGTTGTTAGGCTGAAGCTAGAAAAAGTTAAAGAGGCCGTAAATAGTGACAGTTGCAGCTTTCCCCCTTTTGTTATCTTTTTTGTGTCAGCTGATAACTTTGGCCTTGTTGATGTATATCTCTCAGGGTCTAAACTGACCCCTTCCTCGTTCTTCTGTGGCCCCTGAAGAGCCTTGTCTGTGTCGCTGGAGCTTTATCTCAACATCGTTTATCTGTAAACACATCAACAACAACTTGTAGAAAGAGACAAGGAATAAGACAAGATGGCTGGCTGCCGGCGGAGAGTCTGAGCAGCCGGTTACTGCAGCGTCTGATGTTCAGCAACGCAGAGTCACAGAGCTGTCACTGCAGTAATGAGTGTGTGTGTCTGTGTGTATGTCTCTGTGTGTGTGTGTGTGTGTGTGACAGGGAGGATAGCAGATTAGTTTAGTCCCGGTGTGAGAGAAATATGAGGATGAAGATTGGGGAATACTTCAGTTTTATTGTTAGTGTGGTTCTTTGAATGAAGAACGAGTTTTGGTTATTAGAGGCTTTCTTAAAGGATTCATACAGACTTGAACGTTTGAAAAATGCTTATTTTTACCAGGAATATGCTTGAAATGGAGTACATAATCTAACCCTTAGAGGACCACCACGATCATTTTCAGTTTTTTAAGTTGGAGACAGATGATCTTTAGGGGGAGGTAGCAGGTCAACCATAAATGTCACATAGTAGTGGTCAACACTATCGGAAAGCTGCGACTCGGAGTAATAATTTATTTAATACAAAATGTCATTGTCAAAAGAAGTCAGAAATTTTTCTTGCATCACAGCAACATTTGACTCTGCTATGTCAAGTTCTTCTTGTCATAAATCTGTTATGAACATTGTGTTGTGGTCAGGCGTCTAGTCAAATTTAAAGAGTGCGTAAAGGGCTTAAAACATTATGATGGAAGGATATAATGCCATCTCCATGCTCTATTATGTCTCATACATTTTTGAAAGACATTTTCGTGTTGATAGCATTTGTTACGCAGTTTTGGTAAACAGTTTTAACCAACTTTGACCGTTCAAAAGTTGATAGAAATGGGCAAAAATCCCTTACTACTAATGCTGGGATTTGGTATGAAAAACGTTTTGGCAAGCGATCACTTCTGCCCTGGTAAACGTCCAAAACCCTGTTATTGTCAATATACCTACATAAGCCATACATTATTTGAAAGCCCTCTGTCTGTTGTTGTACAGTTTCATGAGGCTAGGATCATCCTAGAAACAGTCATTTATGTTCCTGTGATTCCACGTTATTCACAGCTGTAAGAGCCCTCTGATCTCTTACAAGTCAAAATGTCTGCTGTGAAAAAGGTCTGGTATCATGTTGTATCTCCTTTCTTTAATATGAATTGGGACAAAACAGGGAGTGTTTAGAGGTGCTTGTAGGTGGATATTGGTTTCCTTTGCTAGCCGTTTCCAGTGTTTATGCTAAGCTAAGCTAACCGGCTGCTGGCTGTATCTTCATATTTACTGCTCAGGCATGAGAGCGTTATTGATTTTTCTCAAAGAATTCCCAAAGTGCATCACTTTTAAGTGTGTGTAAAAAGTGTGCCTTCTGTCTTCGTGTGCAAGTGTGTTTGTAGATTTATGTCCGAGTCTGCAGGCATCTATAGGAGAGAACATCTCTTGTTGTTCTTTCTGTCTACCCTAAACTTTCCCCAGTGGCCGTCTCCCCCTCCTCCCCCACCTCACCCTCTAACTGATTCATATCTGGGAGCACCTCCCCACCTCTTCCTGTGTTTATGTTGGACATTAATGTATCGCCAGTCCCTCATGTACTGGTGCTCTGCTGTGTGTGGACGCTATGACTGGAATTTAAATGTAGCTTTAAAAGGAGAGATTTACAGTATATGAGAAAACACACAAACTGGAGCTGCAGCAAAAAGTGAGTTGGCTGGAAGGTGTACGAATATATTGATAAGGGGCCACATATCTTCTGTGAGTATAGTTATTTTAATCCTAACTATTGCGGCAGTAATCTTAAACAAAGTGCCGTGAGGGACTAAACAAGAGAAAAAACAACAACAAAACAACAAAAACTCGGTCTTTCCAACACAGTATGCGTTTGACCTTTTATTTCCAAATCAAAGGTGCAATATTCCATATCCATATACGTATGTATGCGTGCGTTCAACAAAAATGGTCCTTCTCTAGCTCACTCCCCCATCTATTACCAAGTGCGCAGGTAAAAGCAACCGGATATAAGCACAAACGTCACCACACAAATTCAATGACACGCCCACCACCTATAGTGACTCAAAAACATGTATAGTAACAAACACAGAAATGGCTTCATATGTGGCTCCTACACTAACAATAGATCACTCTGAAGACAATAGCTTGCAGAAAAAAACATTGGTTACCTCTGCATCTTGGCTGAGCTTTTTGGCCTCTTTCAGCTCAGTGTTGCTTCAGTAGCACATTTACGAGCTCTGATAAACCCACTGTACACTTTACCTGCTCAGCAGCAAGACGAGAAGGTGGAGGAAATAATGAGTATTTAGCAGCAAAAGAGCCAGATATCACCCTCTGGAGTTGAAGTACAGACTGCTTTCACACCAAATGTATTACTAGCACTAGCACATGTTGCTTTATTTCTGCAATTGTAAAAGCAGGATATGCTTTGCTTGGTATTTTGAACCACCAACATGTCTAAATGGGAAGAGTGATTCCACTCAGCAAGTCAGGCTAGCTGTTTCAGAGGTAGAGCTGCACGACTCATCAAAATGTTATCACGAATATAAATTATAGTAAGCGCAACATTTGTGAAAAAAATCCTGTAATTTGTTGTATTCAAGCTGTAAACAGAAAAAGCAACAGAAGTGAGTACACTTTAATATGTACTATTTAGATTGTAGTATTCTTTTATTATTTATATTGGTGTTTGTATGAAAAGCTCACCAGATTTTCATCAGATCCTGTGTGGATGTTTCAGTAGCGTTCTGCTTCAGGGTGTCCTAGTTTTTGTTCATGTAAATGTTATGAGGTGTTGTTGTTGTTTTCTTATTCAAAAGGCCCTATTAAAGATTCAGTCGTTCTGAGATGAAGAGTTGCATAAAGGGTAATGTTTTTATTATTTGTTTAAATGTCCATACAAAAACAAAAGGCTTAGAGCACAGGATGAGGATAAAGTGTGTGAGAGTTCGCCTGTAACTCTGCGTGTTGTTGTTTCACCTTCTGGAAAACCGCCTATAATAAAGGGTGTGGATTGGAAACAGGATTCTTTGTGAACCTGTGTGCCAAAAACAACATCAACAAGCTCACATGCAAACACGTGATTTTCAGTGTCAGCTTTCATGTGTGTTTCATGATAATACGTAGTCATACTCGTCGGGGATTCCTCACGGTGAACGATCATGCAGTCAGTCGAGTGCCGCTCAGTCATTTTGTGTAAAAACCACAAGACTCTCCATTACAAAATAGCAAGTTGTGTCAACTTGGCTTGAAATGCAGTTTTATCGTCTTTTATGTCTCAACTGACGAGACACAGACTCAGAGCAGAGAACTGAGCTCCAGACGTGGTCGGGATGAGGGTGTGTGTATGATGTGGTGGGGGTGTGTGTCATGCTGATGATGAAATCTGCTGGTTTAAGATCTAAAAGTTAAACTGAAACAACGTGGTGAGTTCAGAGCCCCTCACATTCCCAGACAAACGCACACACATCATTCTGTATACGAGGATTTTCTTTTGCTCATCTGAGGGTCATGAACCACACACACACACACACACACACACACACACACACACACACACACACACACACACACACACACACACACACACACACACACACACACACACACACACACACACACACACACACACACACACACACACACACACACACACACACACACACACACACACACACACACACACACACATTTGAATACTTTATTTGGTTCCACAAATTATATTACATAAGACAGGGAATCAAATATATCGGGGCTAAGCAGCACAGAACACTTAGGGGAACACATAGCATCTCCTTCTCCACACGGCTAAGCTGCCAATAATAGCTGAAACAGAGCAATATTTGGCAATTTGTTTGGCTTTTCTCTTTGACATTCCAGCAATTCTCAGACCAATCATGGTGCATTTATATACATGGCCAAGACTTCCGAATATAAGTATGCTGTATCTACACTTGTACCCAAAGCTGGTTATCACATCGAGCAGTGGTTGGTATTTGATATACTTGTCCTGGAAAGCCTGGTCCATGTACAGGTCAAAGGCACAGCCTACTTCTAATATTAGCACCTCCCTGTGGTTGGTGTCAACAAAAACAACATCAGGTGTATTTGGGATGTTAGCAAAGACATCATTGGTAAAACCAAACCATTCTGGTAGCACTCTAGCGTGCTTGTACATTGCTGCGCTAGATGGTAAGATGTTTCGTACCGCATCAGACACAATGTCCACAATACAGTCATGACGGGCTATGTACAGGCGTTTGTAAGCATTACATCCATTTGTTATGTGTGCAATGGATTCTAGGTGTTGTTGTGAATCCTGATGGTTTAAACAGAATGGAGTGTGAATGCGAGGGTACCAGGTGGACAGATTGTACTTAGTGGGTAATACCTGCAGTCTTACTTTGATGGTAAATGTCAGAACATCCTCACCAACAGCGGCGTTCTTAAACACTGAGTGTGAGACTGAGTGGTTAGCAAACCCCAAACAGGCTAGCTTTCCCTGTAGTCTGAGTCCACACCAGTGCTGCCTGATCTCAGACTGCTTCATGCTGAGCAGAACCCTCCTTGCAGAGTCTCTGTGCAGTTCCACAGTCTCTTCCTGAGGTGTTGTGATGTCGGCCTTCACAACCACACTGGGGTCAGTGATCAGTTCATCAGAGACAGGGACTTCAGTCTGTGTGTTGAGTCTTGTCCATTTCAGCTGGACTCCAGTCCGATTGCAGAGGTCATTGAGATCTGGCCAGTCAGACCAGACCCCGAAGCCCCTGGCCTGAGAGTCCAGTTTCCCAGAGTATTTCCTCCTGAAGCCGAGGAAGTTGTTCTGGTCTGCGCTGGCTAGGGGGATCTTCCTTCTGTGTAGATCCAGCAGGAGAGAGGCCCTGGCCATTTCTCTTACGGTGACATCATCATTGTTAAGCATGTGGATCAGGTGGGCTAGCCTGGTGGCTATGTAGGTCCACTCGACATTGGGGACTCCCAGCCCCCCCTCTCCACATGGGAGAAAGATGATGCCCCGTGTGGAGTGTGTGTTGAGGCCCACCCACTTTCTGACCAGCTGGACAGTTTTGTTTGTCATTTCTCTCAGTGCCTTGAGAGGGATGTGTACATTGGCAAAGAGATGTTGAATTTGAGCCAAAGCCACCTCTCTCACAGCCTGGAGCTTCATGAGGACGGGGAGGGGGGACAAGTCAATCAGGTGGAGACGATGGAGAAACTCTGTAGCGAGCTCCTCGACCTGCTCCCCCCACTCGCCAGCGATGTTAAACCTGTGGCCAAGGTATGGGTAGGTCTCATTACGGGAATACACCTTAATGGGTTGGCCCATTACAAGAAAGGAGGGGGGCTTGTCGTTCTTGGCCTTATACCAGCGGTTGCCTCCACTGCGGCGCTCATGGAGTACGGCACACTTAGCTTGCTTCACCTCCAGCCCTGACCATTGGAGGAACTCATCAGTGCGCGCCAGCATGTTAATGATGACATCCTCTTGTCGTGATGACACCTGCACGTCGTCAGCGTATCCCTGAACAGGATTTGGGGATTTGACATGCAAAGGAGCGCACTGGTAAATCCACTTCATCCATTGGTTGAGTGCTAGGATGAAGTTCACGGCACTCCAGGGACAGCCAGTTTTTATTCCCACCTTCAGTGCAATCGGCTCTGTGAGCTGCTGCCCACAGATAACCTGGAGAAATGAACCTTGGTACACATTGGATACAATATTCACCAAAGGCTGAGGCAGGTGTATTTCCTCTAATGCTTGTAGCATCACCTCATGGGAGAGTGTACCAAACGCGTCTCTAAAGTCCAAAAACACTGTGTAGAATTTAGATGATCCATGTTTGAAATCATCTATTCCGGTTTTTAAGCAAAACACATGTTCGTTCATTCCCTGTCTGTTGATATATGCTTTCTGATGGGGGGGAGAGAATCCCTGTGTCCACCAGCCAGGGTAAGATGCGGGTGAGTAGGCACTTCATAAAGACTTTGTATACAGTAGGCAATAGTGAAATGTCACGCCAAGTGGAAGGATCACCTGGGACATTTTCCTTTTTTGGTATCCTGTGAATGAGGGCCCCTTTCCATGAAGCAGGCACCTTCTCATTGATCAGGCAGGCATTGAAGATGTGTGTGAGTGTCTGTGTTGACGTGGGCCTGGTAGCTCTCAGCGTCTCATAGATGACCCCGTCAGATCCACTAGCCTTGTTATTAGGAAGAGAAGCCAGAACTGCATCCACCTCCTCTGTTGTAAAATCCTGGGTATCTGGGAAATAGCCTGGCTCTATTCTGTCAATGAAATTGTACCAAGGGGGCGTGGCCAGGGGAGTAGCCCTCGGCACAGTTTGACATTTGGCTTTATAGTACATACACATTGGCTGTATCACTAACAGTGGGTGTGGTTTCCGGAAAACAGCTGTTATTTAAAATGATATCGATTGCCTTTGATTTGCGGTGTTGCCAGAGATATGCCAGCTTGTTCCTGGAAACTTTCCTTTGCTGCCGTTGTGTCTCTGTCCCGGCGGCCTGCAGCGCTGGTTGTATTCTCTCACGGATGAAGCGAAGCTGCATTTCTATCCAAGGTGTCAGCGAGTCAGCTGTAAGGTCCACCGGGAAGTTGTCAGAAAGAGGGAATTTCTTCAGGATTCTGGCGACATATTTCAGAAGCTGGAATCCGTAGGGACGCGAGTTTCGTTGCGTCGCGGAGAATATTCCATTAATGAAAAAAGCGCTGGTCAGGATTGTCACCAGCCTGCCCCACTTCTCTGCGCCTCCGGGAGTAACAGCAAAGTTAGATATACGAGGATTTTCTTTTGCTCATCTGAGGGTCATGAACCACACACACACACACACACACACACACACACACACACACACACACACACACACACACACACACACACACACACACACACACACACACACACACACACACACACACACACACACACACACACACACACACACACACACACACACACACACACACACACACACACACTCACTCGCTGCTACACCTGAACTGGTCTGAACAGCGTGTTGGTGTGTGTGTAAAGATGTAGTGCACGGGCTTTTGTGTGTGATGACACAGTTATGCAATCTTGTGCGTGCACATCTCAACTCGCACAATAGTGTGTGACACTCTGATTTATGGCATGCTTTCCATTCAAATCTTAAATGTAACTTAATGATTAACCGCCCTACGGAAGACCGGAGTGTCTGGATTTGAAAATGTTTGCTTCAACACCGAACATGTCTTTACGACCTTCCTTCCTCCTTCATCTAGCAACCTATCCACAAATGTATTATACATCTGTGTGAGTTTGAACAAATGTGTGTAACGGCTTTGTGCTCGTCTGCAGCGTGTGTGTCCCGATGTGTATGAAGAGCTTTGTTTGCAACCCGGTTATGTTTACCTGCGTGTGTAATGACGTAGGTGTGTGTGTCTGCACCAATAACAGATTTAGTCTTGGATAAAAAGATTACCAACAAGGTCAAATAAGATGATTATCATGCAATTATGACATCTTGTTCTGTACGGAAGAAATTGTAAATCAAAGTTGCCGAGCGTGGTCATACTCCTAGAGGACAAGCCTTTTACTAAATCAGTCAAGACTTCTGTATTATTTGTTGCTGGTATTTCTCCTACTTTTTCATTAAGCTCTGATTATTGGAGTCTCAAATGACATGTCAGTTTTTCCATTGTATATATTTCCTCTACTATCTCTATCTCTTGAGAAAGAAGTTCCACTTTAGTCCATTTCCAGCTTTTAACAGTATTTTGATGAAATGCTAGCCCTCATTTGTACCTTTTTATAGAAGATGAGCCTTACACTTTCAATTAGCTTTTTGTAACGCATAAATTATAAAAAGCTGTTAAAATATAAATAACATAAGAAATGTCTAGGAAAAACGTATATTCTCTGAAAGCACTAGTTTTTAGTTTAAAAAAAGAAGTAATTTAAGGTGACTGTCCTAGAAATAATAAATTATTCTCATGTTTACTTACTGGATTATTCCTCTGTTGATGTATTACTCTTACAACTCAAAATGTCTGCTTTGAAACAGTCTATAAAGACGTATCTCATATGTTAAATCTACATAAAAAACAAAGTTTAAAATTTGCAGTTTTGGGGGTATTGTGTAATGTCTAAAATTGTTGTATTGTTTCTGTAAACTGACTTGCTTTTTGTTATACGTGTGTCCCTGCAGCGAGACACAGCATCAACACTCTGGGTCACCAGCTGCAGATGAACAAACACTGTCTGGACACGGCGCTCAACTTCTACAAGATGGCGCTCACCAAACACCTGACCCGCGGCCGCAAGTCGGCCCACGTCATCGCTGCGTGTCTCTACCTCGTCTGCCGCACAGAGGGAACGCCACGTATCCTTTGTGTTACCTAAAAAAAAAAATGAACTAAAGTAAGCTTTTAGTACAGCTACCAAGTTAACCCGATCAAAGGCTTTAACAGATCAAGAGCTGCGTTTCCTGCATGCATGAGTTCTTCTAATAGCTGAGCAAAACTGCGGCGTCAGCTGAGACAAAGTTGTGTGTTAAAATTGCAAACCTAAGACTAAAACACATCAAAGTCTGCAGGTTACTTTTGATGTGAGCCAACAGAGGCCTTTCTTAACGTCTCATAATGTGCTAACGGCAGCTTATTGAAGTTGGGAGCGATGTGTCATCGTTGGGATAATGGGACTTTTAGATTCATGCTGTTTTAATCAGCAGGGCAGCTCGTTGTGTGTTGTCAGTTTACTCCTGACTCATATCGCCTCCGAGGATGGGCGTGTTACGTAAGATCAGTGCGGACGGGATGGAAGCTAATGAAAGCAGGGCGAGGAGGGTGTAATGCCTTCCTCCTGCTGCATTGTTTACTGTGTGTGTGTGTCAGTGCAGGCCTGTCTGTTTGTGCATGTTTTGGTGCAGTGAGGACGGGGTAAAAATAGCTCCGCTCACTTCCTTTTCCACAGCTGGGTGAGTCTGTAATGTTGTCGCAGGGGAGAATCGGGACAAAGATTTAGGCAGAAGGAGAGTGCAAAATCAAAACATCCGACTGAGCCTTGAGTTTTACTTTAATCCACTGCACGGAAAACCGGACTGTCTGGATTTGATATCTTTGCTTCCTTCCACTTTTTTTGTCTTGACGACCTTCTTCCCACCTTCATCATACCAACATTTCCTTCCTTCCTCTCCCTCTGATTTCTGCTTCTTTATCCCCCACTTCCTCTTTGCGGAAAGACAAAAGTAAAGTAAAATATCCCCAAAACTGACACAACCGTGCATGCAGCCATTAAAACTAATCAAAACAAATGTCATGTAATACTCGATCAGTTCCTGTCGAGCTGGAGCAAGCTCGATGAATGATGGTACATGTTTCAAACTGCATTTGTTGATGCAGAAAAACAATTTGCCTGCATTTCCATAAACCACAGCAGCTGTAATACCTTTATATTGTACTCATTTATGCAGAGATCTGTGAACACAGCAACTTCACCAGAGGAAAGTCAGACAAGGAAATAAAACCGGCTTAGTCAGACTTCACTGATATCAAAGTAAAAACGGCAAAATAAGATATAATATACAAGTTCAAAGAACATGTCCCCTCCTACAGTCAGCTGTTAGGAGGACCAAAAGCAAGATTATTTGTGGTAGTGTGGATGATCCTCTTGATGTTGATTTATAGTTATAATAGATTTGTAGAACCTTATCAGTGGGAAGCATAAAGTTAACCTTGTGACCTGTGCGGTGGTCGAATCTATAATGTCCACCAGGGAATAAACGAAAAGCCTTTCAAAGGACGCGAAAATGAATACAAAAAAAATCAGAGAAGGAAGGTAGACCTTCCCATGGTTGTCTCAAATACAACTGTCTTTCAACCGTAACAAAGATTTAACTGATGTTTTAATAAAGCCATTGCGTCACTTTGCGTGGTTAAAATGATGTTATTATAAATGAGACGCAGTATTTACTTTGGTACAGTTAGTATTTTGCAACAGTTTGTGACGGTGGTGAAAACATAGGTTGTTCGATTAATTTATGAAAAACTGAGAAAGGCCTAATAATTGCCAGGCTGTCAAGAAGATGCTGTGATGTCTAGCATCTCCATAAGACGAGGAGTATGCATTCTTTTGCAGTCTGAATCAGAAGATCGTTATTGTCAATATACTCGAGTACAACCAGATTTGTCAGGCGTCTCTTAGTGCAGTTAAAAATAGAAATAAATAAAAGCAATAATGAAAGCAGTGAGTTCATAAACTGAAAACCAAACATTGACGCAGATACCTTTTCAGCTCTAAGTGCAGCTGCTTCACTTTAATCATCCAGTTCTCTGGATATTGAAATAGGCGAGTCGTAGCGATGGTGCTTTCCTTTGTATTTCCTTACCTGTTTATGAACATGCGTCCCTCTCTGAGTGGACCCAGATGTGTTGAAGGACCTGCTGCTGTTTGTTTTCCTGATTCAGGGAGTCGCCTGTAATCTCCAGACGGCGTGCGCTGGGATTATCTTTTCCATTTCATCTGAGCTGCTGCCGCTAATTCCATTGTGAGGCCTTTTTCATTCAGAGCAGCTAATCCGCCCTGCAGCCGGACAGGTGCAGCGTCGCCACGGAGACGGGTCCAAGTGGGGGCCGGTCATTGGGAGAGGGGGGGGGGGGGGGGCTGTCCAGAGGCTGATGGGGGTTTGTGTGTGTGTGTGTGTGTGTGTGTGTTTGAGTGTTTGTCTCAGGTGTGTTTTGGTTTTCATGTGTGTGGACTTACTGTTTGTTTGTTTGTGTCTGTGTGTGTGTCTCTAATGTGTGTATTCATGTTTCTCCATGTATTTGTCTCAGTGTGTGTGTTTCCGTATGCAAGTGGATCTGTGTGTGTGTCTCTGTATGTGTGTGTCTCTTTTGTGTGTCTCACTCTATCTGTGTTTGTGTGTGTCTCTCAGTGTGTCTACATTTGTTTTCATGTGTGCGACTGTATGTTTGTGTCTCCGTGTCCAGGGGGTTATACTACGAAGCAGGATTTTCGCTTAGCCGGCTAAATTCAGGGAAAACTCCGGCTTTCCGGTCCTACGAAGCTGGTTCTCTTTTTAGCAGGCTAGATCTCCATGGTAACTTATGCTTAGCGGCTAACCTGGTCGGGACCAGGTTAGGTTGCAGGCTAAGAGCTCAACTCAGTGAAAGCACTGCCTGCTGACCAATCAGAGCTCAGTGTGCGGAGTTTAAAGCGATCAAGTCATATTACAGGAGAAAGGAAATACAGAAAAGCTGCCGTCGCAGGAAAGACGGCCGGCAAAAATCACCGACTGTGTGAACGTGAACATGAATAGAATATCACCTCCATTTTCAGAGCAATCTGACTATTATAACATTAGCGTTAAGAAAGCTTACTTAAATATCTGCCACAACATAAGTAACCGGATCAGAGTAACATTAAGTACAGTCCGCGGCATATCACTTCATAATGTATCATATATTCTTATCCGAGTCAGCTCAGCCGTATCTGGCCGTGCAACACTCAGTGTCACATACTGTATGCAGAAGTATTATTTTAAGCAACACATTAAGTTGACGAAACACTCGAGTCAAATGTAATTAAAGTCAAATCGTGTTTTAGACGGGGCAGTGATATCATAAACCTGTTAATGTACGCATTCAAACACTTTTTCTTTTGCCAGCTGTATTCACCTTGCAGGTGCAGCTATGTGGCTTTTATCCTGGATAAAATGTTTAAGTCATGGATGTTTAAAGTTGAACTTCTTCATTTTTGACTAGTAGGCTATTAAAGTTCACTTTTCATTCAGGAAGTATGACGCTGCGCTGTCAGTACGCTTCTCCATGTTTGTGATTGGTCGAATGCTCCAAATACCACCCCTCTCATGTGAACGCGCACCTAACTAGATAGGAAACGGCTGGCTTGAGCGATCCACTTGATAACCAGCGTCGTAGTACAGTTTAGCGAGAGCGCGTATGTTTTGGATTAGGCCAACCGGCTAACTCAAACATATCCAGGTTAGGTTGAACCAGCTTCGTAGTATAGGCCCCTGGTGTGTTTCTCTGTTTGTGCGTGTGCAGGAGTGACCCTTGTGTGTCTCCATGTGTATCTCAGTTTGTGTGTCACTGTCTGTCCCAATGTGTCTCTGTGTGTGTGTGTGTGTCCGTGTCCACGTCGGTATGTTTCTCTGCAAGTGTGTGTCCTTATGTGTGTGTGTCCGTCAGTATATTTAGCAGTGTGGTCTGGTCAAAGGTTGTGTTCAGTGTCTCGTTAGATTTACTGTCTCAGCTGCTCACTTCATCATCGTCACACCGGTGTCCACTGTGCAGGTGGAGAGTCAGAAAATACACTTTTGAAAGTAAAAATAAAGAAACACTATTTTATACAGACAGAAAGAGAAAGAGAGAGGATGTTGTGAGCAAAGGTCAGATGAGACTTGTTATGTTGTCCATGTTTTAATGTGAGATTGCAGGCTTCAGATCAACTGTTAAACTATTAGTCTGATTCAGGGTCGGTCACAGAACAAATAAATGGACTTGATATGTCATCTGATACTGTATGTGATTGTTCAACTATCTATAATAGTTTTTTACCTGTGATTCTTAATGTTTATTTGCCTTAACCTGTTTCTCTCAGACATGTTGCTGGACCTCAGTGATCTCCTGCAGGTACGTTCAAAAATCCAGTCAAATGTAACATTATATTCATTTATTTGTTGATAAATCTGCAGATTATTTCCTTGATTAATAAAAGAAAAAATGGGAAAACCACCCTCCTTTTTTTCTAGAAGGCGGTGCCTTTTACATGTCTTTTTTTGTCCAATAGAAAGTCCAAAACCCCTATTCGATTAAAAAATGTAAGACCAGAAGAAGCTAATTTACACAAATAAACCATAAAATATGTGCTTGAAAACAGGCTCAAAGTTAGTGAAATAAATAGTTTAGTAGTTGCAGATTTATTTTAATTCTTAGATTCATCACCTGTCGTTGCAACTCTGAATTTAAACAGGGCTATTTTTGATTGAATGACCATTTATTTTCATTGATTCATTCCACCAATCTGTGAATATATGGTTATAAAGCCATTTAGAGTAAAGGAACTCCTAAACTTAAAATAACTTTTCCATACTTTGAACTCTTTAATGTCTACTGATGCCCACCCTGTTACAGCAGCCACTTAAATACACACTGCTACCACAACTCCCATCATGCATCTCTGCCCAACCACTCAGTCCTGCAGTCATCTTGCATTCAGACTTTCACCCATGTAATTAAACCTGAGTCGTATGTGTGTGTGTGTGTGTGTGTGTTTGTGTGTGTGTGTGCGTGTGTGTGTGTTGCTGTTCGTGTGTACATTTAGAAAGCCCTCCATTTGTCTGCATATTTAATGGCAGCAGATTCACGGTGAGTCAGGGGTGTGGTGGAGCTGGTGGGGGGGGGGGGGGAACATTTCTCAGAGTCACAGCTGGTCAGGGGCTTTTATTTTTATGCACCCAGCTGTCCTGCAGGAGCTGCCCCCACACACACACACACACCTCCCCTCCCCCGCGGTCCACACCCCGGCATGAGGAGGCTGGGAGTGGATTAGGAGTGGATTTTGGGTGGGTGGGGTTATTAATGTGCAGCATTTAGGCGGCTGCGGGGTGGAAATACCACCAATCACTCCTTTTTTTTTTTTTAACACATCCACACCCAGGGTCTGCTTTGCATTGTTTGGATGAATGAGGCGTTAAAGTGAATCGCGTAGAATAACCATATGGGATCAATACAGGCGGTGAATATCAGCTGTTCTCTGGCGCTAATGTGATGAGCTCTGCAAGATCTTATTCATCCAACCACATGCTCTGAATGTGTTTCACATAAGATGCATTTCTCCACTGCACACATGCAGGGTTCGGAGTAACAGGTGCAACACACAGATGATCCTGCACACTGTTCATTGCACATTCTCTCTTATTAATAGGACGCAATGCAACACGTTGTTTTTTCATGTTGAGATGTGGTTGTAAGGTTTATTTTATAGGAACAATCCTCATTTATGCTCATACAATGTTGTGTCCGGCTAGATGCTAACATATCTTTAGGGTGTATTTGATCTGTTGGGGTGTGAAGCTCTTGCAAACTCTGTCTCATTCTTTATTGGAGATGCAGAGTTGAAAGGGAGGGATTGAGGGGTGACATGTCCGGGAAGCCAGCTCTAACCACTGAGCTATCCGGCCGCCCAGTTTTATTTTTTAAAAGACTCATTTATTGTTGAATACCTTTTTAAACATTATTCGCACTGAGTGTTGCTTCTGAAAGGTGGAAGAAATGGTTTCAAAGAGGACACATGTTGAGCTTTTCTCCCATGTACTGGGTTGGAATTGGACTCTTCTTACTGGTTTGGGTTCAGTATGTCACCATGGAAGACGCCTGGACCAATTAGCTTCAGTGTTTTCTTTTTAAACAATATATTTGCTCACATTTACAAGAGGCCTTTTCATCCTTAACCATCCAGAGTAGCTGCAATTGGAAGAAAGCCTCTATTTTGTTCTTAATTAGAGATTTGGAAAAATTCAACTTTGAAACTAGATTCTAGATTTAAACTCTACTAACGTTTTAAACCACTGAACACAAACAAACCCACATTAAATACTTCAATTTAAGTCTTTTTTGAGAGGCATGATTATTGTTTTCCAACGGAGTAATTTAGACTGAGCACTTGTTGCTATGATTACATTTGAATTTGAAGTGTATTGGCAGCATTTGCCACAGAAAGCTTGTTGTGTGAACATCCAGTCCTATATTTCTGCGAGGGGGAAAAAAGCACACTGATTTCAGCTCCCAAACTTGCATATAATTAGGCAGGAAAGAGCTTTTTATCTGGCAATAATTAGCTTTATATTTTCTGCTTGATTTGACTTGTTTCCTCTGGTAACAGTCAGCTGAAGATGTGCAGACTTGTTTCCAGCAGCAGTGGTTTCTGTAGTTTGCGTCTTTAGGAGAAAGTTGTTGACGCTCACAGATCGAACCGGAGCTTCTCGTCTAATTGAAAGTTTTCCCCCTCCACCTGTTGAGCCTCTGCTCTGAGGTATCGAGTGACCGCACTGTGTTTTTAATGGACGAGCGCTTTGAGTTTTGACCCCTCGACCCGGAAAGTTTCACTTAGCGCCGCATTGGAGACGAGGGATTATACTCTTCTCAGGTTCACCACAAGCAGCTCAAAGGGATGATTTTAAATTAAATGTAAACAATTTAGCTGTCTCACTGGAAACGTTATTTCTTTGCCATTAGATTAATAATCAGATGTCAAATGTAGCAATGTTTGCAGGATTAGCAACATTATTTTGCATGAATGCACTAAGATATTAGACTTGTGTGTTTGATATACACAATATCTAAAGTTATAGAAATGTAAGTACTAAATACAAATGCATGGAAGTAGGCTTCATATTTGAAGAAAAAAAAAATGCAATAAATCACCTAGAACTTTAACAATTATTAAAAGGTGAATGGGTTAAGCAGTTTAGTTCTCATAGGTCTTATTTCACATTAGTTTCCGATCCAGTATTCCTTTCCTTTTTATAATCCATGCATTTTTGCACATTGGTTTTGCAATCATTTGAGACAGGGTAGTAGTGTTTGTGGTTCTATACATTTGGTTCAGTATCACTTTGACTACATCTGACTTTGTTCAGAGCTTTCTTTCAGCAGAGACTGGTATCATGTCTGTGCCCATAAGGAGTCCCGTACTGGAAGCATTTAGATTTTTGGTCATTTCCAGGCTTGTACACCAAAAAAACCATTGCTTTATATGGCCAGTTGAGCTGAAAGACGCTAAATCGATCCATACATTACACCCATCATTGAATCCCCAGTTAAAATGAAACTATGGATTTTTGCAGCTTGCTGTAAAGATGTTGATTTTGCTCCTGAGCTCCTTGAGAATAACCATCATGAGTGTTAATCAACATTTGTGTTTTAGCTGTAATCATGACATCCTTTTATTGAAAGCGCCGGCACTTGTTCCACTTCCTTCTTCCTCTTCCTTCTTCCTCACCACCGTTTCTGCCTTTGTGTATAAATTCCTTGCTGGAATCCACTTCCCAGAATAGCGGAGGAGCATCTGCGTCTCTGTGCGACTCCAGAGGGGGCTGAGAGCGAGAGTCCGTCTGTTTGCTCCTCACCCCTTCCTCATAGGTCTGGAGAGAGGGTCTGAAGGAATGAGGGAGATCTAACCCGAGTTCACGACCCGGTCCTGCAGCTTTCACCGCCCGTCTGCTGCAGCTCTCGGCACCAGAAACCTAATTCTGAGCTTATAATTTGTGAGGGAAATGATAGATGTGCAGCCCTGTGGCTTTGTTATTCATCATCAGATCCTTTCAGATAGTGTGTGGGGGTCGGGGGGGAGACAGAATTTACTGCCGAGCCTTCTGGAGGTGATGTGGGTTAAACACAATGAAACATCTGTGAGGGGAGGTGCTGGAGTGATAACCCTGGTGACACACTCGCCCTCATCCTCCACCAACATCCTGCTACAAACCAGGTTTCTAGTTTAACTGCACAAGGGACATACTCATCTGATCCTTTGAAATGTTGTTTGAAGCTAACACACTTGCAAGATTCTTAGCTTGTGTCGTCATGGTTGATTGCGCTTATTGCAAGTTTCTTTGGATAAAAGATAAATGAAATGTAAAAGTGTTTTATTTCCCAAATCTTCAAGTTTAATACTCGACGTAGGAGCCATGTGCAAGGTCTCCCTGTTTTTATATATTATGTGGCACTTAATATTAGTGGATGTGAACTGGAGCTTTGGGTGGAGATAGTGGTGTTTTAACCTGACTGCATTCACCTGCTTATTGGGGTTTTGGATGGCATAGATAGAGGGGGGGTGAATAGGGAGGCGAAGTTTCCAGTTTACCCCAATTTCTTCGCACTTTCCACCACAATCTCACTTCCTCGCTGGTAGGATTGGAGTGCTTTTGTTGGAGTGCTTCAAAACGTATTTTGTTAGAAAATGTGCTCTCCTATTTAAAGGAATATAGGCATGTTTTTCTCCCTCAACCCCTTATTGTTAATACAAATCGAATTTGCAACAACAGCAGTGGTGGAAGAATAGATTGTGTTTTTTTCGAATGTCAATCTAACAATGTATGTAACAACCTGCGTTAGAAGGTATAACACATATTTGTTTTCTTGCTTGCTATAGTCAGTAATGCTAGTTTTAAAAGGTTTGTACCCGAATGCAGGTAGGGGCCATACGGAGAAAATCTGATGATTTTTATGATCAAATACTGCAATCTAAATATCGTGACTATATTGTTAGGTTGACTTTTGTTGCTTTTGAAACATGGAATCAAAGAAATGATATATGAATAACATATATTATCCAGACCTAATTGCAGGCTGTCCAATGATACACACTTCTTAACCCAGAGGTGATTTCAGCAGTGGATTGTGCATCAGGTGGTTAAATACTCCTCTCTCTGGAGGTTCAGTCACCGTAACACCTGCAGCTAACGGCAACTAGGAAACTTTAATGACCTTAATGAATAGATAAATGCTTGTTAGTTAATCCTACCATCCATGTCCTGCTGCTTCTCTGGCATACATTTACTAACGTGTATCATTAGGAATTATTGCTTATATAATGCTGGAAAGTACTGGAAAATGTGAGTGAATAAGTAATTCTATGCTATAACGTCCCTACTGGTTTAACATCATACCCTGGCAGAAATGTGGCTTACATTGCTGAGTTCAAATTAAGACTTTTTATGATCGTGACAGTTTAAAGAAGTGCATACAGTCCAAACACTGATGTGGTCAGAAATGTGAGTTAGTTACAGGAAATCAATCTGAAGAAATATAATGCAGGAAGGGAGAGTGCAGAGGGGAATTGAGTGGAACATATTTTGATTAGAATTGAATAAAAAGAGCAACGAGGGAGGAAAACCCTTTCCAATGGCCCCCAGCTCAGGTTTTAATCACACATATTGAAATGAAATCATTATATAACCACAACCCTTAACCTGGCGATGACGCAACAACCTTATTTAAAATCCTGACGGTATGTTTTTCTCTCTCAAACACACCAGTCCTGGTCAATCATACCCAGACATTGGTGAGGTCTTAATGTCACGCCGATGCTCGGGCTCCAATTGTATAAGTGGCTCTGAATGGATCTAATGGCTCCTGGAGTCACTTACAGAATCACGTAAACATCCAAATCCAGTTAGAAAATCCGACTTAACGGGCAGCACAAGGTTTTGTTTTGACACTCTTTGCTTTTCAGTGTTATCTTTGCTGTTTATCATTTAAAAAAAAAAGATTTCTCTCCTTCACAGGTGAACGTCTTCATCTTGGGAAGAACGTTCCTCGCACTGTCAAGAGAGCTCTGCATCAACGCCCCGGCTATAGGTACACATTGTATTTATCTTCACAACGTGTGACTGGATTCACTACAAGACTTGCAGTTAAGCTCTTTAAAATCAGCTGTAGTCAAGCCAATTTGGTAAATGCTTTTAGGTAGATAAGTCATTGTTATAAATATGGCTTTAACTAGGCCTACTGATTATTATTAATTAATCTATCTTTTTCTACCCATTTTTAGTAAGTGTAAATATCACCAGAAAAAATATTGCTAGTTTCCCAGATTTCAAAATGACGTCCTAAATTCCAATACCCAAGAATGCTGAAATGACAATGTCTTAACTCTTAAAAACAGTGAAAATCACTTTTACTAGCTGGAAATTGTGAATGTTAATAATGTTAATGAAGGTAAATAACTTGTAAGTACTCCAGGGATTGAATTTGTCAACTATATAATGTTGGCTGTAAGCACAGCTACTCTGCTGACTAAGACTCACCCTGTCTGTTCAACTAAGACTCGTACCATTTTGTCGACTTATCGATTAGCTGACTGAATCAGAAGACATGTAAAACTGATTTTCTCCAGGAACCATTCAAAAGCACCACTTTAAATATTATGTTGACCAGATATGTGCCCGTACGTTTGTTCTAAATGGTTCAATCGGTATGAAAAAAAGCACACAAAATGATCCATCGTCCAAAATCTTTATCCACTGAGATCATAAAAGTCAGTTTAACTCTTTGACCAAGAGCAGGCAGTCCTACTGTGGTCAAACACATTTGAAATCCTTTACTAATATTAATGTTGGTTTTCTGTAGGTTAAGTCAGCAAGTTCTACTGTCTGTAAGCAGCTGCTAAACATATTCAAGTGACTTTACTTAAATAGTGTCAAAGTTAAAAGGAGCATAAGGCTATAATAAAACTTTGTTAAATTGCTTCATCCCCATCAAATATCGATAAGCATATATCAAGTGCTTATGTAGGTTTACTGTAGGTTAAGTATGTGCAGCTCTTGGGTTACATTGGACAAAACGTTCATGAATAAATCTGAATTTGACCCACAGTTGCTCAATGTTAAAGGATCTGGGTAAAAACACCACAGGAGCATGTCTACTTTAACTGAGCCCTCTGACTTCCCAACTAGATGATTATAACAGTGACTTTAAAAAGATGCTCTTGCTGAGGGGCCCAAACGACTCCTCTGGCCCCTGTACTGTACCGACTCCTGGTGACTAATCCATCCATTGCTGCAAGAACTTTATGTTCTCGTTAAAAACCCAGGTGTAGCTCCCACTGCAGTACCCAGGGGGCGCTGCAGTCCCTCGAATCCCCTCACCCACAATGATGTGACATCTGAAGCCTCAATCACATTATAACCGTTATGTTTTATCATCAGGTGTATAAGCATTTTTATACAGAACACATCTGTCATCTCTAACAGCATCAAGCTGTTCACATTTAAATCGTATTTTACAAAAGACACAATGTTTCTGAGGCCGTCCTCTGAAGTGCAAAACAACTCTGTTCTCGACAAGATTTCTACTTTTTTTTTGCATTTGAATCATAACACTACATAAAGTTGCTCCTGGTGAAACATTGCTGCGTAGACTATAGTAACAACATGGTGTAGACTTGCAAGTTCACAATTTGAAGCAGTCCCAACTTGTTCCAGTTGTGGCGCTCAGCTTGATTACATAACAACAAATCACTGTTTTAATGTTGTTTCGACAGCAGCCGCAGCCTTTCAACACAGCCATCAGAGCAAATAACGTTAACCCAGTATTTAAATAAAAAAATAAGATTAAATTAAATAAGATAAAACAACAGCTCCTTGACTCTTAAAATAGTCTCTCTGAGAACTAACCAGGCCATTTAGTGTGACATCAGTCAAGTGTCTTTTATGCTACATTACTTTAAAGGCTGGGAGGCAGGATAAACCTAATTTTCCATCTGCAGTCCAGACCAGCTTACGCATAGAACACCAGCTCTGGGATCTGTCCTCCCTGTACTCCGGTCCCGTTGGTGCTGTCGGAGGAGCACTGGAATTGAAATGTCACCTTCCCGCACTGCACTTCCGTCATGCCCTCCTGGCCAAAATAGCTCAGTTCGTTCCCGTCCAGCACGGCGCTCACCGTGTAGAAGGCGTCCTGCTCCACCTGAACAGGATGCTCGAACCACACGGGGAACGTGCTGCTCGACCCATCCGACAAAAACTTTGTCATGTTCTGCGCCAGGGTCACCCCTTGTCTCTTAAGTTCGATTTTGACGATGTATTCCGCTTTACCGCCGCTTGACCCGTACAGCCCCAGACCCGCGATAAACATCCTCTTGTCCACCGCGAACTGAATGCTGTCGCAGCGGCCGCGGTAGCGCCACTGGTTGCTCCGGTAGGCCGAGGACTGGAAGCGGTGGCACCTCTGAGGTGCCAAGCCCTCCCTCTCCGTCAGAGGGAATTCCAAATCTGGCTTTTTCGCTGCAGTGTACCACAGGAACACATTGTGCGTCTCCTCCAGTGTCAGGATATCACATTGCGCCGCCCCGTCAGCAAACTCCTCCAGGCTCATGGAGGGGATGTGCACTAAGAACAGCGCCTTGCCCAGGACTTCTCTTTTGTTGCGGGTTGTGGGCCCCAAACCTTGTCTCTTGCACTGTGCTGTGGCCCAGTTCATGACCGCCTCAAACACCACCACCTCCTTGGTGTTGAGCGTCTCCCTCCGCAGGATGATCTCAAGCGTCTGCTGGTCGATCTCGCAGAAGCCCTCCGAACAGAGCGCAAGTTCAGCCTGAGCGTCAATCACCTCCCAGCAGCGCTGCGTCAGCTCGGGCTCCTCGAACAGGCGGCTCTGGGAGAGCAGCACGCAGGCGTTCTTGGCCTCCAGGCTCGTTTCCAGGAAAGTGACGCAGGCCTTGGCCAGTGCAGGAACTATGTACTTCTTGGCGGCATACAGGGTGGCCAGCACCGTGTCTGCTTCCAGGTCGATCTCATCGCTGTACATGTACCTGGAGAAGCAAAATAACCTTTTAATCACATGTGCATGAAAAGAACTTCAACTTACTGGCATTGCTGGAGAGACAACTTTATTTTAATATCACTTATAAGATGCATTATAGAACCAACTTTTTACATAATCGGGACTCTGTGATGACTAAACTCATCCTGGGTCTTTCATGAAAGCCCTGACATGCTACAATCTATGGTGCTGGATTAGCCAATGCTGCTGGAAGAGCAACAAAGGCAGGATATTTATAACTACCAGACCCTTCAATGAAAATTGCCAGGCTGTAGATGAGTAAAAAGAGGGGGAAATGTTCTAGTTGGACCAAGAGCATTGAGAAAACCAGCAATTACAGAGCAGTGTGCTGCTACCCCTGCTCTCAGGCGCTCCCAGCATTTTGGCACTCGCTTCTGCTTAGCTTTGGATGAGTAATAATATGCTTTGAAGTGACACTGACTGAGCTTGTCATCTCTCCTTCTGGTTGGCTGTGTGAGGGATGGTGAGTGGCTTACTTCAGCAGAATTAGAAAAGCAGCAGGTTCCACATCTGGGATATGGATCTCAGAATCCTCCTCTGCCAGATCGCCGTAAAACATGGCACAGAAGACGGAGCTTCCCACGGCCAGCACATACTGGGAGAGGGAGGAGCAGACAGATGCGTCAGAGACACGCAACCAGAATCACTCTCAAGTTCAATAAAGGAGCAGCAGTAGCTCCCTTTCAGTAGCACTGCTGTAAACACAACTTCTTAACATGTTAAAACTCCATACCTTGTGTGCTGGAACCTTCTCAGACCCCCCCAAGGGGCCAACAATGAAGTGGACATCAGCCATCAGCTCATTGTTAAACATCAAGGCATTCCTAAAAAAAACAAGCGTTGCAGTTTTCAGGAATAAGCCTCAGTGAATGATCTCTTTCCCTAACAATTCGCTTTCTCAGTTTGCCAATGTTTTCTGCAACCATCAGTCCAAACCCAAAAGAAACTACTTTCACAAAATACATCAAAACAGACTGTTTTTGGTCCTTAAATGGTTAATTGATTATCCAAATTGGATACATGTAAATCTGTAAATCGACCTTCTGATATAGCTCTGCACAGTATGTGGCTAGTACGGAATGCTAACTGTAATCAATGCTTTTAGGCACATTTGGAAAACATATATGTAAAAATAGATGCTGCAGGAATGGTTTTCAAAATAAAACCCCACTATCCCAAAGTGTGAGTATAGCCACGGTGCTGTACTTTTACTATCATATTAGCAAAGCGTTGTAAATGTGGTCTGTCGTTACTTCAAATAGGTTTTAATGAACTTTATGGTCTTTTTTAATCCCCTTGACACATCCCTGCAGGAGAAGAGATATTATCTGCTTACTTGAAGCGTGAAAATGACTGGTGGAAAGTTAATATGTACATTTACTCAAGTATTGTGTGTATATAAGTATATGAATCTTTTTTACTCCTACTACTTTAAAGTATATTTTCCCAATCATACTTAAATACGTAGATGTAGTACTTTTACTTGAAATTGAGTATTTTCAGTGTGGTTTTGGTACTTTTACTTGAAAGTTAGTATTTGTACAGGTGTGGTATTATTACAGTATAGTAAAGAATACTTTTTCCACCACTGGAAATGTCCTCCAGCTTTCCTGGAGATTTTGACAAAAAGATGATTATTTAGTGTAGTATTTTACCTCTCTCGGAGTGTGGGGTGGCTGCACGGCCAGCTCGGGGGGTCTACGTTGTTGTTGTTGATGTTTTGCTGGGTGGTCGGGGTGGTCGCCGCGCTGCTCCCCGCCTGGCTCACCGGAACCTCCTTGAGCTTCTCGGTGTCCGCCACCGTGGTGCCGCTGGAGGACAGGTTGGTGTTGGCGGCGGGGTACAACTCCGCAGCCATCTTCTCCTGCTCCTCTTCCTGCTGCTGCTTCTTCTTCTTGCTGGTCAGGGACAGTGTCAGGATCTCATAACATAACGGCAGCCTGCCCGGGAGCTTGCTGACCTTCTTTGACTTCTTCAGTGTTTCTGGAAGTAGCAGTAGATAAGTCAAACACCTCATGATCCGGCCATGATGGAGCAACCTGCAGTCTACCGTTGGCATCGACACAACCAACCGATAGTGTTAAATATCCCGTGAATTCGGTCGGAAATGAACTAACTGATGCGGGGTTTGCTCGGTGTCAAATTTAATTATGGGTGAAATTCGACTAATCCGAACGCCGATTTAAAACTGCATTGACGGCGAAGTTTCCACGACAACCATTGAAATATACGCGAAGAACCGTTGGTGTCCTTTACTTCGACCACTTTTCCTCCGTTTCCTGGCGGTCACCTCATCCCTGTTTTCCCTTTTTCAGCGAGTGGGTAATCCGGAGCTGGTATTCAAATCCCTTTTTATTTATTTTTACGCCTCTGCGTTAATCCTCACCGTTATTTCTCCCCTCTTTATCTGCACCGACTGTCGAGCGAAACGAAGCCAGCTATGATGTTTTGTTGCGGCCGTTCGTATCGGAGGTAAATAGTCATTTGTAGGGAGTTTTTAAGGTCTGCTCTATTTTTCCAGCTTTTTTTCTCTCTCGTCGTGATCTACACGGACGCCCAGGGCTCGCTGAGAACCAATCAGATTCACGCACGGTCGTGACGTAAAAAGAGCCGGAGCACCTCCCCCGGCAGCTCCGCAGAGTGCGTCACCGGGATCAAACCGCTCCGCCTCTGTCCCGCTGATTAGACCCGGTGGAAACATACAAATAAAATGTAAAAAAGATGACCTTGCAGTCCAGAACATTAATGAGGAGAAATAAGACAAGTACTTAAAGGAAATAAATGTATGTCAATGTTGTAGGAAGTGTTCCACAAAATAAAAATAGTCCATTATGGTACAAGAATCATGCATTGAAATGTTAGATAAGTAAAATTATGTGAGTATAATCAGGAAAATGGGCTAAAGAAGTAATACATAGAACATCACAAACCTCTTAGTTATTTCTACTGACATAAATTACATATTACATAAGAATAAACAACTCACACTACTATTGCACCTTGTTGTTAATACACAGTAATAACAATACACTTTACCCAACCCTCAGAATGTGACTTTTCACTAGACAAAGAAAATCTGAAAATAATGTATTAATGCTGTCTCTGAAAAACAATGCCCATGTAAAGCTTATGTCATTTTGATAATATAATTACAATTTAAAGACATCTACATTTTAAATGCCAAAGGGTGCAAACAAATATATCATCTAAAATTACAGAAAAATAAAAACAATAGAAAGATATATAATCTCTGCAATCCACCCCTGTATATTGGTAAACACACATAAACCCACCCTTCATTCTGTGATCTCTACAAGAAAAATGTATGCAAACAATCAATACATTTCTGCTTTTTACCATGTAAAAACTAAGGCAAGGCACATTTATTTTTAAAACACAACTGCAATTCAAAGTGCTTTACGTAAAGCATAACAAAAGTAGAAGCAAACATAAAGGTATACAAATAAAATTAATTGAACAAAGTGCCCTTAGGAAAGGGTGTAGAAAAACAGTAAAGTTATAAGACTTAAATTAAAGACGTTTTCTTGTCCGAACTGATGACCGTATTTATGTTATTTATATTGATCACAAACCAAAGAAATGCAATATCATATTCAAAAATGTCTAGCCATTTTTTGGTGTTTGATCTCATTGTGTGATCTAAAATGTTGGTTTCAGGTGTTCTGCAGCTTCTCTTTGTTTGATGTTGAACGTCAGATCAACGTCAGCTATAGGAAGAAGTCCATCAGAGAAAAAGCAAACTCGGGGAACAATTTATTTCACCCACAGTACAATTTTTTTTAAAAGACCAGAATGCATTGCAGCTCCAAGTTCATTTCGGCTTTTCTTCAGGGTAGGGCGAAGCTTCCCCACAGCTGAAGGATGACACTTTAATGGTATTCATGCATCCCTGCTCCCACATTTGATTGAATGGAGAGAGTTCACAGCCTTTCTCTGGGGGTGGTCGGAGTAATTTTGGGTAATGTGGGGAACAGAAGTAGAAGCAGGTTGAGGGGAAAGTGGGGACACGGAACAAAATAAACTACAGCTCTCCATCACAGAATGACTCCTGGGCTGTTTCAGCATCACAGATTGATTATACTCAACAGTGAAAGCGGATTGGGGGTAGATTCGTCTGCCTAAACAGCCACTTCTCTCTTTATAAATGTAGATATTGCTTGGGCCAGCGTTTATAGACACTCAGTAAAAGTTGGAGCAGTGATGGCGAGCGCTGCAGACGTATCATTACATGGTGCGGAGGGGGGAGGAGGGATCGGCCTGGATCTTATTACCAGCCGGCTCTACCAGCTTTTCACTGGACCGCTCTTCAAACGCAGCTACTGACTTCTAAGATATTTGACTCCACTGTCATTGCCGGGGCACGAACCTCTAGTTTTTTTGTCTCCCGGTTGCAGCAGAAAGATGATTCCTCCTAATTGAAACATTCGATTCGATTAGCATGGTAAAATCATTTTTTAGAGGTCAAACGGCCACCTGCCAAGCCGGTTTCATGGCAAACGCAGGTGGTTCTCATAATTTTCTTCTTCATACGCTGTAGTATTTTCCATAAAGTTTGATATGACACACTGTACAACTTTCTCAGAGACATTCGAGAAGGAAAAGGCTTGTGATTGGAAGATTGCCCGTTCAAATCCTTTCGCCAGCTGCGAAAATCTGGACAGAGATGCTGAATGAGAAACAGGCTGCTTCAGGGTGCACTTCAGCTAAATGCTAATCCTCAAGTTTCTCCAGTGGAGCTAATTAGCAGCCAGCAATGGGATACTGGTTATACTGGGAAGATCACAGGTGCCAGTTGGTTTAAATCAGTATGAATTCAAAGCAGACGCTAAGCATTTCATTTGGGCTGAAGATAACTTTTTTTGATTACTTGATTAGTAAGGTTTCCATTTTTGCTTTTGGTTTGTTTACTTCTCAGACGCCAACTGGGGCTTGTAAACAGAAGTCACATGGACTCACACGCAGGTTCTTTATTGGATAGTTTCAGTTAAAGTGTCATCTTAAGAGAATTTGCCCACAGAGCCAAACAATCTGATTGATACTAACAACATGAAATTACCATGACCTCTTCTTGTCCATTACCTATCTTTCTAGCTATACTATGAGATGCAGACAAAGAGAAAAGGTCTTATCACAGAATCCACTTGGCAGCTGTACCTCAATCAACAAGTGCACCAGATTTTGAAGGAACGACTAAAAAGATCACACACACCTGGCATGTCTTCTTTCTGCTTGTTTAAAACTGAAAGCCCTTCCTGTCTCCATCAGACCCGTGCCTGTACATCCCTCGCTTCGCACAGCTGCTGGAGTTTGGGGAGAAGAACCACGACGTGTCCATGACGGCGATGAGGCTGGTGCAGAGGATGAAGAGGGACTGGATGCACACGGGACGAAGGCCGTCGGGACTCTGTGGAGCAGGTAACCATTAGATGATGACCTAGACCAGCGTCTTCCAACCTTTTCAAGCCGAGGTACACTTTTTTATGAAGTTTATACTGTTACTTACATTAAATAAATGTCCGGAATTGACTAATGCTGCCGTATTGTAATTTAGGACCCACTTACAGTTTATTGTCATTAGCTGCAAGAGCGGTTTGTGTTATTAATGCTAATTGCACAAATTCCTGTGTTAGCTAGCCCGAGTCGACATATGTCTTTCAATGTAAGGGAGACAAAAGCTAGTGTCGCACACACATGGACCTTTTAAATGAAGTTTTTCCATTTGTAAATATAAAATAGTTTCCATATCTAAGATATTATAATGTTGTGACATATTTCTGTCCCTGACTGCGAAGGAATCCCTGATGGTTGGCACTTGTGAAATCTATTTAAGCTTTTCAAGGACACATTTCCTCAAGTCCTGAAATAGATCTGAAGAGAGAATTGTTGTCGTTTCATGTACTCTTCTTCTGGTGAGACACTGTTTTTGGACAGATCACATAAGCCTTGTTTCTACTCTAATTGCCTTTTTTTTATGTTGTGCAAGTTCATCAGTTAGTATATCCCATGATCAATAATATGTAGGTAACATTAAAACCGTTGTTTGCTGCAGTGTTCTCCCTCTATATCTGAAGCTGCCCTCTGACCTCTTCCTGTGGAAGGCAAGTGAAATGAGAATTTCCTCCAACAGATCAATAATGTAACACAGGTGCATTGACTCGAGGGCAAGCCTGCTCCGTAACACTGTGAGAGGCGCAAGTGAATGACAGGATTTATCTGCTCCTGTTCACGGTTGTTGCTGCCAACTGGGTTAACAAATGTATCTTGGCTTTTTCACTACCATGCCAAAAAGATGAGTGTTTGAGGCTACCCTGATAGAAACTTACGGCAGTTGTTGATTTTCCTTCCTGCTCATCATCGTCTTTGTTTGAGTTTATGTGAAATAGCTGAGCTCAAAGCTTCTTGTGTCCCGCCGGTGTCGACCCGACTTCCCTCGTCTTTGATGCATTAGCAGCTAAGACGTCCTGAAATCGAATCACGGGGCTTCATGTTTACGCTCACAATTTCAATATTCTCTGTTCTTCTGCTGCATTGCCTGAATAATTAATTCCCCATCATAAATCATTGAAAAGGGTACAGTCAAATGGAAAAGGGAAACTTCCTAAATATTGCTGTTGATGGAGTTGAAACATGCATCTGCAAGAAAATATTGAAGGTCATGAGTCAAACTAAATAAAAGTTAACTACAAATTGAGAAGAAGCAGCAACTTTGAAGTTCTGTGGTTTTAAGGTAAGGGCAGTCAAATGTTTGAGAGTTGTCAGCGGAGCGAAAAGCTATCGCTTCAGTCCTAAAGGCTGTTGGAAGTGTGCATGTAGAAGTGGAAGCATCTATCTTTTAACAGGCTCTTGAGCGAGGCAACTCTAATGACGGTTATGTAACTGTTCCCCTTCAAGGCTCGCACTGCAACTCATTGCATAATATTAGTGTTCTCGTTACTCCTTTTAGAAAGTGTTTCTGTGTGTGGGGGGGGGACCCGGTCGTCTTTTTCCTTCAGTCTTTAAGGTGAACACGCAGAGAACCAACCAAAGTCAATATACAGTCATATGTGTATTAGTTTTTGTTGTCAACAAGTTTTCCTCATATTTAGTCAACTTCATCCTGGTATTGGTCGAGCTGCAGTTACTAAAAGTCATCAAATTGTTGTCTTGTCTTAGTCAATAAAACTGTGACTACTTTATCTTTGTCAATGAAAGTGGTTGACATTTTAGTATTTTTTCAAGTAATCAGATTTAACATTTCCGTCTAGTCTGTCAAAATATAATCTCTTTTTCTTTTCACCAAAGCACAGTCTCTATTACATCTCTTTTTTAATTGAAGATAATAAAGACATTTTTAGTAACGTTTTTACTTTTTAAACTACATTTTAGGCTCGTCTTTTTCAGATTGCATGTTGATATAGTCAGTGTTTGATAAAGTCGTTGCCATCTCGCCATTGTCTCGTCTTATCCTTAGAAAAATGTGGATGCCGACATATGTAAGTTCAATAAAAGACAAACCGAAACCTCTACTTTCTGGGTTTTTGTGTAAGGATGACACATGTTGATTTATAAGTGATGTGTTAAGACGGAGCTGGTGTGGTGCGGACTAACCAATACGTTGCATTTAATCCATTTGTATTTGTATTTTTTCTGTTTTTAGCTCTTCTTGTAGCCGCTCGTATGCACGACTTTCGCCGCACCATCAAAGAAATCGTCGGCGTTGTAAAAGTGTGTGAATCCACGCTAAGAAAACGGTGGGTGGTTCAAGTTCTTGATGTTATTCACTTGAACCTTTCTCATTTAAAAGTTCACTTTTTTGGTAATGGATAACATTTGATAGTTGTACAATTTACAAATAACCTTTTGCCTGTAAAAGTATTGAAGATGATGGTTTTTCTCACATCTGTTTCACAAGATTCATTATGTTTAGCTTTTTCATGCTGATGTACCAAACTATCCTACAGTGAACACATTAGTGGATTTATTTTTATTTTTTGGTTCTTTTCATTGGCACATTTTAACCTAACATTTACTGTTTTCCGGCATCAGACTGATAGAGTTTGAGGACACGCCCACCAGTCAGCTGACCATCGAGGAGTTCATGAAGATGGATCTGGAGCAGGAGTGTGACCCGCCCTGCTTCACAGAGGGTCTGATCAAGAAGAAAGTCAAAAATGTATGAATGAACAGATCCACACTTTTTCATCTATGTTTTTATAGATTTTCACAATTGCTTATGAGATTTTCCCCTTAGGGAATATTCACATTTCATCTTATGATTACCTACAGCCTGCAGCCTTTTTTCAATAATTAAAGGAGAACATTAACCTCAAAAGTAAACCTGTCAAGGATCAATGTTCTTGACATCCCCACACTTAACAGAGAGTTAGCAAAGAAGTGGGCAGGCTAGTGGTTACCTTTACTCTTTACTTGATATTTACAGCACAGACATGAGACTTTTATGCAAGAAAGTTAATGGGTATATATTCTAATAAAAAACAACTGCTAATTTAAAGGTTTTAGCCAATAAGCTTCAGGAAATACATTTTGGGCTTCATGAAACGTTGTAAACAAATGGTCGAGGCTAAAATCAAATAAGGTTTGTATTTTTCAAAGGTACACATTCAGGTACAAAAAAACAGCTATTTTAATCCACGCTTAAACTGAGATTTTCAAGTCCAAAAGTGCAACTTTAAGGCTATGCTAGATAAACTTTAGAGAAACAAAGTCTCAACACGAGGTCAGCTCTCATTGTGATGGTTCAGTAAAGTTTGACGTTTCTGCCAAGTGATCACTATAAAGTGTTGATGCGACACTCTCAATCCTCTGAGTCCTAAACATATTATTGAATGCTTTAGAAACTTAGCTTTCTTTTTAAAAATATTTTTATGCTAAAAACCTTTTTTGTAACAAGAGCAAGAACAAAATGATCTTCTGTAAGAGTCTCATTATCACTTTAAGCAGTACAGTAACGGGACGGGTGGCGCAGTGGTCTGTGCGTTTGATCATCAGATCAAGGGGGCGTTGGGGAACTCCAGTTCGAAACCCGCTCCCGCCCCACTGCGTCAGGCCGTTGTGTCCTTGGGCAAGACACTTCACCCGAATTTGCTCCTGTGGGTATTGTCCACAGTAGATGACCATTACATGTATGATCTGTATGTGTAATGTGTATTTGTAAAGCGCTTTGAGAGTCTTTGATAAAGCGCTATAATAAATATAAGAATTATTGTTATTATTATTACAGGGAAATATATGCTATTGTCTCACGCCAACAGCAGCAAATGAAACTCATACCTTGTGTTCTGTACGTTAATGAAGGAAAAGTACTTCTGGAAATTGCCGTCAACCATGCACGGTCCTTGTGTTATGATGTTGTTCTTTTCTGAGATGTTTTATCGGTAATTCCCTCACCCTGAAGTCACTAATAAAAATGTTTGTTGTGTGCCTCCCTGCAGCTGGAGATCGAGCTGAGAAAGAAGATGGATGAAGTGGAAGGTATGAATGCGATATTCTTGTCTGTTTGCTATCACATCAAAGGCAACTAGACTCTCAGACTACTTGCTTTTTATCCTTTTATAAAAATGAATTATGTTCAGGGCAGCCAGACTTATTCAATCCTCTGACAAAGACAGGTTTGGTAACACTTTCTCAGTGTGTCTGCCACTTGGCTGACCTCGACTAAATGCACATCAGTGTTGGATGTGGTAAAAGCGAGAGAAGAAACCGAAACGCTCTGCACATAGAGAGGAAACGGCTCCCTGTTTTTTTTTACAAGATTTCATTTCAGCACGACGTGTAATTAACCCTACATTATGTAGCATTGCTCACATATTATATCCTTATTATAGGAGATGTAATTTAAAGGGTTGGCACACAAGAGAAGTATCATTTCCTTTCCTTGCGTGTTTCATGCACAATCATTTCAGGGAAATGGGGAGATTTACTGCATCTGACTTTCTTCTTTTTAATGTTGCATGTAAAGTTTTTGATTCAGGAATAATTTAACTTTCTTATCGTCTTCAACAGATGAGATCAGTGGCTACCAAGATGAAATAGACGCAGAGCTCGAGTGCGCACGACCCAAACTGAGAGGAGTGTACGCTGCATACGCTAAAGAAGGTACGGAGAAGAAAACGTTTTAAAGTTCATGTTTTGTGAATTGTTTTGTCTCCATTGCCATGAGTGAAACAATAAAACAAAAAAAACATGATTCCAATTATAAGGAGGGTAAGCTAAACATCTAATAATAAAAAGAACAACGAATATGAGGTCATGCAATAATAAGTATCAAGGACACACACACACACACACACACACACACACACACACACACACACACACACACACACCCTTGTTTCCACACAGTAGGGGGGGGTCGCAGGCTGTCAGTGATTTCAGGCATGTTGCTCCTCCAGCTGCTGCAGTGCTTTCAGATCCGCCGGCATCTCGTTTCTTCTCCAGCTGATTATCCACTTGCTTTTCTGTGACTTGTGGTCTGAAGTCTGTGTGAGGACATTTTAATTGAGGCTGATTAAAGGACACTTTTTAATTAGACACCAGGGCCGCGAGAGGATGGCCAGAATTATGATCCCAATTATTTTGTCTGCATGTGATTTATTTATCAGCATTTGGATTCTCAGAGATTTGGGAAACAAACTTATCTCACTGCTTTTGAGGCATTTTCATCAATATCTTTTTAACAACAGTGGTTCTAAGTGTAATAAAACTGTTTTTATTTAGTTTTTAATTGGGAAACTGAAATGTAGATTTATAATTATACCTAGCAAATTACACATTACAACATACTCTGCTTTTTTAATCCCAAGGGACTAGTGAAAAGAAAATGAGTGTATAATAAGAGATGGCATTGTAAATACTTTATTGTAATTTTTAGAAAACATGCAGTTTTGTACAAGGACACATTTCTCATGAAACATGACCATGTTTCTGAAAATATTGGTTGTTCATATTTCTCACTATACCAACCTTTTTATAAACAAAACAACAAAAATAATTGATTTAGTGAAACCCGTAGCATACATCACACTTTGATTCCATAATGATCTCTGTCCTTCTCCCAGTCGTTGTAAATGAGGAACCCAACTCCACTCCTAAGACTGAAGAGTGTGAGGACACCGAAGAAGAGGACGTTCTTAAGGCCGTGGCCAAGCACTTTGGCAAAGACATGGAAGAGCTCACACTGGAGGCTCTGCTGAAACTGGAGCAGAGGAAGCTGGGGCAGGAAGAGCAGAACGACCAGGAGCTTGAGGGGGACATCCCAAAGAGAAAAGCCCCATCGCTAGAGTCCATCCTGGGCCCGATGCCCACGGCCGCCACGCTCGGCCTCCCCGAGTCCATCAGCAGCTGCATCAAAGACGGGAAGGAGAACGGTGGGTGCAGCTTTGTTTTTTTCATCTTGTTTCATCCAGCCAGGGGTGGGAGAAGTACTCGGATCTAAAAGTAAAGTACTTGAGTAATCTACTTTACCACTGTATCTTTCATACGAGATACCCCCCTTTTCAGGCTGAACAATCACATTTGGTATCACTTCACTAGAAATTAGATTTACTAGATCAGAGTTTTTCTCCATTTTGTCACAGATGGCTGATTTCTGGGGCATAACAATCTCATTTGTTGGGGAAAAAATAGCTCGAGTTTCTCTCTGCTCTGTTTTTAGATGAGTTTTTCTGAGACGTCATCTGTTCATGCTTTGTTATACTTTTCCCTTTTGCATTTTTGATGTGTCATGAATATGATCCAAGCAGAAGGGGAGGAAAGATGGCGGGTTTATTTATTAAATCTTTACTGAACACACAGTACCAAGAGAATCTGGTGTTTATTTTAGGAAACATATTGTTTTTTTGGTTGAGCAAACCTCTTTCTGGAAGCAGCAGAAGCCTCTGAGGATGATCTGATTATGAATGCTGCTGAGATACCGTTCATTCTTGACTGTGTCTGGTACCTACTGTAACACCATAATAACCCATAATCAAGTTAAAGAATGCTCTCCCAGGTTTAATTGTCATTATTAACTCTGCTCCAGGATGAAATTGGCTGAGCGGTGTGTGAAATTTGCCATCCCCTATTATGTTTCACCCTTTTTTTAGAACACCGCAGAGCAGGGAATGTGTCGGCAAAGGTAGTCGAATTTCTTAACCCTTGAGGTGGTTAGCGTGTGGATTGGTGCCAAAATACTGCGAGTTGGGTTTTTCTTGTTGGCACAATCGTGTATCTCTGGAGGGTTGTTTGTGTTTAGTGCAGGAGCAAAAGAAGGCATGGTACACTTGATTTAGACTCAGATCATGAATCGTAAGACTATTAGAATTTGAGAAAAAGTTTGCCAAAGTTTTAACAAGTAGCACTATATTTTCCTTAATAAATAAATGTACTTTTAATCTGTCGTTTTGGCAAGGCAAGTTTATTTATGTAGCACCTTTCAAGGCAATTCAAAGTGCTTTACAAAAATGAAAGACATTAAGAGCATTAAGAAACATATTATAAAATGGCATTTAAAAACAGGTACATGAATTAAAGTTCCAGTGCAGTGTGAGATACACACATCTGGAATGTTTAGGTCTGACTCTCAATCATTGCTAACTTTTTAGCAGAAATAGATTTCTCTGACGTCACTTTCTTTCTACTTTCTTTTTTAACTTATCCTTTAGTTATTTCAAGTGTTTCATGCTAAACGAACCCCCCTTTGGAGAGATCCTGCCCGACTATGAGGTATAGGTATGTTTAAGACTTGAAATACAAATGACATATTCTAACCCTTAACTATGGCTTTAATCTCATAGCAAAGAATAATCACAGTTACTGCCTTTAACAGCTGGTCAGTGTAGTTACACTGTAACAAACAGGAGGGAAAAGTATATTTGTTGAGGACTATTTTCAGTGGCGGATTAATCCACATTTGATTCTTTAGCGAGTGTTAGGGCTACAGGACCGTGTTTATGTTTTCGAGTAAAAATACACTAGCTTGTGTCTTAATGATACTGGTGGAACAAGCCAACAATTGCAACAGCGTGGCTCATTGATGTGTTTTAATAGTTCTTGGACAACCGTGGGGCTCTGTCATGGAGCAAGAAGATGTCAGGCTTTGATACCCAAGCTTTAAAGTGCTTTTCAAGAAATATAATTGAGCAAAGACATGAATAATTAAATTCCTGCATAAAAGCACAATAAACAAACCATCATACGTAGAAAGCAAACAAAGTCAAAAATCATTTCAATGGTGTCCTTAACATCCTCTAAAATAGAGTCAAACGTTGTAGCTCTTATATTTTCAGAGAGACTTTTCCAAAATCCTGGTGCAGCCTAATTAGAGAACCCCCTGTCTCCAGAAAGTTTTGGGGGCGAGATCGTGGGATGGTTACCAGCCCTTGATCAGCAGATCTGAGAGGTGCGGCTGTACTGTATGAGGGCAGCAGTTCTGTAGTATCGCTGGGGGCCAGAACATGCAGGGCTTTAAACACAAACAGAAGACTCTTGTAGGGAATTTGATACCGAACAAGAGCCAGCGCACAGAGGCGTGCAGGAAGAATATGTTTTACGTTTGCATTACAGCATTACCATACCAGCTGCAAGTGGTGAAGAGAGGCCTGGAGATTACACAAGTATAAGGAGTTACAATATTTGAGTCTTGATGACTTTTTCTGAATATTTAAGCAATGACAAGTTTCTGATCTTGGATGTAAACACACAATAGTTTTAGGTAGGATGCTTTCGTTGTTGATTTTCATTGATGTGTTGGGACTTAGACGGTAAAATACAAACAAATTGACAGCTTTATCTTTTAAAGGGGTCCTATTATGCTTTTTGGGGCTTTCCCTTTCCAGTTCCCCCCCTTTAAGTCAGTGTGAATGTTGTTCACATGCAGCCAGGTACCTAAAGGATTCAGACTGAGCTTTTCCGCTGTGGTTAGAATGGTAAATCAAAACAAAAAATCAAGCGTAGGAGTGATCACAGCCTCTGTCAATGTGACTTATTAACATTTGCAAAAATATAACAACTACGGGGATCCATCATGCGTTTCCTATAATTACTTAATTATAGGATTTTCGGCGCCCCCCCAGCCCCTGCCTTTATCTGGGTGTGCAGAGACGGTGATGGATGTGAGGTAATGGTGCCGTGCAGCTACATCAGGGCTGATGAGGAAACCTGTGTTTTTATGGTGGTTGGGGGGGATAAGGGGGAGGTGAAGTGTGTTTTGATGGATGGATGTTGTGAGTGAAGAGGCGGTGAGGTGATCTAATGTTTGGACAACATCCTGAAACTTAAAGGTCACAGGATTGAAGCCTCTCTGTGACCATAAATATTGATCTGGGACTCATTTCAGATTACATCACATGTTACTATACACGCATGGCTATATTCAACCCTAACTAATGGGGTATCTCTCGTGGTTGACAGATCAGAGCAGACTGGGCTCTGGTTTCAGACAGAGGGTGAAAAGAGGTGCTGCAGCACAGGCAGTTTGAGAAAAATAAAGAGCTTTTTGAACATTAAAGCGTGGAGACATGTCACAGTAGAGACACAACTTACATGAACCCGAAAATGAGCAGAATAGATATGGAAATTAGACGCTTTACTTTACTGCTTTAAGGTTTACTTTCTTATTACCTTGACTTTAAGCCAGAAAAGGAAGACAAGGATTATGATGATAAAACAATTATTTTATTATATAATTTTACATGAAATGTCTCTTTTTACTGAGAGTATCAGTGTTCATGATGATATATATATTGATTTAAAAATAACCCAAACAATAACGACTTGTAAATCTATGATCATTTCTAAGAGATGACATCAGAAAACGCATCCCTAGCTTGGAAACGTTCATATAAATGGATTTTTATGACAATCCGAAATGATTAACAATAAAGATGCTTTTGAAAACAAGTCCTCTCTACAGTACATGTTCCTTTTTAGAAAGACCCTGAACCCTTTCAAAATGCTAACGACACTTGCCTTTTACATAAAGGATGGCCTCTGTTACAAACCTGCCACCGTAAAACATCCATCACTCAGGTCAGAGCACCCATTAACCCGATGAAAATGTCCCCCAATAATGCCGCTGACCTCATCTCATCAGGGGAATACACAACGGGGACGAGAGGTTAAGAGGGAGAGGAGAATGAATCACAACTCTCTGAATCGCACGCTCTTAACTTGATTGTAAATGTGTCTCTTTTTCAAAAATAGTTCTTCTGTTATGGAGTGATGTGAGCTTGAGTCATCCTCTTCAAGTCCGAGCTTCATGAGGGTCATTGTACTGCATGTGGCCATGAATGACAGAACGGGCATTTAAAGATGAGGCATGGCTGTTATTACAGGGTTTAGTTGTTGGACAGTGGGACTCGAGGCTGATCTCACCGAGGATATTTGCGATCAGAGGGGAGATACTCATTTTTTGAATTTACAGTATGCAACTGGTTCACCATAAACAACCCTCTCTGAATGATTACTGGCAACACAGTGTGAATATCTAGGATTCTATTCATTTTGTTCCCTGTTGCAGAAAGTGTAAATGACAATTTGACATAATTTCTAGATCTGCAGCGGAGGAAACATAACTGCTATCAACTACTCAAATACAGAGGTTTCCTACTTTTCTCTCTTTTATATTAGTACACTGATATTTAACGCATATCTTTTATGTTTTCTTACTGACAAGACAATTAAAGACATTACCTTGGCCTTTACCAAAGTTAAATGGAGATTTGATGGACAAAACACAGATTAATATATAATCAAGTTAGCCGTTGTCATCTCATTTGCTGAGAATAATCGGAACCACTGCAGAGCACCGAGACACTTTATCATCTACTCGCACATCAGACAGGAATGAATGTGCCTGCATATGGGTCTGCACAAGAGGACGATTTAGAAAAGCTAATTGCAACACTCAGGCCGTGTTGCTTCATTTCACTAATCTCTGCCCCACCCATGAGCCCACATTAGCCATTTTGAAACGGGCAGCTAATTGTAACATGAAAAAAACATGGTTACATCACCCTTAATCTCTGACATGAGAGCTGTTGTTGAAATGTTTCATAGTCAAGGAGCACAAACATAAATGAGTGTCATTTCCTGAAGTTCCTGCATCTTATGGGTATCAGGGAAATCTGTTTTTCCTCCCACTTTGTAGCTGTCGGCGCAGAGATACAATAATTTGAGGCACAAACATATTCCAATATACCAGCTGCTATCTTATATTAAAATCTGCCTCCTAGCTGTGGAAGTTTAACCTTATTTGTTTACATTTGCAAGCTTGGAAATCTTAATTTCTAGAAGCATGTTTCTGTTTGAAAACATCTCAAAGGCAAATTATGGTTACAAATGAATTCAGTCACCTTTTTTACCTTCAACCTCCCTTTTCTAACAAGGA